TTTTTGTATGTATTGCACAAGGTACATAAGAATAAAAATATGGAAAAAAAAACCCACAGATGAGCAAAGTCTCCTGTTTGAAGCAACAATACTTTGGTTACAAGAGTCTGAAATATATCTTTCAAGAGGAGCCAGCAATCCTCCTACGCACAAGCAGTGCATTCTAGATTTTAAACTGTGCATGTCAGACTCCCAAGAATAACAGCCTTCTGCCTGCCTTTGTTTCGCATGATGCTCTAATCATAGCCTTCATTTGTAGTAATAACGACTGCAAGGACCAGAATTCTTTACAAAGTGCATCCAAACCCACATCTCTCTGGCAATGAACAACTCGAAGCACAACTGAGCAAGACATTCTGAGGAACTACTTCCACTGCTTCGTTTCGGTGTATGACTAAACATTGCAAAGATGGATCATCAAAAAAAGAACTGCACGCAGAAGCTGGAGGAAGGTAAGAGAGCAAGGTGTGTAACTCAGAAACAAAGACAAAAATACAATGGCACATCTTATTCTCTTTTGCAATGAGAAAGAAGCATCCAATTAGCATTTTAACAAGTTTTTACTGCAAAACCAAAGCTGTAACTTTTATGAATGCTTCAGAACACCCGTCAGTACTTCCTGTGTCCTCACAAACACTTAAATCCTTGGGCTAAAGAGGGCTTCTTGTCAGAGATAACAGCATAGATGCTCAAAGGCCTTAACTGGGAAGACCAATGAAAGGACATAACTACGAATACTATTTGTTGCCAGAAACTGACTCTGACCTCTAAAGCATTTATATATTGTGTAACTCATTCCATATTTTTCACTCTCTGGATGTGTGAAACTTAAGTGCTGCTTGTCAGCTGAAGTTTTGCACCTTGGTCATTTTAGATGTAAATAAGCACAAAAATGAACACATCTGCATTAAACTATCTACAAACAAACGAGAAAGAGCTGCAAAGTACAGACAAAATTATTAGAAGACGCCCCAAAGCCACAAATTCAATTCTAAATAGGTCCCATAAGAACCAGCAAGGAAAAGGTGAGAGAGAAACATGACAGCCATTAAAGAGCCACTTACACTCCGCAATGCTAAGTTCTGTTCTTCCTTTGGAAATAAATTGAGAGCACACAGAGAGCTGAGATACTTCACTGCTTCTCATGCTTTATTTTTATTATTTTTTTTAAATGAACATTTTGAAAGCAGCATATTTTCCAAAACGCTACACGTGTAGCAACTGATTTCTTAAATTCAGCCAGTCAGAAATATATGCATTCAAATTCCTAGCTACTCCAAGGTTTCCCTGTGACTGAATCCATCATTTGTACATCACATAAAGCAGGAATAGCTCCAAGAGTCGCTAGTAGATTCTGAACTTTAAACAAAACTAAAGCAGTGCCCCCAGCACATTTAGGATGAAAACAGGGGAAATGAACAACATTTAATGAATTCCTAGGAATTCATGTACGCATACCTAACTTCAACACCCACCCCCTCACAAGGTGGGAGCTGAGCAGAAAAGGAGTGATGCTCCACACAGTCTAAGGCGTATCACTATTTGGTAACATTCACCTTTCAGGCAGAAGAATATGCACATCTATGCTTTATGTGTGCATGAAAAGAAAAAACAACAAAAGAACAGCAGAACGTAAGCGCTCACAAACCATTTTCTCACCTGCAGGACTACTGAGATCTGCTACCTGAACTGGGAAGAACAGCCACAGTATGATTTGGAGACATTGTTAATAGCAAGATTTCTTTCAGCAGGCATACTAAGATATTTAAAAGCTATCATTTTCTCCCCTTCTAATAGTACCTCAGAAATCTAGAAGTTATTTCCTATATAAGGAAGTGTATGAAGGAAACAAAAAAAGTCCATTTCAACAATCCTGCAAGCCAAAGAAAAGTAGGTAAGAAATGCCACACAGAAATTGAAAAATTGGATTACTCTGCACTGCCAAAAGCAATTACACTAACCAGGACTTCACCATGTTTCCTTCTTTCGTCTAAAGGTGACTACATCTCCCTAGAAAACTGCTACTGCTTAAGAGAACTGCTCTTTCAATTCTTGGCTCTCTCCAACCCCGCACCCCCTTTTTTATTTTTTAATTTGCTAATCATTTATGGTTCAGTGAGGGGAAAAAACATTCATTACTTGTTCCTAGTAGCAGTCATTCAGTTTTTAATGTTTATTCTTATCCTGGCATTTTTTAGTCAAGGAACTCCAGAGGTCTATTAAATGTGGCAAGAAAATCATCCTCATTTATGAGTGACAAAAGCAACGGGACAAAAATTATATGTTCTGACAGTAGACACAGATGATGACACAGCAGAAGCATGGATGTAAGGCAAAACACTTTTATATGCTCTACAGGACAAGCTCCTCTGTTCCTATTGCCATTTCATCTTCCAAATATTCTGTTTCTCGCCCTCAGTTCTGAGCACTCTTCTCAGCAGAGATGCCCTCCTACTCATCCTGACTGTAGTGCTGGACTTCAGGTCATCGTACAAGGTTCCTTATTAGCCCACTCCTGCCCTCAAGTGTATCTGCTTCCTCCATTTGGCGACTTCAGCAAGTAACCTGCTCCAGGCCACTACTGTTAAACAGGGTATTGCAGGCTCCCACAGTGCCACACCTGTCACCAGCCTCCACGTAGAGTACAACTTAACTACTACTTTCAGAGTCCAAACAGATTTTTTCCACATCTGTCCACCCATCTAACATCCCAACTTGGACACATGCATACACCACATTGACAGCCTTGCTAAAGTCAAGGCAAATGGCCATTGCTACACCTCTTTCACTCACAAATCTATCATGGAAGGCAAGTGGGATGATCAGTCATGATTTCGCCTTGGCAAATCCATGCTGACTGCTGCCAATCTCCTCCTATTTCATGTACCCAAAAATGTGTTCCAAAAGGGCCCAACCCAGGATTTTTCCAAGGAGCGCAGTGGAGTTGATTGGTTTATGGTTCCCTAGATTGTCCTTTGGCAGATGGGTGCAATATTATTTGCCTTCCTTCCATTGCTGCAGATTTCCCACACTTTCTGTGACCTTTTAAAGATAGAACAACTTTGCAAGGATATCAGGCAGCTTTTTCAGCATCCTCAGATGCGACCCATCATGTCCCGTGGTCCTGTATGGGTCAGATTTTCCCAGCTGATCTTCAACTTTATCTTCATTCATTGCTTTCCCTTGTTTCAAATATAGAAGTTTAAGATCTTGATAGCAGGGACTGAGGCAAAGGCAGCATTGGGGAACTGCGTCCCTCACAATGGGGAATGGGTTCAGTCACACAGTTCAGCTACAAGACCACCGTTCTCTGTTGATCAGTGCCACACTGGAAAGCTTTGGACAGCCAAATACCACCTCTACATGCCTGCCCAATGTTTCTGGCCTCTTCCTTCGTGGCCAGCACCTGTTCCTACCTCCTGTGTACTTCCCCCCAACCCCTCCCCCCCCATTATAGTGGGGTCAAGCATTCCCTGAGAAGCCCACACAGTCCCTGGCAGATCTATCACCATTCCTAAACTGTTATTTCACTTGGAAGATGCTATCCTTGGTGTTCTGCCCATCTTCCTAGACTCCTTTACAGAGTTGTCTCCCAGGGATTCCACCTCCCCCTTTCCTGCACACCCCCCAGGGTCTGCTTTCATTGCCTTCCTCACTTTTTTCAGGATCTCAAGCTCCAGTATTGTAAAGCCACAAAAAGCAGAGGGTGACACTGTTTATTACTGGAATGGTGCACAATTCAGAACTGATCAGATAGACAAGAGTTAATTACCTCACAATTCTTGTTGCTAGAGTAACAGCACCACATTTCTATTTATTCGAACCATCAGTTCCAGGAAAGACACAAAGGATGTCTTCTATCTGAAGTTCACAGAACAATAAGCAAACCATTAAGGTTAATTCTGGATGCATTAGGACTAGCACCTAGTTCGTTATAACCCAATTAAGGGCATTTGGAACTTCTCTCTCGCCTTTCACCTCTTCATCAGGAGGTATGGGGAATAATTTGAAAACTGTAATCAGAGAAACTTGTGGGAGCTTAAGTTCTGCATTCTTTTCTTTCTGCTCAGATTTCACTATCTTGAAGCATAGTAACAAAGACTTCTAGAAGTTTTTGTACTTACATTAATATGATACTGAATAAATATTTCAAGAATGAATTCTCTCCTTCATAAGAGCTGAAACATGAAACTTTTATTTTACTGACTTCTGAAAATAATCCAAAGATTACAGTTCTGTACATTCTGAAACATCAATGCAGCCATCAGCTGGAAAACTGAGAACTCAGCTGTATTCCACAGCAGAAAAAAAAAAAACCTTTACCACTAATAAGCAGACCTTGTTACCCCATTACAAAGCTCTCTGATGCCCTGAAGTCTGGTAAATCTCAATCTTCAAGGTTTATTGAGCTTTAACAGGCAGAACAACCACCTCGAAGCAAACAGTTATGCAAGGAAATTCAGCAATGAGAGCAAGTTCTCAAGTAGGAGGGTCCAGTGATCCTGGAAGAAGGTTCTCAAATGGCTTTACAGCAACTCTTAGCAGGTTTCCAATCAAACCAGCAACTGGCGTTTTCTAAAATACTCATCAGCACACCTGAGTTTGCTCACAATGTGTCGAACCTTTTTTATCCTCCCCTATCATTCCAAAGATGGAACTACTCAATTCTCAGATCCAATTCCTTAAAAAAGAATGAAATTCATTTCCTCTCAGTTAGTTGCTATGGAGATAGTACTGCACAACCGGACCTCTGCGGGAACAAGATGTGAAAAACTAAAAAAGCTCTTACTTTTGAGAATCAGTTGTTCAAAGACACACGCACTAAGGAGGCTGTTTACATAACAGGCAACTAATCAGAGACACGGCCAAGATTTGCATCTCCATGAAACGTTTAACTTCCCCTCGTTCCTGGGAATATTGGGATTATTCCCAGTACTCCTGTCCCCTCAAATAATTATGACTGGTTTCAATCACTTTAAATGAAAGAAAGTCAGCACTAATTTCAAGGAACACGAATCTTTTAATTGCTGATGCACAGGAAAAAACAACATCCATATTCCTGATACATTGCTTATGCCTCCAAAAGAATACTAACAGACCAACAACACTGCCACCACGCTTTTTGATAGAATATCTGCTTTTTTGCATTGAATGACTACTTGAGTTCTCAATGGGTGGAAAAAAACATGGAGCTATCCTTTGAGACAGTGACATTTTACATTCCCCTGTGCATCCTGTCATACCTCCACTGCTCCCTCCATCGCATTTGGAGAGAGATGGTTACGCACCGAAACATTACCTTGCACACAGAGATGTGGTGAAGGAGGTTACTAAGGAAAAAAAATAAAGCTGCACTGGCCACTACATAATTTCTAACCCAATGATGTAGCTAAACACTCTTAAATTTGCACTCCATCCACCAAGAAATGGAACTATGGCACTTCTTTTTAGAGAGGATGCAACCTTAAAACACCATCCTGTAGATAATGAAGATTTTCTTCCCTTAACTCCAGTAAATGACAGTTTTATCACTGTAACAAGAACATGAACAATCAAAAGTTGCATGTAAAATGAAAAACTGCAGTCTGGAAAAACTGCTGGTTATTTTAGCAGAACAAGAAGGAAAAAAAAAAAATGTATGGCTGTCCTGGACATGAAGATTTTCAGTTACTGAAAGATTTGCTCAGATCAGGTGTACTTTCCAGCCATCGAGTAATTCCTCTTCCTCGAATGGTACTTGTTCCATAAGGAAAACTCTTCCCATCACATGAAGAATCACCTATTAAATTAAATACAGTTTACAAATGAAGTGTATATGCGTGGAATGTATTCAATATTTCTAACAGGAAGAGAGAGAGACATGGGTTCTGTCCTTCACAAACATCAAGTCCATATAAGATCTCATGATTTATATTTGGAACAGTTTCAGCATTTAATGCAGTGCGTACTGTCTAAGCAAAAACATAAGCTGCAAACTCAGAATTCTTAAGTTATCTGTCTTGCAAACTTAATTCTGCTCCTCTTTGAAGGTTAGTCACATATTGCACAAATGAATTGAATGCACATACTTTATACTAGAAAGATTTTTAGCTCCAAGAAGATGACTTGAAACAAGCACTTTTTTTAAAGATGCAGGAGTAACAGAATGCTTACTACAGGTACCACTTGTATCTGCACATACAACTCCTAAAGAAAGATGGTATTTTAAAGATAGCCCTGCCTTAACGTATCCAAACATGCTAGAAAGAACTTCATATGACAGAAATACAAGGTTTTATAAATCAGATAGCAACATTTACGAGAAAATCTGATTTTGGATAGACTTTCTGACCATAGGTTTTGGTCTAGTAGCAGAAGTGCAGCTATTTCATCTTCAGAAACTCAGAAATCTGCACTATGCACCATTATAAACCCAGCTCATGCAGAGCTGAATAGGCTTTATGCCACTGACAGACAATAACTTGAGCCCAAAAATTTGAAAAAGCTGCAATTAGATTATGTTTAAATACTCTTTTTCCCTTTACAAATGGGGAAGTCTCAAACTCACAACTAGAAGGGACAAGCTCTTGAACTCCACTTGGAGAAAGGATGTCTCTGTCACTTCCAGAACCCTTGGCCTTCAATTCCTGCAGGAAGAAATAAGCATTCAAAATAAGAGAAGTCTTCTCTGAAGTGACACGATACCTATGAGTCGTATTCAAAAACCATCACAAGGTACAACCCAGCCAGAGATTATTTTTCTTTTCTCAGTCTGCTAAGTATACCTTAAAAAAAGGCAGCAACCAAAAAGGAAGATGGCTAACCTCAAATTACCAAGTGAGTTCTGTCTACAGTATTTGAGAATACTGAGAATACCAGAAATAACACAGGAAAACAATTTAAAGAAACTGACCTGAAAACGTCCAGCATCCAGTATTACCCGCCTGAGGTTTGTATTTCCACTGGAAACACTGTCTTTAAGAGGCAGGTGAGCAGCCGTCAGCGAGACTCCGTACACACCAGCTAACGATTTACTGATGCAATAACTTGACCAGGAAAATAAAGAAATCAAAAGAAGTTTTGTTAAGAAGGCTGTAACGTTTGCATACGGAAGCACAGCATTCTTAGATCTTCAACTGACAAAGCCACCACAGATCAACAGGCAGAGATGACAACGGAGGGAAAAAGGACTCTGTCACAGCAGCTAACAACCCTGTATCTTTCCAGGTTCACCAGAATATTCTGCAAGTACATGTGAAATTAACACAGTCACTTCCCCCTGCTGTCAAATGTAACCACCTAGAAGCATGAAATGCACTGCTGAAAGTTTGCTGAACACTGTTTTGGGTTTTTTTTTTTTGAAAATAAAAGACTATTAATTATGACTTCTCTCAAGTAGCATTACTACTATAGACTGAGATCTTGAACTGCATTTCTTTCCCAATTACCACAGAATCACAAGGTTGGAAACGATCTGCAAGATCATCTAGTCCAACCACCCTCCCATTCCTATCAGTGCCACAAGCTACTAAACCATCTCTTGTAGCTCCTCATCCAGGCTACTTATTTATCTTTCCCCCAGCCTAAAATAGAGAAGCTTGTCTATCTACATCATACGTAAAACAACATAATCATCAAATCATAGAATGGCTTGGGTTGAAAAGGACCACAATGATCATCTAGTCTCAGCCCCCCTAGAGATGGATTAAAGTATACTGAGAATCTCCCACCAAATTGAAGTGCAGTAAACCTCTGAAGAAAAACAGCAAATTCTAACGTAAGAACATTTATTTCAGCTCCCAACAGTAAGTGGAGGTAGTGATTACTATAAACCAAGTGATGGATATTATCACATACATACACTGTACTGAATTGCTAAAACAGCATACTGCTTTACAGTATTAGCACAAAAAAACAAAACCCAAAATAGAATAAAGTCCTGGAAGCGGAAGAAAGAAATCAAACTCAAGCTTTAGAATCACAGCACTCAAAGCAGCCAGGACCAAAAAGCGTGCCCAACAAAATGAGATGTCATCATACAGTGGATAACCTCTGAGAAATACTCACGCGATTTTCTTACAGGATGCCAAAGCACAGCAAAGTATATCATTCTCTTCATGCCATTCACACCTTCAGAAAATTAAATTGAGGTTTATTGTGTAAGTATCTACATCTTCAATCGACACAATCACTTGGTCTGACCAGAAGCAACAGGAGCAAACATTAAAGGTTATCTTTCGTCTCAGTGACCACGAAATTAAAATTACACAGCTGATGACCATCAAGTAACAGATCTGGGTGATTTACGTAGAGTTGAGAACTGTGCTTAACTGACGACTTTTCACATTCCACTGAGGTGGAGAGGACAAAGAAGAAAAGAAAACCCCTATGAAATTCATTTAAAAATCATTAGAAGTTTAGCACTACTGTAAACAGCAACAGTGATTACTCAGTGATCTCAAAGCCCATAGTCTAAGCAGACTTTCAGGCATAGGTATTAGTAGATGTAAAAAAAAAAAACAACCCAACAAATTAAGATCAAATTACTAATTCTTCCTTAAAACAACAACACAGGAAAAGCTGAAGTATTCTTCTAAATTAACTGCATCAGTGCTAAATATTCTCCTACAAACCCCTAACTGCTGTATAAACATATAAGGATCTGGAAGTTGTAAAAACATTACTGTTCAAGACACACAGGGAAAAGAAGAAAAACAACCCTACCAAGTATCTGCATTCTAGCATTACAAAAAGCATTCCTTCAGGGAGCCAAGAGATTTAATTTACTCTTCTGCTTGTTTTCTGCCACTAGAAAGCACACCAAGCTCATCATCACAGCTGCAGTATGAGGTACATAGTAAAAGACAGCTTCTCAAGAGACTGAAACCTCTCACTTGTATGATGTCACATATCACAGTATATTTTCTTTAATCTTCCTTTAAATCTACAGGCCCAGCATTACAGAGCCATTGGTCTTTATCTTTTTTCCCCCCCCGAAAGATAGTACTTCACATTTCCTGTTGAAGCCATGCTGTGGTAAGAAACCTTTTGATGAGATGGTTTGCTGAAGATTCTGCACAAGCCACACGTAAGGTGCCAAGGCACATCAGGACAGCAGCCATTTCCACAGAAAAAGAACCCAACATACCTGGTATTACTGGAAAAATCCCACAGGACAACATCTAGCTCTCTAGATACCCAAGTCTTGGATGGCTCCTTATGATATTTCTTCTGGTACAGTTTTATTACCAGATCTTCTACAGTGAGAAGCTCCAGAGGGCTCTCAACACCTATAACTCAGAAGAAATCCACGTCAGCAGAACATTCACCCACTTCTCAGCCAGTCTCTGTTCACTGACCACCTTCTTCTACGAATCTCCAAGTTCACATAAACCTCAACAAATATTCTATCAGTGTCATTATTAAGATCTGCCATCTCAGCAAGGCAGGTCCTACACCCTCTCAGTTTTCTCCACCGTATCTTACCTACAGGCCATCTTTCCTCAGAAGTTGTTAGTTCCTTCATCTATTACCCTACACTCACCCCTCACTTATCTCACTGCTTCCACTGCTCCTTTAACTGGCTGACCAACAAACACCATACGTTGTTCTCTTCATGTGCTCATAAGCCAGTTATGGCTGACCGCGCATTCATGGGGAGGAAGAGAAGAGGGAGAAGCACACACAGCAGTTCTAGCTATCAGTATGAGAGTTTATCAACTCATTCTGACAAATACAGCGCTCCATCATCAGATAAGCCTCCTTTCTTGGAGAAACAAAAGCCAAAAATGATTGGGATCCCACCTGCCACGCTGGCCATTCGTTCAAGACACCAGCTGATTCGGAACCTGTCATCAGACTAGAAAAAAAGAAAATTTCAGTCACATTCAAAAACTGCCTAAGTGCATTATACAATTCCAATATCTACAAGACCTCTGGCTGCACCTAAAGAAGGCCTTTCCAAAACAGAAGCCCTTGCACACAACCTTCCAAAAAATTACCTTGAAGAGGAATCAAATACCAAGACAGCCTTCCAAGCAAATCTCAGGAGAAATAACTAGACTACGTGGAGACAAGTTAACAGTTAACATATACTACAGCCATCTCCATTAACTGCTGCATGTTATTCATATGCACCTTATGTGTGGAGCCCAACATCTAAATCCTCCACTCCTGCTATGAATTTACTAACATTAGGCCCAAGGGGAATAAAACAATTATACTTATAGTCATCACGAGGTTTAAATTCCTCTGAACCCCAACGTTTTGACTCACTGGCAACTCAGTGAAATGAGCAAACATAAGATGTACAGTATTCTCATGTGAAAAGTCATTAAAGCGTAAAAAAAAACCTTAGAGAAGTGAGATTATCTGACTATTATCCAGCACAGTCAAGTTAAGCACAATCTTAAAAACCTCAAAACAGTGTCAGAACATTCTGAAACGTTCACCACCAGATTAAGAACCAGACATGCATGTTGTGAATAAGAAGGCAGAAAACTCTGCCTCTCTCATTTATAAGAAGGCCAGCTTCAATTTCTAACAGCGCAGGAGTTTGTATGGGTAGGTAAGTGGGGAAGCAAAAAAAATAAATACAAAAAAAGGAAGTTTGTTTATTTAGGTTCCATATCATTTTTGATCCATACAAAAATCTGAAGTTGATTAAAAAACAAAACAAAAACAGGTTTTGATTGCCAAACTTTCAGGTCATTTCTTCCTATAATGGAACAAGGAAACTTTGGGAAAGAGCGTATCCCTTCCCACTCCCCCCCCATCCCCATGCAATCACTCATTTGTGCACAGAATACGCAGAAAATGCTTCACAGCAAATTCTCTCCTTGACTGCCCACTGGAAGAGGATTTAGGTTTTGGTTTTGAGTTTTACTTTGACCTCAATCATACCTTGCAGTAAAAACGAGGGCAAACACCTCTGGCTGGCTGGGCAAACTGAAGAAGTTCACGTATGACAACTGGGTAGCAAGTACGTGAGAGATGAAATCCAGATATAGGAATCTTATGAGTGGCATCACCTAACAAAAGGTGAAGTGGAAAAACTTATGAGAAATTCTGTTCCTTAAAATAATATTTCACCCTCCTTTGTAATTTTCATTTATGTATACATGTACTTAAACACACACACACGCACACACACACATACACACACACACGCACACCTTTTCTTCCCTACAGGCAGCATGTGTAATTAAAGTTATCAAAACCTTATTTCTTGCAAAAGACTGGCAGCCTGGGCTGTGAGCAGACACATCCACATTTACCCCCCTTGAATGGCCATTACTTAAATATCTGATATAGGATAACACGGGCCAAGTTTGTTCTCTGCACACACAAGGGGAGGAAGTGTACTAATGGACAAATCTATAAACACTGCTTAACAAGGGAAACACAGCAGTGAAGAGCTCTGCCATTTGAGAGTACGAGAAATAAGCAGGGTGACTCCAACAGGCTGTTCTGTCATCCCTTCCTCTTCAAAATGTGAGAGGAAGTCCACAGGAGAAACTTCCAGGGAAAAGTTACAAAACAACTGGATACAGATCAGATAAGCAGAGCCCAAATCTGTAAACCATTGCATACCACTCTTCTTCTCCACTGATACTCACTAGCAGCCTGGCAGTGGTACCGATAACCACGTGGTGGTACTTCTGCAGAAAAACATGAGGGATGGAAGAAAAAGAACAAGCATCATCCATCACCGCAGCGGCAGATCTTTAACTCTGAACTAGGCAGCACATTTTGATTTAGAGCAAGGAGCAGCTTCACCTTCCCCTATGGCCCTGTACAAGCACCACAACTATTTCTGAAGAAAATATTTTCAGTTGCATTCATTTAAAGAAGAGTACACTGCACTGCATTCACGTGTTAAGTCCGGAGCAAACACTCCTTGGCATGAAACAAAGCACAAACACCAGAAGTGCCCCCTGGATTTATCCTGCCCCCTTTAAAGCTTCATGCAGTCCCAGTACTTAAGTACACAGTCAAAAAACAAGCAGAAAACAGCAATGCTCCATTATTGAAAGTAGAAGTCTAATCACTTGTAGTCAAAGAAGTAAGCCTATCTTAACACCAGAAATGTAATCAGTGCAGCAGTAACGGCCACTAGAGAACTTCCCTCTCAACCCAGAGCAAGATGAACTACCTCCAGGCTACCCTTCCTTGGAAATCACCTGAATCTATGAAGTGATGGAACTCAGCCATTATGCCTTCCTGCAGGGAGTACTTGACACACCCAATTTCACAAGGGAGGAAGCGCTGGTCACAGTGGGATGGCAGCTTGCCATGGCTGTAAACATTGAGGAAATAGAAGATGTCTGCAAGCACAGCTGAGAGGAAAAAACAAAAATATTACATAATACGTATTATAATCTGCTTATATAAGTATATACAATGTTAAGAGGCCTAGAATCCAGCACCAAATACTACTCCTTTGTGCGATGGGTCTGTTTACCCTTCAGGAAAAAAAGCAATCAGTAATTGCTAAGTACTTCCACAAGCTCCATTCAGTAACTTATCAGGTAAGTTAAATGAACTGGTAACCTTTGTGTAAAAGGAGAAGGGAAGAATTCTGCTAACTTGAAAGGATCATTTGTCCTCATGAGCTCCCAGAGAAGGCAAGAATATCTAAGGAAAGCATTACAAAATAAAGTATCTTTTATTAATTTTGTAAGACCAAACAATACAAAATACTTCACATTAATTAATGCCTAATAGTCACAAATCCTACATAATATAATACATCCTACATAAGTTCTTCCTTAAGTTTAAGATAATACCTACCCTCAAACTCTACCCTCAAATACCTACCCTCATCAAAACCTTTACTTGTTCTACTAAAATGATGCAGTGGGCCAGATTTGATGGTGTTCAGCACCACCTGTCCCAAAATGAGTTCTGGCACTACCTTACATGGATCTTAATCTCTACAAGCTGCAGTGAGAAAGAAGAGATACCACCCGAGTGGAAATCTTCTCACATGAAAAAAAAAAAAAAAAGAAAGAAAGAAAGAAAAAACCCAACAAACTAACCTAACATAGACAACCATGCAGAAATATTAAGAAGCAGCATCATAAAACACATCTCAGACTCAGTCGAAAGACTGGTTATGGCAGCTCAAGTCACCATGATCAAATTTACATTGTAGGGATAGCTGAGAACAGATTCTGGCAGTGTGAAAGCTAATAGGCATTACACTTTTTTAAACAGAGCTACTCTTTTCTGGCCCTTTATAACCATAACATGTTCAAGAGATTAGTTAGTTAACAGGCTTGAGCAGAGACCTGAACAAACAGCAAAGATATAGCTTCTATTAACTGGCTACTTAACTTATATTCCAAGCACTACCATATAACATTTTCCAGAATAAAATACTACCAGATGTGTTTGTTACTTATTTCTAATCAAAACATCCATTTGAAGACAACATACAGACAGGAAAGTTTGGTTTTCAAAGGTTCATTCAACAAGGAAACTAGCCAGAATGTGCTACATAAGTAGTGTAGTGTTCACAAGCACACAAGCATCCACTCTTACTTCACTGAAAAGGCCATGAAACCATTCTAATGCAACACCTTTATGATATAGAGTTTGAGCTCCTTGCCCTTGGATCTTGATACAAACATTCTATTATCCTGAACTTGGATTAGGCCTTGTAGATCACAACTGTCAGAGCAGAAAGCTTTGAGAAAACTGTAAACAAAAGTATTAGTAGCTATGCTCCCATTAAGCTAAAAGAAAAACAGAGGACAGAATTATTTCAGGGGATGCAGAGGAGCATTTGAACTGACTTCCCTCCAAGCAAGGAAGGCCTACATCATACTAAGAACAAGCACACATTTGACACAGTAACTACTGACAAAATGAAAACAATCTTTGCATAGGTACCACCCAGAATATCTTTACAAGCCAAGCTTTCATCTAGCAGCCCAATTGCTATAAGATGGTAATCTTATACCCTGATCGCTCATCCACGATATAGCAGAGGCATCAAGAAGAGATGTCACCCTGTACATTTCTGAACTCGCGCCAGCAGGCACTGGATTATTACACATCTAGAAAAGATGAAAAAAATCAAAATCAATCAAGTTAATTAACCTCCAATAAAGCTCACCACGTCCAATCACAGAAACACAGGATGTCCAGTGCTCACTGTAGCTAAGTGCAACTAATCTTTATATACAAGTGTCTGCAGATTTGCAGATTAAGGCAACATTACCAACAGGAGATTGTCACTTCAGTACCTCAACCTGCACAGCTGGAAAGAACTACAGCTAAATTTCCGAATGTAACAGAAGAATTAAAAAGTACTATTTTGTTAAAGTTTAACTACTTGTTGCACTGAAGAAAGTTTTCAGACTGAAATTTTCAGCAATTCCCATAATTTTGACTCCCCCCTTCCCCCCCGAAAAAAACAACTGAGCCACTTATTTGCCTTTGATTAGGAAAGGTCTTCATGAAAAGCTGAGAAATCTCCAAGTCATCAGATTGTTCTGCTACTGTGCAATCAAGAGGGGCTCTCAGGCCTATTAGTAAAGCACTGCACATCCACACACAAACATTAAGCTTTTTGGGTGGCAGAAAGACTTGGGCAGATGCCCAGAAACCAGAGAGGCTGACACAATGCAATCTAGGCCTAAACTGCAAATAACATCCACATCCAGATACTTGAATTCCAGATAATTGTCCTTGCCCGACAAGGGCTGTTATCAGTTAACACCACTAAAAAGGAGGCATGAGTCCCACTGAAGCAAACAGCACTTCCCAACAGGCGCTCCTTTCTGAGCCTTTACCTCCTTCTCCAGCTTCTGAAAGGATTTCTTTTCATTCCACTTCTGAGCCTTGTCTGCATAGAACATCCTCTCCTCCTCCGCCAGCAGCTTGAAGCAAAGCAAATTGTCAACGAGTTTTTACCGCTTCCTTCAGTAATCCCACAAATCAACAGAACATTTGGACGCTTCCAAAGGGAGGCGGTCAATATTTCGCAAACACTGATAGCTATTAGCACCCAACCAAGCGGTAGTTTTTCGGTAGTTCCCCCCCTCACAAAGCCACCCGGCTTAAAGCAGGACAGCTGATGAACACATGCTCCCGCAGCACCTTCCGACGGCCCACAGGCACTTTTATCCCACTGATTTCTTCTCCTGAGCCCGCTCCCCTAGCCAGGGGTGCCTCCCCCTCCTACCCCCCTCTCCGAGGCGAAACATCGTTCACCCTAAGCCCTCTCCCTTGAAGGACGGCCCTTCCCCTCACCGCCCACTCCTGAGTGAGGTGGGGAAAGCCATCGACCACTCGGGTTACGGGCATGCCGCGCTGCTGCAGCACGGGCAGCCGGTCACGCACGAAGAAGTAGTAGGCGCTGCGGGAGCGCTGAGAGCGCGACATGGCGGACGGCCGCCTCGCCTGCACTCGTCCTGCACCACCACGACGCGACGGCGCTGCCGTGGGGCGGCCCGGGGAGCGGTGGGCCTGCAGGGGCGGAGTGCTGGCCGAGGAGCGCGTGCTCCTGCTTTCCTTTTAACGTGTGCGTGCTGCCGCCTCCTGCAGGTCGGTGACGGCCGCAGACAGCCGGTGCCGGCGTGCACCTGAGGGTGTCGGCTGTCGCAGAGCGTGGCAGGTTTCTCTTCTTTTGGTTCTTCCTTCGGTGAGCATTGAACGTCAGGTTCAATAGGTCTTCCGGCATCTGCCAAGCCGGAAACCAAACAAAAATACGGTCTGCAATTGCCGGTGACTGCATGTGGTCCTCATCTGGACACAGTGCTGTGTTCCCAAATGACAATGAGGGCTTTCCAGTGAGGGGCACTTCAAGAAAGAGGTGTGCGCTGCCAAGGGGAGCACAGGACTGCAGTGAGGGACTGGGCCCCGAGCGCTCCGAAAGGCAGTCATGGCCTCAGCAGTCCCCTAGGGCTCAGTGCGTGTTGTGCCCCTGAGCTGGAGCTCCATTTAAGCTTGGGCCTGGGCACCAAACAAAGAGCAGCCTCACACAAGAGGCCTGAGCTTGGGTTTGAGATACATAGCAGAAGAGTGGAGGAGCTGAGATGGCGTGCGTTTGCTTGGAAAGGCAAACTTGCTTATTAAAAATACTTCAGGAGCCCATGTGTAAAGGCCACAGAAGGGATCCCAGGGATGGAAGCCCTCCCCTACGAGGACAGGCTGAGAGAGCTGGGGCTGTTCAGCCCCAACAAGAGAAGGCTTGGGGGAGACCTGAGAACGGACCTTCAGTACGTAAAGGGAGGCTGTAAGAAGGAAGGGGACAAACTCTTCAGCAGGGTTTGTGGTGATAGGACAAGGACAAATGGTTTTAAACAAAAAGATTTAGGGAGAAGTTTGTTACAGTAATGACGGTGAGGCACTGTAACAGGTTATTCAGAGAGGTGGTGGATGTCCCATCCCTGGAGACATCCAAGGTCAGACTGTATGGGGTCCTGAGCACCTGCTGGAGCTGTAGGTGTCCCTGTTCGTTGCAGGGGAGTTGGACTGGATTTCTTTTAAGAATCAAACCACTCTGTGATACTGTGTTTTAAAAACTGAGGCAGCTGTATAGACTCGGGTTTTTTCCTATTTAATCTATCTCATTGAGTACCTGATGCTTCTTTCACTGAACGTTTGCATGCTGAGCCACAGTTCAAATAAGATAAAAACTGGAAACAATCAAATATACATCATTGTGGTGAACAGCATGAGTTGCTTCCTCCCTTAAGCTTTCTGTTGATCTCTCAAAAGCAAAGTGATTCTCACTGGCCATAATATATTAAAAAATCTAGGGACATTAACAGGGCAACAACCACAACTGTTGCTCTGAAGAAAATTTAATCAGTTAACAGAAGGGATTGTGAAGTATGATTGCGTGCAATAGAAGACCATAAGTTTGATCTGAAGCAGGGTAACTGAAATGGCAGTGTCAGTATAAGATCTGATTAAATTCTGGCCAAGTTTTTCTTCTCCTAGATGTGTGATGTCTGCCACATTCCTTACTGTTCCCTTTATCTACGGGGACCATCTTGATGGGGAATCATCTTCCGGATGCGGTAGCAGTTCCTGCAGAGTCTGCCTGGTGTAGCAGAACAAGAGTCAGCTCACTGCTTCTCATGCAGCCACCTTAATTGAAGGTACTCCAGCCATCTCAATAAACATGTAACCCTGGCTTGGAAGATTCTTTCCAATTCTCTACCGCAGAGTACACTTGAATTCACTGTAAACCTAGACCTGAGGATCAAAAGTACTGCTAAAGACTTTCATGAATTTCCAAATCATTGGATAGCTTTGCCTTTTCCCCTCAGTCTAACTTTCTTCATCTTCTGTCTAGGTAACTGAGTCTGTTTAGCTCCAGAGGAGGTAGCCACTGTGTAGGCTGGAATTAATTGAGCTAATTGTATTTGTCACTCTGGAATTGCTAGCAGATATGGACCGATCAAATTGCTTTTGCATCTCACTGGTGGCTGGTTTCTCTGATGGTTAAAAAAAAGCACTTTAGTTTTCTGGAAGCTCTTCTGTCGTGCTCAAATCCAGTTAAACAGTTTATTTTATGCTGTTTGTGAACCACTCAATAGATTTGCTGTTAAATTTACAGGAAGAGCCAATCGGATTGCTAAAAACATAGAAACTTTTGATGTGAATTCAATGAGAATAACTTTTAAAAGTCACTATCGCTCCTGTGCAAAATCATGTATATCGCAGGCTAGTTCCTGATATATTAATACCAAATCTTTCAAGAGAAACTGCAAGAAATAACTTGTGTCTTTTAGGAACTTCTGCAGAGTCTAGTTTTTTATCCCCAAAGGTGAATATTGTTGTTGTATTACTGTGTGAGTTGTTGCTAAGAGTGAATCTGTGCATATTTGCTTCAGTTTTCTTCACACTGTGTTCTTTTCTCTTGTGCAGTTTTGTGACCCACCCTTTAACAGCCCATCCCTTTAAAAAAATCAGATAATGTGTGCATCAACTCTTTGAAAAAGACAAGGTTGCAGTGATAGTTCTCCCAGGGCTAGAGGTGGGGTTGGAAAATAAAATTCATAAGCACTGAGGAGAGAAAGGACTTTTCTACACAAGGTTAAGGAAGAGAAAAAAAGAGAGAAGAGATCATCTTTGGAGCACGATGTCATCAGTGTTCTTGGCCTTGGCCCCAGGAAAATCCCTCTGTGATTTAAACGGAAAGTCATGTTTTAACTATGCAATTGTCTGCTGTTCAACTTAGCTGACAAAAGAGACCTTTAGACCATTTATGCTGATTTGTAAATAACTTTTGTAGCATTGGGGCCATTCAGGGAATAAAAGCAAGGGTTGTGCCAAAGTTTATACATTACTTTTTCACTAAAGTACTTAATTCAGTTAAATTACTTGATATGCCAAGACCTGACTTTTACATCTATGGCCTTGGAAACCCAGCTCCAGAACTGTGGACCTGTGCTTTCCCATCAATGTACATAATTCATTACATGTCTCAAAATATGGTTGATGTAGATTGAAAAACTGTCTGGAACTTTGCTGCCACTAATGCATCTTCATTCATTCAGGATTTATGGCAATGACCTTCTTTCCAAGGTTACTAAAAAAAAGGAACTACTATTCTTCTACATTGGAACTATTATCTTACAGTAGTTCCTCAGAAAGAACAAACAAATTTATTATAAAAAAAACATGGCAGCAATTCCATTTGCTGTTACATGTGATCCGCTGCTCTGAGTCTAGAGCACTTTCCTCCAAAGTGAAATGTTTGGTGTCTATATTAGGGGATTATAATAGACAAGATCCAGTAGCCTGCTTGTCCTGGGGCCTTGCCATCAGAAGTGTACCACAACCACCCAGCTCCAAAGGCATACCACCTCCTTATCCCTCTGTTTTCCCACACTTGTTCCTTCCCACATCGCCGAGCTCCTTCCCTTTCTCTGCCTTTGATTCTTCCCCTAAACATCCTACAGCAAGTCCTCTGCAATTCTGAAGTGCTCTTGGTCTGCATATTGCTACTATGCAACCTCTCTCAGTCCAAATGTTGATGTGTTGATTTGATAAGATTTCCAGCCTGAACTCTGGGACTGGGGCTGCTCTGGAACAGCGTTGGGAAGGGTTCAGACAAGTAGTCCTTTCCCCTCAGTTCTTAATCAGAGCTCCCACCTGCTGTTGTGTCCCTGTGCTCCACAAGACTTGTGCAGGGAGACTTCAATGGGCCGATGGCTTTTGCAATGGGCTGGGAAGGAATCAGGGCAGAGTATTACTTGGCTATCCCCATGACATTGTCTCTCTGTACTCCTTTGTGGGTGTGCAGATGAGCTTTTACCACATAATTGCACAGTTTGTCTTTCTCAACCCGTTTATGGAGATTTTAGGTTTATGTTATTTTCTCTGAAGAGTGATATAGAATGGGAACTTCGGTTTTCTAGAAACAATAATTGCTGTTGTTTCATATGTTGTTTCATATGCCTGTTCATTTCAGGAATCATAACCTGCAGGCTACCCCTTCCCCTGACAGTGACTGAGAGTAAGTTAGAGTAAGCTATAGAAGTCAGCTTTCTCTTAATATCTGATAAGAGCACCAGTAAGCTTTCAGGTGGATAGCAGAGACCTGACTGGGGCAAACCACATGAATGTAAGCCTTACTTCTGGTGTTTTTTTACACCTATGTGCTCAGGGCAGTCTCAGTGTACAGAGAAGCAGAAATGTCAACTGCACTGACTTTGACGTTACATTTGTGCTTTTGGTCTCCAGTTGCTGTTGAATGAAGGGTTTTAAAACTGTAGTTCTACAGTTAGGTACCAAAAATTTTCCAAAGCCTTGTTTTGGATTTTGATTTGGCCTTAACATAGAGTGATTTGGGCAATTGCAGACCTATCAGACCAGCAGAGATCCCAGGCAAAGGAACAGAATCACTGACAGAGAAGTTGCTTCAATAATGAATTAAAGAAAACTAATGTAATTAATGTCAATCAAATGGATTTGAAGAAAATATTTTTTGCCACATTAGTTTCTAATTGCATCGAAGAGATGTTAAGTGTGCTTACTAAAAGTAATGCATTCAGATGCATTTGAGTCGTCTAACTCGACCACATAACACTAAATCAAGGAAACAGAATGATCCAGAGACAATCTGGTCCTCAGTAAATGAGCTAAAACATTAGCTTAGGATGTCTCAAAATGTAATTTTAAATGAGGAATTGCTATTGCACATTTTCAGCAAGATGGCTCCATTTCTTGGCTGCATACTGCTGAATGTTTATTAATAACTTTGAAGGTAGTATGCAGTTGCCACAGATACTTGCAAAGGATACAAAGATGGGGGGATAGTTAATAATGAGGGCGACAGAGCAGAATATCCATCAAACTGGGTCTCTCCATGTGATGTGATGCCACGCTGAAAGGACTAACAGTGCAATAACTGAAAGGATAAACAAAGAAATATCAGGCAGTAGTGATGTTGATGTAGTATTTCTGCTTTCTTACTTTCAGTCTCTGTACCTAGGATGCTCTCTCCAGATCTGGCATTAGCTTCAGAATATAGAAGAATACCAGATTTGTTCGACTTTCAAAGAGAGCATTAAATGGTGCTTTGCTCACAGTCATTGCCTCTATCAGAAATCCCTTAAGAAGATCCTTCCACCTGGAATGGCACTACTGGAAGCTGAAGTTAGATGAAATTAGGGACAGGATGAGGTCCCTCAGAACCAAAAGTAGTTTGTGGTTCTTTTTCTAACAGATATGCTGTAGTTCGAACAAGATGTAGAGTGGCAAAGTGATATGGCCTGTTTTATTGAGAAAGCTAGATTAGACAGTCACAAAAGTCCATTTTGTGAATTCCAGCTCCTGAAGGCATTTGTGCTGTCACAGTTTCTCTATAACCAACAGTCACAGACAATTTGTTATCTCCTTGGCTCTCTGTGCAAGAAGAGCGTGTTTTATTTCTATTCTTTGTATTTCTGAGTTTAGTGACACACGAAAGATGATGAGCTGAGAGGACTCGCTTATGATCATTACCTGTATACTAACCTCACAAAGTGTGTTTTACATGAAAATTTCAGGTTCCCTTTCAAAGTGCAGCAAAGGTGCACTGTGTCTAAGAAAGAACTGGGGGCAGCATGGGAAACTTATACGGAGTAAATATTAGAGAAAGAGGTTTGTTTTCTTTTTTATAATGCTGAATTTATATTGTAGAAATCAAGGCCCATTAGAATGAGAAAATAGTTTCCCCATTAAGTATTCTGAATGTTAGTTGGTACAAATGGCATGGTTAAGAAGAAAAGCAGTTTATATATCACCCAATCCTGACGTTAATGGGAAGTAAAAGCTCCGTATTATTGTGCAATCATATGTACCCAGGCAGTTGAGAAAACTAACAAACAAAATATACAAAGAGAGCGCATATATTTCAGTGATGTCCTGCTGTGAAGCTATCAACGATTAATAGGAGACTCTGGAGTAACAAAGAAAATGAGGAGGAGTTTTAGTTAGTAACTATTCCGAAGAAACTCAGTAAACACTGTGATTTGATGATGTGTCACCTAGTACCTTCTGTAACGTGTTGCTCTCAGTACTAAATCAAGAGAACAGTGCCTAATGGCTGAATCTAGTACAACATCCCAGAAAGCTGTCGAAATCACTGTTTCTATGGAAATTTCTACCACGGGAATCCAGGAGACTGAATGGATTTGAAAAAGTACTCATGAAGAAATGCACTTTCATGCAACACGTAGGGTTTTCTGGCATGTTGCGGAGATGGGTCATTCTGAGCGAAGCGCTGGCATGTGTCCTTCCAGATGTTGGGAGCATTAAAAAACTGACTGCTTATCAACAGAGGAAATGGCCCCAAAAGATTGGTACTGGAAGATCAAAGGAGGGAGGGGAATTGAGTCGTTGGCAAGAAGACAGAAGAGCTATGGGTAGCGGCAGCATGAGTAACAAGAAGAGAATTTGTTTCTGTATTGTTCAGCTGAATTGTTCATGGTCCCATTGTTCACAGAACTGCTGCAAGCAGTGTTGAGGTATCACTCATATCAGTGCTGTAGAGTGGTATTCTTCCAGTGCAGTCTCAGGCTACATTTTTCAGGACAGAAATGGAAAGCTTGGTCATCCATTATCAAGGTTGGAGAGAGATAAAGATTGAAGCCGTTTGATTGAATGTTGTTTTTCAGCGCACACGTAGTCCCTGCAGTGGGTTGAAGTGATCTGGCTAATTCCTTAGGAATTCACCTGCTGTCTGAAGGTAAAATGAGCCTAACTGTGCAGCTTTCTGTCTCCAAGAACAGGCTAAAATGAAGGACAGCAACCCTAAATTATCTATTAAGCCAGCTCAGAAGCTGTAATTTTCAGATCAAGGGTTTATGGAGATCTGGAACAGCTATTCAAGGCTCAGGCATCCATCATATGTGTGTATATACAAATGACAGCTCACGTTACATTAAAAAGAACCATACACGATGTTTTAGTATGTGAATGTTTCAAAGCAGCTATAAATCCAAAGTTACATGCAAAACAATGGTGCTTCCATGTATTGAAAATCTTTCCTTCCTTTGTTGTGAGTCAAAAGTTTAGCTAAAATGTTGTACATGCCAAATTTATTTGGAAAAGCTGGAGTGGAATTAAAAAAAAAAAAGCTAGGAGTAGCTAACAATAGTGACACATAAGAGATTGTGCTACTCCCAGCTTTTAACCTATGAGATAATTCCAGATCAACAGGATCTCAGGAAACTGGATCAGCCTCCTGCCCAACTACATCATAGAAGGGGAAGGTGCATGGATTTCACTTGAAACATTGGGTGTCGTTAGGAAAAATGCTTGAGGGAGGGAGAAATAGTAGCTTCATGTTTACGTATTAGGAGTCTTAGTTCAGTCAGCACAAGCCTTCATGAATTACACGGCGTATATATTTAATCTGACGAGGCAGGCCCTCAGATAATCTGAGATGATTCTATTTCCTGAGTCTGAAGTTACAGCCCTAGGAAGAGCTCCAATTTTGCCTTTCACCTGCAAGTATACAAGTGTGCAAATCCTGAGTACTGGGTTTGTGTGCTTTATTTAGCATGGTAGGGTCCTAGTTCTTCATTGCGGCCTTTAGCTAGCACTGCCAAACAATTACACTTATACTCGGAGGCATTCAAGGCTGGGTTGGACGGGGCCCTGGGCAGCCTGATCTGGTGGGTGGCAGCCCTGCCCATGGCGAGGAGTTGGGACTGGCTGGACTGTGACATCCCTTCCAAACCAAACCCTCCTGTGATGTTTTGGATTCTATGATGTATCAGGTCAGAGAGACCTTCTGACTCCCAACAGATCAGGACACTAGTTGGAGATGGGTGTGTATTTCTTTATAAGCAACACTGAATAAAAACAAACTACGTGAGAAGTATTTTTAAATAACATTGAGTTGCTGGGAATAAAGCACTTCAAAACAGGCTGTGCCTGGGGATCATCTCCTCACCCCATTCCAGTTCAACTACATCAACAGAAGGACTACAACTATTCAAAAAACAACTCGAATGTTTCAACAGATCTTTTATCACAGCAAAAGTGCCGTTTTGCTTTCTTGCTTGGAAATTAAGGATCTATTTTTATTTGCTGCTTTTGAAAAATGTGTATTTTGCTTGCAGTCAATTCCAGATTGAGTGGTATGCAATTGAAAAACACCAGCTGGAGGTATCTTAGGGTCATATTGCAGACACCACTTGCACACAGTGGGCACATCCAGCACGGATCCCTTTGGGTCCAGCAGGGCACTAGAAAATCAGCATCGGTTGTGTTCTATGACACACTGGAACAGGCTGCCCAAGGAGGCTGTGGATGCCTCATCCCTGGAGGCATTCAAGGCCAGGCTGGATGTGGCTCTGGGCAGTCTGGTCTGGTGATTGGTGACCCTGCACATAGCAGGGGTTGAATCTAGGTGATCATTGTGGTCCTTTTCAACCCAGGCTATTCTATGATTCTATGATTCTATGATTCTCTTTGGCACGTTCCATTGGAATGGAGGCTGTTCCCATGTGGATCACCGACATCTGCAGAATCCAAACTTTGGTTCCAAATGCGAGCTGAGCCCCTGAAAGAAGTGCAGCGTGTATGCATCTGGGCTTGCGTTGGTCGGGGCTGTTTTGTGGCACAGCAACATCCACCATTGGAACAATGATCGACAGCAGCACTTCTAGTTGGCAGCTCCCCCCAAAAACTTTCAGCCCCGTCCAACATCGCGTTGGCACCAACACTCAACGCCCCACGGCTCAGATGTCGGTCTCTAACAGCCAGAACACCTCCTCCTCGTGTAAAGTTGGATCTCTTCTTGATCTAAAATCGCAGCGATTGGTCACGGTGCAAGTGGAAGCCCAAGGGAAACGCTGCACTGCAACAGCCTGCTCTCGTTTCCCGAGGTACGCGCTGTTAATTTGGGGGCACAGATGATCGGAACGGACATTTTTAGCAACGAAGCCGCGGGCGCGGGGAGTTGCGGAGCAGCCCTGCAGGGAGCTCCCGGCAACCGAGCGGCGCTTCCCTCAGCCCCAACCCAGCGGATCCGCGCCCCCCACCCGCGCTGTCCCCGCCCGGCCCGGCCCCGCGAGGCGGCCCCCAGCCGGCGGCGGGGGAGGAGCGGAGCTGAGCGGAGCTGAGCGCGGTGCAGCCACACGACGCGGCCTCGCCGCCGGCTCCTGGCGGGGCAGTCCCGGCCCTCTCCCGCCGCCCCGCGGCATGCCCGCCCTGCCCGGCCAGCGGGAAGATGGGTGGGCGCCTCCTGGGCTGCGTCGTGCTGCTGTGGCTCGCAGGTACGAGCGGCTCGGCGCGATCAGTTGAGGGGGGGTCGGGGGAACGTCCCGCGGGGCAGTTTGTGGAGACTTCGCCGGGAGGGCGCGGGGGCAACTCGGGGTGCGAGGATCGGCAGCCGCCGCGGGGAGGGAGAGGAGCGCGACGGCGGGAGCCCGGGGGGGCCGCAGTGTCCTTGGCTGCGGGCGGTGGGGACGGCGGCCGGGAACAATTGGAGGAACTTCTCCTTGGTCCGCCGGGGTGCGGGACGAGAGAGCTGCCCTGCGCCTCCGGGGCGCCCGTGCCCGGGCCTCCGAGAGCCGTACGGGACTGGTGCTCCTGCCCGGGCTCGCTAGCCGAGGGCGACGGGCGCGGGGGAGCAGGAGTGCTCCGGGGTTGGGAAAAGGGCCGAGAAAGGGCTGTGAAGGGTCGGGCAGGGAGAAGAGGAGAGGGTAGAGGACAGCGCTCTGCCTGCTTCGAGCCGGGCACAGGAGGCTGTGGAAGGGCTGCGGCAGGCTGGCTGCCAGGGAGGCGAAGGAGAGGGAGCGCTCCCAATTTCACACCGGTATTTCACACCGCCGCCCGTGTATCCCACAGAAAAGACCTCAGGCTCTTCCTCTTCAGATTTAGGATTCGCAGGCGGTAAATTCGGCTTTTAGTCATAACACCTCTCTCCCACTGCCCACCCACTCTTCCATTGCTCTCTGGCTCTGAGTCATCCCCAGCCTGCCTGCTGCTCCCTCCCAGCGTTACACGGCCTCAGCTGGGGCCTCGCAGCTCCCGGCCCCCCTCCCGCTTCCCTCCCCTCCGTTTGGCCGCTTCTGAGTGTACCCCACTCGGTCTCCTCTCTGCTCGCCGTAGCTGCTGACAAACAGCATTCAGGGACTGGTAAGAGTGCAGAGCACACACAGACGTGACTTCACATTCCTCTCTCTCCTGAAAGAGGTTCGTTATCTGCAAACGTCTGGCTAGATCAGGACCTCTCCATCAGCCTGCTGACACCTTTCCCCGCCATTGAAGGCAGCCACCGCTCGGAACCTGCCGGCTCTGTGCGGAGCGGGAGGAGAGCTCCCAGACTCCCTAGTGCTCCAGGCAGGCAACAGGTTACTGCGCGGGGATGGAGCGGGCACCGTGCTTCGCTCAGCCGAGAGCAAGCGAATAAGCAAAGGGTTGCTTGTGTGTGTGTGTGCACAGACGAGGGAGAGAGGCTGGCAAACACAGACTCAAGATTGCCGAATGGCTGTGCAAAGGAACGAGAGGTCAGTCTCGGGGTAGAGAGCCTGCATCCCGCTGGAGGTACTTGTGTTCCGAGGTAGTGCAGTGGGGGTGGGAGCTGGAGGGCTTGAGGCAGGGAGAGCGGGACGGGGAGACAAAGGGGAGTGAGGGAGAGGGAGGTCTCGCCCCATCACTCCCCCCTCCCCCCTCGAGATGGGCTGAGAAATTCCCAATCAGCGTTCGCAGCTTCTTCCCTCCCCCCCCCCCCCCCAGTGATTGTTCTTCCTTGTCTATCCTTTGTAGTTAGTTTTTAGCTCTTGTATTTATCTTTTGTCTCCTTTCACACATTTCGACTTACTGCAAGTTCAAAAAATCCCCTGAATAGTGCAGTGCCTTTGGTTGGGCTTCCCTCCCATGAGGTCATTTTTTTCTCTGTAACTTAGCGCTCATTACCTGTTTACTTTTGTGTGCGGAAGGGCCACTGCAATGCCGTACTGTAACACAGGGGTGGGTGATTTCCTACTCTTAGTTTGCCAGCCACAGTTCAGAAGGGGCATGCTGGAGCACGGCTGTGCTTTGCCCTTCCATGGCCTACAGACCAACCTCTCTGGGATGTCACACACAGTCCTTGGTATTTCAGGGCTGTGGACTTATGCAGTTAAGTTGGGAGCATGGGACATCGGGTGTAACGGCATCATGGGGAATAGAAATGAGTAAAGAAATCTGAATCTGCTGCTCGGTATGCAGAGCCTGAGCTGTATCCCTTGTGGAGAGCTTTCATATTGAGGTTCTGTGCTCTGAGTGTTGCCTTTGCTTTTCTGCAACTTTGGTTTTGTTTCGTTCCAGGTTAAGTAGTCTGTTTTGCTTTGGAACTGTGTAAAGCGCTACGCTTCCATTTCAGTGCATCTGACCTATTTAGGTATTGGTTTTCTGCTGGCTACAAAAGTTGGCAGTTAGTGGCCATAGAGCTAAGAACACAAGTCTTACAGCAGCTAGACCATGATGTGCAATCCATTTTCCCATAAACCACTCAATCTGATGGTGGTGGCTTTGCTGGTTAATTGCGTGGATTTTGCTGGTTAACTGTGCAATGTTATCCTGCCTGAGTTGATAGAAGTCCGTACAGCAGAATTTTAGTTGTCATGCTGGCTCTCCATTCACTTACTTGCATCTCTGTGTATCATCACTGATTTCCAATCTCAGAACCCAGACTTTATGATTTAGGCTGGATCCACATTTGTAAGGATTGTCTGTGTTCAGCAGTGGGGGGGAGAGCACATCTAGTTGATGGGCAGTAGCCAAGGCACAATGAAGAGAATCATAGAATCATAAAGGTTAGAAAAGACCACTAAGATCACCTTATCCAACTGCCATCCCATCCCCACCATGCATACCTAGCATGTTGCTCAGTGCCACATTTACCCTTTTCCTGAACACCCCCAGGGTGACTCCACCAGCTCCCTGGGCAGCCTGTGCTAGTGCTTCACCGCTCTTTCAAGAAATTTCAAGAAATTTTTCTTGATATCCAATCTGAAGGATACAGCATCCTTTTGCCCAGTTTTTTATTTTCTATGGGGAAGTGGTACAAATTACCTTAGGAGCACTGTCTCTTACCTATGGATTTGTCCTTCTTGTGCCAAAACCCTGAAGTGTAGGCTAGGAGTAGTTTTAATGAGGTTTGGTTTAGGGTCCAAGGACCTCCTGTTCTCATGGATGCGCCTCTGGAACTCCTATCAGTAAAGGTGCATAAGATTGTGTGGTGCCATTTCTGTGGTTTCTCAGCATCAGCCCTGCTGCTCCAGGCAAATTGCAATGAGGGCCAAATAACAGCAAAGAAAGAGATGTGATTCTTGCGCAAATAAGGAGATCTGTGCTGACCTGAAGAATGATGTGTACTTCATTCTCTTGGACTTGACTCTTATCTTATATGCTAGAAGGATACAGACCTATTACCTTGAACTACAGTGTTTGCCTTTGTCATTATTTACAGAGATGAGTGCTTCAGGTCGGCTTTATTCTATTCATAAAGGCTAGCTTAAGGCTGGGTAATGAAGCTGAATTTTCCTGGTATCCATCTCACCTTGGGGAAGCATAGGCTTTTATTTCTGAAGGACAACTGAAAGAAGAACTGAAGTTTGCACTTCTCAGTTACCCTCTTTTTTTTTGTCTTGTGGAAGGTGCTTAGGAAGATCAGGCTCACGAGGTTCAAATATGCCCATACGGATACCCCCTCTATAATCACTTCCTGGAATTTTCTTTAATCAGCAGTAAAATGTATTAGGAATAGCTTGTGTGTAATGTTGACTGTGTAGTTTGCACGCGTAATCTAAAGATAGTGTGGAGATGCAATCAGAAGAAAACAGGGATACAAATACATAGATTCTTACTTTCTGATAGTCAGGATATCTGTGTTTTTAAGTGTATTTGATTAATATTTGGAGAGCTTGTCCAGGGACTTAAGGGGAGCAAAGAAAAAGGGAAGTACAATTGTCACGTGGTCCTGTGGCTCTCACAGACCATATTTCACGAGATTTCTCTTATGAAAGTTCAAATCATTTGAAATTCACAGTAAACAGATTGGCTCTCTAGAGTGCAAATATTTTGTTTCTGTAATGATTTTGAAGTAAGGGCTCATCTTGCTCTGCCCGTGTTTATCAAAACATAGCAGAGCACAGCTCTGTTCCTTTTTAATCCTGCTAATATTAAACTCGATGCAGCCGCTGCAATCTGCTGTCACCAAGCTCGTCATCTTTTTTCATATCTTTGACTGTTTTTGTGCCCTGCTATGTAAGCAGCCCAGATTTCTGTCCTGAGGCTTCTGGCATCCTGGCTAGTCTCTTCGAGATCGTTGAGCTCAGCAGTTGCTTCTTGAGCTTGAGGAATTCCTAAGGACACTTCTGTAATTTGTGTGCGCAGACATCTGTGGTAGGTGCAGAGCCGCCATCTTGTCATCCAGCGTCCTGCTGGCCTTTTGATGGGTGTTTTTACAGCAGTGTTGTATTACATGAATAGATTCAGCTTATTCTTTTTTTTTTTTTTTTCCAGAGGAAGTAACAGGTGTATAATTTCCCAGTTCAGCCCTATGTAATTATATACAATTTGACTTAAATAGATTGAGAATTTCCACTGATCCGGACTCTGTCTGAGGCACTGTGTTGTTCTCAGATGTTATTTCTGGATAAGATCCGAAAAGAATGTTTTACAAGTTAAAGAAGACCTTGGGATAAGATGCTGAAGATGCCAGTTAACTTACTGCACATCTCCCAAATGCTTTTGGATAGAAAAGGAAATCTTGCATTTTCCCAAAAGCTGCTTGCAAATTTCTTTTCTCAATATAGACATTCACATGGGAAAGGGGTGGAGAAAGTTAGTCAGATGAGAATTTGCTAAAGCTCAGCTAATCATTTATTAAAGCAGTCCCTGGCTCACCAAACTCATTAATCTCATTAACAGGAAAGGAGTGCTGCAGCACATGGATAGCTGAAAGCACTGTGTTTACTGAGTAGCATACTTCGTTCACAAGGGAAAGATTTAAATATTCCCTGTGTCAGTGCTTTATCCTTGAAGCTGAAGTAACATGATGAGTCACTTGGTCACCTCATGTCACGTGTTGGCTTTGGCCACAGACTGCCTGGAGTCAGGTGCAGAGCCGCCAGATCCAGGTCTGGCCTGTACCCATTCATTTTTTCGAGCTGTTTGTCGTGTCTCTTAAATTCAGATGCAGCCTGAGAAGCATGGGTCCCTGGAGAGGAAGGAATAAGATCACATCACCATTTGGATCACCATGAGAACCAAGTCGTGACATTCCCCCAGTGCTGCGTGGCCCCATGTTTCTGTCCCGCTTGCCCCTGCGAGCAAGACCCAGCAGAAACATCCCAGCTGCTGCTGCTGGAGTTCTCTTTTTGCCTATATTTCGTGCCTCTGGTCCCTGCCTCTGCTATGGCAGCGTCTTGCTGGGACCTCAACTGTGGTACACGGTACTCTGGAGAGCACATACTTAAGCATTTGGATTTGAGTCCAGGCATTTCTAGAAAAACTAGTGACATCTGCACAATTTCAGTGTGGCACAAGTGCTATCTGTGTAATGTCACGTGTTTATTACGTGTATAGTACAGCATTCTTGCAAATGCCATAGCACCCCTGTGCACCACAAACCTTCGCTTAGTAGTCCCCAGTGTCACATCTGCCTAGATCAGTAACTCTTTGATAGTATTGGTGACTATCTATTCTCTCTGAAGTAAGCTTTCTCCCTAAGCTGTCCATACTGTGTCTTTATTTCCCACGTGGTGTTTGTAGGCTTTGTTGTGATTTATGGTGTGGAAAACTGATAATGTTTTGAAATTACATTCGGGATTAGTCTAAGCTTCTCACTTTCTTTTGGTTACGACTCCTGATCATGAGACATTTGCTTGCTTTTGCTTTTCAGGTCTGCAGCTATATTCGACTGGACTCTGTCCCTTTGTGCCTTCAGTTGTCATGCTTTTGGTGTACTTGCTGCTTGCTGTCTCTGTTTTCAGCTCTACTGCTTTAGTGTTTATGTCTTTCTTTCCCCATCCTAAAGACGTCCGTCATTTCGGTTTCTTTTGCAAGCTCTCTTGTTTTCATCTCCAGCTTCTGTTGTGGGTGGTGTATTTTTGTTGGCTCCTTTTCCTCTCCTTTTGGCACGTTTTAATCTGCTGCAACCTGGCTTTAGCCTTCTGAGATTATTTTGACCTAGGCTAAGACACCTTCAACCCTTCCCAATTAACGTAAACTTCTTTGTTCTGCATCAGCCATCTACTTACCTGAATACTTCAGCCTTACTCTGTTTTTTTCTTTCTTGGCACTTGCTCTTCTCTCCTATTGTTTCCCCCCATAAGGAAATCTTGCTGTGTTCTCAGTCTTGCATTCTTCCCTGAGCCTTATCCAAGTCCAGCAGTCCGTCATGATGCAGTGTAGGCTTCCTCTGCATCCTTCTTCCCTTTAATGTTTGCATTCGGTTTGTTCTCTTCTTCACTGTGCTCTGCTTCAGGGTATATACCGGAGGGAGCTGCCACCATACTGAAACTGGTTTCCTTTTTCCACATGAGCTGTAACTATCAGGCCCTGCTGTCCCCCAGCTGCAGAGGGTGCCCCTAGATGGAAACCTGTTCCTTCACAATTCCCCCCTTGCTGCGGGGCTATTTCTGTCCCTCCACCACTTGGCACGTAGAAGCCTGAAAGGGTGACTGCATATGTTTCCAGTGTTGTGTAAGTGCTTCCTCAATCAGTCCCACCTGCAGTGCAGGAGGCCTGGAAGCAAAGAGGGGCATGCGTGGGAGGTTTTGGCCATTTCACTGTGTGTAGATGGAGTATCTCGCTATTCTAAGTGCTCACTGCTGGCATTGCTCACTATCTCTTGGCTTCTCCTAGAGCTACATAAGGATGTGGCAGTAGTCCTGTTTGTATTTATTTCCCATGTATCTTCTCTCAGGCCCTAATACAATCAGCTCCAAGCTGCAGCTTTCCTGTCAACTGGTAGATAAATGTTACGCATTGAGCTCCATCTCCTCCATGGGAATGTGAAAAATGTGGGTGTTTGGGCCATTTTTCTCCACGCCTGCCACATGGATCAGTTTCTCTCAGTGCCAAACACCAATTGTGCCAGAAGCTATGCAATTTGGTTCTACTCTTTCCTGTGTCTCCAGTTTGGCCAAGCTATCAGCAGTGTTGAACACCATTGCACGGAGGGCTTGGCTGGTGCTGCTTGCTGCTTCACCTTCAGAGAGCAAATGTGATGACACTGAAATTAGGAGTGGGTCAGTTATTCTTCATTAGGACTGGTGTGAACGTGAGATCTCACCCCTTAGCTGACCCTGAGAAGTGGAATATAGCCATCCCTCTTCCTTACTTAAAAATGCCATAGAAGCGTGAATCGCACACCACTATGTTGGTGTTACCACAGAGCATAAGGATACTTCAGTTGAGCCTTCAGTCCCATTGTACAGTATTTTTCCTTGTAGCTGTAACATATCCAAGGAGCAAACAGCCAACCTTTGCTTGTGTATGCAGAGGAGTATTGCACCCTAGCAAACTGATGGTCATGTTAATGTTGTGCACATGGGAAGAATGACAGCATGACAAAGTGCCACAATCCCCTCTTGAAGCCGTGCCGAGACGTGTGACACTAATATTTTTGTCTTTCAGCTGAGGTGGAAGGACTGCGAGTCACTGTGCCTGAGAAGAAGAAGGTAGCCATGTTGTTTCAGCCTGCTCTGCTTCGCTGCCATTTCTCTACTTCTTCCACCCAACCAGCTGTGGTGCAGTGGAGGTATAAATCTTACTGTCAGGACCGGATGGGAGAAGCACTGGGTATGGTGACTTCTGGTTTACAAACAATGAGCAAGAGGAACCTGGACTGGGATCCCTATCTGGACTGTGTGGACAGCAGAAGGACGGTCCGTGTCGTGGCCTCCAAGCAAGGATCTGCCGTCACTATAGGGGACTTCTATAAGGAGAGAGACGTCAGCATCGTCCATGGTAACTTTCCTACTCTGGTGATCTGTGATGGGGATTGGAAGTGACTCTTAGCAATTTGGAGTACTGGAGGCTGGTAATAGTTGTCCAGTTAATTCCTTTAGGAAAGGTGTCAGGCTGTTGTGTGACAGGCATTTAGGATTCAGCCAAGCAGCTCTGGAACCCAAAGGACGTTCGTTCCCTTTGGTGCTTCACTTCATAGCACAAATACTGTTGGGGCCCAGGCCTTACATGGTGGAAAAGACACAATGACGCTGGATACCTTTTCTGCTCTTGGCACTTCCAAAGTGAAATTCTGTGGCACTGGCTGTGTTGCCACATACAGGCACAGGGTCTTGATCTTGTTCCTCTTACTCCTGAATTCCTGTATGTCCTGGATAAGGTTAACCACTCTTTGTAAGGAAATGATGGTTTCAGGATTTGAAGATGGACTCACTCTTTCAATTGATGTTGGAGGGAAACCTTGACTTTTCTTTTCTGACTTTCAGATGCAGACCTTCAGATTGGGAAGCTGATGTGGGGAGACAGTGGGCTGTATTACTGCCTTATTATCACACCAGATGATGTGGAGGGCAAGAACGAAGAATCAGTGGAGCTGCTTGTACTTGGTAAGCTCTCTTGTCAGATCTCATCTTCAGTTGATTGCTGATGTATCTTTCCTTCTGTTCTCTTGCTCTCCCTCTACATATCTGTGCACTGTATTACTATGGGTATCAAATCTATGTAAAACAGTCCCTGCAGTACCTTCGCCATTGCCTTGCACGTTGTGCAGTCATTCACACCTAGGCAAAGTGGGTGGCAAGTGCTGCCAAACCAGAATAGTAATGTTTACACCCACACTGCTCACACATCAAATTGGTGTAAATGACTACAGAAAATGCTGGTCTCTAGGAAGTCAGAACCCTTGTTTTTAAGGCATAAAATAATAAACTTGTAGCAAAGTGAACATTTGAGACCATGTCTTTCTCTCAAAAGACATCAAATCATATGCTTTTGCAGTCTTTCAAGTCTCCCTTGGTCCTACTTTTCTGAGAATGCAAAGAAGCACTGTGTTTATCTGCTTGAGTGTGGCAATTTGGGATATTTTTCTTCCTGTTTAGTTGTACTTATACGCTTAAAGGTACAATTTCGTGATCACCCAGTCAAGTCTAAGCCAGTACTGCCACTAAAAGGACCTCTCCTCTCTGCAGTATGCACACTGGGCTGTGTGTGCCTCTCTTAGGCTTCCTTGTGCACTGTGGTCAATGAGATCAGGTTTTTGCCTGTTTGCAAGTTTAGCTTTCAGGTACAGCATCTAACAGTCCAGTTCACTGAATAAGTCAAAAGAAAGCACCCATCCCAACTATAGGAAAAAAGCAGAGTGGAATTGGACCTGTTGCGAGTGTTTGTTGAGTTTGCTTAAGCCAGTACTATACTGTTCCAAAAGGGTATTATGAGATTTTTCTAAATCTTAAGATCTGCTGACACTGATATATGTTTGTCTGGTTAGCATGTTTGTATGAGCTTTTGGGCTTACAGATCATGTACATTTTGTGAAGGAAATTTTAGAAAGTTTGGGCCTGTAGTTCACTGTGATACCTAGAGACATGCAGTAGAACACGAGATCAAGGGCACTTGACAGACAAGGCTCAGGTGAGAATTTGACAATTATATTTAGGGCTGTATTTGTCATCACAAAATGAACCAGATTGAGTAGTTTGGGTTAGGATCAGTGCCATCTCCTCTACTCATTTTTCAGATGTCAGTCAAGTGACAAAGTGGATCCCTCAAAAAAAAAAAAAAATTAATACGCCTGTCTAAATTCACAATATGACTGTGTATCATTCGCTGATTAATATCAGATCCAAGACTGACCTGGGTGAGTTCCTGTGGGGCTCTCTGCCATGTGAGGTTGTAGCTGTTACCTGGGCTCCTTAACTGTATCTGTATGGTGCTAGCCTGCTGAAAGGTGACTTTCTTCACCTTTCTTGCCATAGTTTGGTGTCTTATCTGTATCTGCAATTGTGCTCAGACACCAGTGATGATGCAGTACCATGGTAACAGGAAGAATCTGGTTTTCAGCATGCACAGAAGACGGTGGGGGGGAACTAAGAAATTACCTCCTCTGAAGCTGGCCTGATGATACCCCTGGCCATATGTCATTGTGGTTATGTTGGGAGGAAACATGGAGGTTAAGCTGTGTTACCTTGACTGCACCTGATCTTCTTTTTGCAACAAGGTCTGACCTTGCATGTTGCACAGCCCTTTGCTAAGTTTGGCAGCAGCATGAAGGCATATTTACTATGGGCATGCTTTGTTCTGCCTCATGCTGTTTGGTGCAGCTTGCATGTATTTCTTCTCCTGGATAATGTGCATAGAGGCAACTTTCCAGCTTTCAGAGTGAGTCCAGGTTACGCACCTATCTTCTTCCCAATGTAGTCCTCTTCTACCTGTGCTGTTTGTGGCTTTTTTTTTTCCTTTTTTTTTCTCCTCCTTTTCTTTCTCCCCAGTGATTGCTAAAGGAGGACAAGGTGGAGAAGGTAGCCAGTGGTGAAAGATACTATTTTTTAATATTCTGCTATCTTCTGGGACTTTCTTTAATATCATCTCATTACTCCATGAGGTATTATTGACTTGCAGAGACAGTGATACAGATGCAGATCTGAGCACTTCAGTAGTCGTAACGGATGTGTGGTAAGAGTTGTTTTTTCCTGCTGCTCTTTGAATGGAACTTGGATTCCTTGTAGACACTGGAGCAGCAGAGAGCTAGTATGTCTTGCAGACACTGCCCTTCCTATTGCACATTGCTGTTTGCTCCATGCCTGCAGTGGTCTTTCAAAAATATTTTCCATTGCTTATTTTGAGGCTGCTGCATGGTTTAAGCCTAGATTATAATTTTGAGTAGAGCAGATGTTCTACATGCTTAATCAGAATGAAAGAGGAAACAAAGATTTCTCATCTAATTGTTTCTTGTTAACGCCAAGATGTAAAGTGTATTTGGGTTAGAGAAAGGTGCTGCTTGGCAGGGAGTTTAATCTCATTTACAAACTTTGGAAGGTTGGAGAAGCAGAAGTGGTAGATACCTACTGGTAGTGTCAGTACACAAGTAGAAACTTAGTTTAAAAGCAAAGGATCCTGCTTTTATGCAGTGAAACACAACATCAAAATTTGGTCAAAAGCTACTCTGTCACAACCTGGGGCCAAATCCCAAACCTGATTAAAATTACAGTATTCCTTTTTTTCCTTAGAGGAAAAAATTGCAGAGATTTCTGGCTTTACTTTGCAGTTTTCCCAAAGGAGTCTCTGTAGCTGATTCACCTAGGCCATTATGGGATTGCATATTGAGCTTTGTCACCTTTACATGTCACACTGGCATGTGCACAATGTGGACAGCTCCAGGTAGCATCAGAGAATCCCATACACTGTCTTCATTTCAAGCCTATTTCTGAAAAGCACATAAGCATTTATCTACATCCATTCATACTCAGCAAAGCTGATAGGATTTATAGAGGTATAGCTGATGTTAAGCATGTACTTACATACTTTGCTGAAAAGATTGTTCAGTAGGTTTTGCTTCATCAAGGACTTCAACTCTCTCTAAGGGAATCAGCAGGCACGGGAAGGGGGATGGTAACCTCTGTGCCTCAGAAACACTGAAAGAGAATGAACCTATTGTAAAGAGAGGAGATGATTTCAATTTGGAAGTGTTATTATACATTTGTCAAATATTTGTATCTTGGGTTAGAATCTCCTGAGTCTAATATGCTAGAAATGATATGAACTCTACTTTTGCTAATTTCTAATGTAGAACTTAGCAATGAGTCAACAGGAGTCAAACAATGCTTTCCACACTCATGTCTTCAATATTTGAGAACTCTTTGCTTACAGCTGAGATAGTGAACCCATTTGCAATTTTGTAGTTTTTTTTTAACTGATAAATGTTTAAACCAAAAAACCTGAATCCTAGATTTCAGAAAGTCTCCTCTAAGTAACTAGCAGCTGAGTGACCTGGCTCTTGAAAGATACAGACAATGCTGTTAATCACATTGTTATTCATAGCATCTATGCACTACTTTTTATATGAGCATGTCCACAGTCCTTAATAAAGTCATTTGGCACAGCCATTGTTGAAAGAAACTGCACCATCTATATGCACCAGCATATGGATGCAGGGTGCCTGGAGTTCCTTTTAAAATGGAAGCACAGAGCAGGTTCAGGAGATACTCCATCCAAGGTGACTCAACTCACTTGAGCAGTCAAGCTTAATTGCATGGAACCTAGTAGGTTTTTCTGAAAGCCAGAATTTATATATTAGGTGCAGGGTCCTGCAAAAGCATCCATGCTGCCCCTTTCCCAGGCTTTTACCTCTATAGAAAAATGGTGTGGAGGTAGCCAGGCACAGCAGCTGCTGTGAAATGCATAGGTCTATGCAAACTTAGGAATGTTTGTGTTGCAAGCAAGTTTGTAAGTAGCTTAGATGTAGTATCATAGAATATCTTGGAAGGGACCTGTAACATAATAGAAAGCATAACAAGATGGCAGAGCAGCAAGGTCTTAAAACTACGGCAAGCAGGGATCTGCTTAGACATGATAGCAATAGGCACAAAAATAAGAGAAAGAAACTAGCTACTCTAAGAAGGCCTGTAAGGATCTCCAGATGAGATGCCCTCAACTCCACTGCCAACCCTTAAATGAGGTCTGGGAAGGGGTGGATTCTGCCTCCACCCCTTCTGGTCACTTGGGTGCGTCGCTTGCATCTGAGCTCCCCTGGGTTGGCCCTGCCTTCCCCCAGGTCCTCAATCAGTGCTTCAAGCTCTGTCTCAGCATTTCCACTAGGGACCTCAAAGGTCATCTAGTTCCAACCCCTCTACTGTGAGCAAGATGGCCACCCACTAGTTCAGGTGCCTAGGGCCCTATCTAACCTGGCCTTAAGTGCTTCCAAGAATGTGCTTCAAGACACAGTGGTTTCATTTCCACGAGCATTTCGAGTTGCTGGAGGAGGCAGCAGAGTGATCCACTAATTTCAGTTGTTGGTTTGATACTTTGGTCAGTGAACTTTGTGCTTTGTAGACAGCTGTTGCCTACCTTTCCTCCAGTGAATTCAGCAGCCAATGCTGCATAAATGTACATTAGTGAAATATTATTTTATAACTGATCTTGTAGAAGCTTTAGCCTCAGCTTCTACAATATTATATGTTAAAAAACAACCATTAGTTCCATAAGCTTTTCTTAATATCTGATGTCGGCTAAAACTTAGCTGATGAGTAAACTGAAATCACAGAACTGTAAGGATTGGAAGGAACTTTTGGAGATCATGCAGTCCAGCCTCCCTGCTAAAGCAGTTCCCTACAGCAGATTGCACAGGGAAGTGTCCAGACAGGTCTTGAATATCTCCAGAGGAGACTTTACCACCTCTCTGGGCAGCCTGCTACAGAGCTCTGTCACCTTCACAGTGAAGTTCTTCCTTGTGTTTACGTGGAACTTCCTGTGCCCCATTTTGTGCCTGTTGCCCCTTGTCCTGTTGCTGTACATCACTGAAAAGAGCCTGGCCCCATCCACCTGGCTCCCTGCACTTTAGATATTTATAAACAGTGATGAGATCCTTCCCCTCATCCTTCTCCATGCTCAACAGTCCCAGGTTTCCCACCCTTTCCTCATATGGGAAATGTTCCTGACCCCTCATCATCTGTGAGATCTTTGGTAGTTTGTATGACCAGCCAATACTCACGTAGTCTAAAACCAGAATTTGTCATGTCTAATAGCTGTAGGTGGGAATGGAGGTAGACACATTTGCATGCAGCTTTACTGCACCGTACCTAATGTGCTAATAGAGACATGCGTCAGCTTTCAGAGAGGATAAATCTCTCCTGGGACCTGTGTGTACGGTGCGCAATGCTAATTAGATGGCTCTTACTTAGCAAAATGACTCAATACCTGGTATAAATATAGACAGGTTGTGTGCTGGGAGAGACTGTGTAATAAAAGGTGATGTGACAGAAAAGTTCTTGGCAAAATTTTCCCAGGCAAAGAGGACTGTTTCAGGATTCGCTCTGTTTGGCTCAGATGCTGCTGGCAGCATGCAAGCCAGCACTTGGTCGCAGTACTGGCAGGGATGTCAGTGCCCCCGGCTAGGTGCTGGGGATGAAAGGGCCAGGTCTCAGCCAGAAGGTGTCCACGGGCACCTTCACAGAGAGCGAGGGCTCTCTGATCCTGAGAGTGGGCAGAACCAGCAGGCAGAGGCAGCGCTGGGAAAGCTGGCAAAGGCCTGGGTGCCAGGGAGGCCACTGGCCTCCCCACCCCCAGCACAGTCCTCCTTGGGCACTGCCTCCTTTGTAATCAGTTCCAATACTTTATCTCCTGCTCGTCTCACGCCAGGCTACTCCTAGTTCTTTATTTCACGCCATTTAGGAGCCCTACTTGTTGCCTAGGATTTTTTACCCCTCTTTTCCTTCTTATTTGCCTGTGACAGCCACATGCTGGTCACAAAGGAGGCTGGTGTGATTAAAGGCCTCCCTTACTAAGGTCACCATGGCAACAGCCTCCTTGGAGGTCTTTGTTCCCTGCTAAAACTTTGATCTCCAAGAAGGGCTGCTGTTATTCTCCCTCCAATTGGCAGCAGGAAGGGAAGGATGGGAAGGAAGAGTAAAGTTTACTGCGAGCAGAGGGAGTGCGGAGGAACTTGCTGCAGAGAGCCGTGCTGTCCCAATAAATCTGCCAGCAGCTTCCCTGGAAAAGTGGTGGATTTACAAGTGCCATGCTTCCTCTCTGCTTTCTGGCCTCCCTGGGGCTGTGTCCTGTGCCAGGGCCTCTGGCTGTGGCACAGTTTGGCAGATTCTTCTGCCTCTGAGGGAGAAAATGTTCCCTTGCAGCTGCTGCCTCCTGTGGTCCCGCAGCTGCAGGTGGAGCTGCGGAGGCAGCCCCCGGCAGGAAACCAGTTCAATGGTTATTCTTGCATTTACCAGATCCGTATCACATTGATGCAGTTGCCAGTATTTACCACGTTCTCATATTTATCCAATTGCCGCGCTCCTGACTGCACCTGCACCTACTTTATTCCTGCCATTGTTCTCTTTTGCTAAGTGCTTATCCTCATTATTTTCATGTCTTTTCTCTGCTCAGTAACTGTTTGACTCCTGCTTTTCCCTGCTCCACTGCTATTTGTTTCCTCCTACTCTAGTCCATTCTTCTCTTGCCTATCAGCTTCTGTCCTCACCCGCATCCCTGTACCCTGCGCACCATTGGAACTCTGCAGCCCTCAGCTTTCCCATCCTGTCTCTCCTCCACTGTTGTGCTGTGCTGTGTTGCCACAGGCCGGGGGCTGGTGGCCTGCCTCTGTGCTAGGCTTGGGGCATGCAGGGTGCCTGCTGTGGGAACAGTGATGGGAACGTGTCCCAGATTTGTGCTCACATGAGGACAGGCTCCTGGCTCGAGCAGAGCTGCCTGGGATGACCCTGGTAAACAGGACCATTCTCTGTATTCCTTCTTTCATTCAACGGTGCCTGCAGGGAGTTCAGTGTTGGGAGCTTGCATGGAAGACATCTTTGCAGATGGAGTCACGCTGCAGCTTAGCAGCCATGGTCCCTTCCTGAGTTTGTGTTGCTGGTAGTGTGGAGGGAGGTCAGCCTCTGCGAGGAGCACCGCCAGGAGCCTCTCGTCACTGTGGCAACCCGGCCTATGGCCAGACCTGGCTTGTCTGGCCCTGAGCAGAGCAGCAGCGGGGGGAAGGGTTGTCAGGGAATTCATTTGGGGGGAGAAACGGGGAGAGCTGAGATGCAGCAGAATCTGGGGGATACAGCCGCCCAGTGCTAAGGCTGAGGGGCAGCCCTCCTGTGAAAGCTTTGTGCACCCCCTCACAGTGGCAGTGGGGCCCCATGGGGCTGGGACAGTAACCCCTCAGCAGGACTGAGAGAGGCTGCACAGACAGGGAAGCAGTGACTGGTTATAGGTAACACGGGAAAACTGCTTTGGTTGTCTTTATCATGAGTCTTCACAGCGCTGTTGTTTTTGGGGGGTGCTTCTTATGTCTTGAGTGTAAGGTTCCTCTGGAGGATCGCAAGGCACTGTAAGCCCCAGCAAGTTCAGGGGTTGAGGCTTTTATCATAGAATAGTTTGAGTTGGAAGGGAGCCTTAAAGGCCATCCAGTCCATCTCCCCTGCAGTAAACAGGGACACCTACAGCTCCATCAGGTGTTCAGAGCCCTGTCCAGTCTGACCTTGAGTGTCTCCAGGGATGCGCTGTACACCACCTCTCTGGGCAACCTGTTCCAGTGCCTTGCTAACTTTTAGGATAGGTTCAAAACAAAGCATGGCTACTTGGGCTTGTGAGATGGAGCTTGAGCTTTATAGAGCTGTCACTGGGATTGCACGGTGAACAGCCTTACATTAGCTGTTCGCCTCTAGTTGTTTGTCCATTGATGCCTGCTGCTGGTCTTGGACTGTAACACAGAGGACCTACCCTGCATGTATTATGTGTGTGCCCATTTTTTGAGAGCAGAAAGCACACATAAGGTCTTCTGTACAATGAGCTAGCTGGCAGCAGTTTGGACAGGTGATGCTATCAATGTCATGAAACTGTATCTGTAGATTAAAATATTGCAGTATGCTGGTGGCAGGAGTCCTTTTCAAAGTAGTAAATGAGGAGCAACTATCTGAATGTTAAGCATTGTGTCTTTTGCTAAGACTTCAGGAGCACCCATGATGGTGTTACAGTGAGCAATAGACAGCTTTGATGAGTTGCAACTGTTTGCAAAGCACTGCCTACATTCAGAGGATGTTTATTATGGCTCCAGCAGGCATCCTGGTGGATTTTTTATATCTACAGAATCTCTGCTGAAACATTTAAGGAAAACAGAGAGTGGCAATCTCTTTGATTATAACATGCTTCAAGGACAGGCTAGAGAGCAAGGAACTTGGGATCCAATTCATCATTGTTTGAGCGCTGCTTCGTGCTGGACCTGCAGGACTATGGGGCAGCCTTTGCACTGGCTAGTCCTTAGCTGCCTTTGCTACAGTCCATCCACAATATATCTCTCTCTCAAATGGAACTCCCCTACCTTATGTATGTCATTAGAAAACCAAGCACGAACCTGATGCAATTTAAAGGAGCACAAAGCACAGATGCACACAGTCATGTTCTGCCAGTGCATAGATGTGTGTAAATTATATCTGAACACTGTGTAGGATGTTTGCTGTGTATCAGAAATATCCCAGACATTCAGTGCCAAAACAAATAGGCCCCAAACTGCCGTGGAGCTTGGATTTTTTGTTGTGTTCACTTATAAATTAAAAGTCAAATTCTTTTGTTTATTTGTTTGTTTTCCTTTTGCAATGTGATTCCATGAAGTTGCATAGGAATCCTTCCCTGGTTAATTTGCTCCACTGCAGGCTTGTCTTTATACAATCTCAATGAGTTGTTTGTTCATTGTGAAACAACCAGCACATACTCACAGTCATGTTTCAAAACATCTTTCCTGGAGCTGTTTCTGAAGCTGCCAGAGCCCCACATGGAGAGCCCCATCCCCAGGTGTCGAATGCATGTGACTGACTTGCCAAGGGCCTTGCGTTAAAGTTGCTTTACATCCATTTGAAAACTATACCAGTAATCTTTTTAAAGTAAACCAAATTCTTATGTTTGAAGGCTGTTGCGCATGTCCAGGAGCTTTTTGTATGTGCAAAGCATAACTCCAGCAAGATACTATCTTGTAATTATGCCAAGGAGACCTCCCTGTTCTTGTTGTTTTGTACCTAAATCAGAGCAACTCTGCTCCAGATATTCCTCCTGTTGCAGCTCTGCTAATGAAGACACAGTGCAAGGCCAGACAAATGGAAGTGGTGCAGGGGCAGACACCTGGCACTGAGCGTGGTGATATCTGTGGTTGACAGGAGTGCAAGTGGGCTGATGATGAAGGGGACTGAAAGCTAAGGCAGGGGATGGGAAGTTTGTTTTTCTTGCAGTAACCTTTCTCCTTGTTCTCCTCCTTCTGTCTCTTCTAGGCAGGACAGGGCTGCTTGCTGATCTCTTGCCCAGTTTTGCTGTGGAGATTATGCCAGGTATTCAGCCATTTCACCCATTAATTACCCAGTCTTCTGTCATCTTGTCTGTTTATCCTTCTGCAGCATCTTTTATGTGGTGTGCATTTTAACTCGTGTATTTTATCTGGGGAAGAAAAAAAAAAAAAAACTTGTTGCTGCTTACTGAGAATGTGTGTTGGGTTGAAAATGGAGGATTGAATCTGGGACAGGGACAGGAACGGGAGGTCTGGGAGATGACCCGTAGAGATGTTAATGCCCTGCCAGGATCACTGTGATAGCAGAAATTCCAGTGCTGTTCAGAAGAGGTTTCGTATCAAGCTCTCTTCTAAAGCAAAGGTAACACTGCTGCAACCTGTGAAGACACTGACAGCTTCATGTGCCCATATGGCTCTGTGTGTCACCCACCCTAGCTTGCTAGGAGCTTCCTCTGCCTGGCTGTGTGCTGTGGGTACTAATACAGCCATGGCCACAGATGGTAGCACAGGAGGTGCTAGCAGTAGAGCACTGTCTAGTGACACGTTGGTGGCACAGTCCTTGTGCTGCATGGCCAGGGCATTATCTAGGTGACACCAGGTGGTTGGATGGGCTGTGAGAGTTCTCTGCCCATGACAAATCGCTCACAAGCCAAACTAACAGCTGCCAATTCTGGCGCTCCTTAAAGAAGAAACAGCAACACATTGTCCTTGAGAGGGAAGAGCTGTGGGAACATTTAGCCCTAGAGTCATGATCATCCCCTGACAGTGCCCAAGAAGGCATTCTTTCACACCTTTGTGCAAAAATACATCTCCACATAAATGTGTGAAGCTATTTTCAAAGCTGTCCCAAAGATGGAAATGGAGAGAAGGCAAATACTCCCCACCTCCAAAGTAACCAAAAGCTCCCTTGAAGCTCACTGTGGCAGGAAAGGGATTGATGTCTTCAGCACAGACAGAGATTGATTCTCTGTTTCCTAACATTATTTTTCACTGTTTACAGTCTTAATGGGTATAAAATTCCTGTATGTTGACCAGGTAATTTTCTGGTACCCCCACTGTGTGTGTATAAACAACAAGAAAGCGTAGAAGGCAGTGACAAACCACACATCATCTGAGTAAACAAAATCAACCGCTCTTAAACACAAACCAGTGGTTTTCAGGCAGTGAGGCCACGTAGCATTTCAACTTGGTAAACAATTAAATCTCAGGGTTACACAATTGTTTCTGGAGGAGCTGTGAGAGAAGGTAATGGTTGTTCCAGCTAGAATTTGGGAATTGCAGGTAAAGCTGTTTGAACTCCCAGTTTTGTGCATTAAGGAGGAGCCAGCAGGCTCTTTTACTGCTTTCATGGCCATATCACAGAAGCAAATGGTCTAACTTTCTGTGAGATCAAATCCTGACTCATAGGTCCCCATGACCTGGATGTGGATTTTAGGTATCTTCTAATGGTGCTGAGTGAATATATTGCAGTGCATAAAGCGCATACAAATCTGATATCTTTTTATACTCCAAGAACATTTTCAGAGGGACCACAGGTATGCTACAGTGAACTTGCTATTTTTTTCCTCTACCAGGCTTTTGTCCCTTTATCTTTTTATCTTTTGTTAGTGAAGAGTTCACTGATAGGTCTGGAGACCTGACACCTGCACTTCACTGTGTAGCTGTGGCTGGTCACTTCCATCATGCAGTGCTTTTTTTTTCAACAGGAATGTGACAAAAGAAGCCTCTGAGCTGTTGTCCTGCTTGGAGTGGCACAGATTAGGAAACACCAGACTGGAATAAATAGTCTGACTCTCTATCTTTCTTGCTTCCCAAGCACCTTTTAATTTTATACTTCTCATAAGCTTAGTCTGATTTTGTCCTTTCTTTCTCCCATTGGATATCTTTCTTTGGTACACTGCTTCTAGCTTCCATCTGCATTGCTCATAGCCTGTTTGCGCTTGTTTATTTAGGACCTTTAACTATAATGCCTTTTTTTCCCCCTAGCATTCATTCTCCTAGCATATTTCCAGGCAACAGCTATGACTGCTCTCAGCCTTCTTTTTGATGGACTAATGCAGCAAACTTCTGCTCTCACTGTGCAAGGCAGGTTGTCAAATCCCTTCATTGCTCTTGAATCTTTGCTTTGCATCAGCTGCTGCCTCAGTTAGCCTTTTCTTGTACAAAGATGACCAGAGCTGTATAACATCAGTAATTTCAGGTGGAGTCGCATGAAGTCCTTGTGTAAAAGCATTCCTGAATGCTCCTGGAAATACCTCCACTATGGAGCACTGGATTATTTTTACTTTTTTTTGTAGATGTATAACATTAGCAGTTACAGTTGTCCTGTGGTGGAATTGTCCTTTCTTTTTTGTTTGTTTTCAAGTAACGTGGTCCCCATCACTGCAGAAACTGTCCTTGATCCTTGAACGTGCAACTCTACAATTATTGTTGCATACCTTGAAGTTCAGCATATTGTCGTGTTTCGTGTTTCTTACTGTAGGCCCAAGGACAATTTGCCCTTTCTTTAAGACATCCCAGCCTTTGGTGACTATGCTTTGCTACCTCTTGCTCTCAAGCTGCATTAACACGTTCTTATTTTCTGTCAAGGTCATTCAGGAAAACAATAAAATGGTTCCTAGAACCATCCTGAGGAATTGTACTAGTAAGTTCCTATCAGCTGTTACCTTTCAATTGATGAATGCTTCCCTCCAGCCATTTCCTTATCTGTTAGCTCTTCTTTTTCTTCTTGACATAGACTAACAAAAAAAAAAAAATTCCACAAGGACCAAAATTAATGCAAATTTAAGAGAAATTCAGCTGTTTCAGCCACGAGCGAAATAAAGTATTTAAAAAACATAAAACATTTCACTTTACACTTCTGAAATGAAGTGTTTTGATTTGTAAATGCCAGATCTTTCGCTGACATTTTTTTAAAGGAAATTTGAAAGGAATTTTAAAGGAAGTTTGAAATTAAAAATTGCATTTAATAAAAGCAGTGGTTTGTAAAAGGGTAAAGGAAAATGCCAACAAAGGCAACAATTTTACTTCTGTTCAAGCAGAATGCTCTCGATGAATCAAAAATGAGATTTCTCGTCTTCGTGTTTTAAAAACTAAGAACTAGACAAATCTTGTGTTTTGGTTGTTCCAAGCTGAACACCTTTTCTGGCCTTTTCAGCTCAGTGACCCAGGTGAGAGGTACTGCATTTATCCAGTGTGATTCTCTACTCACAATGCAATCCTTGCAGCAGCCTTCTGCAGCTTAAAGAACAGTGTACTGGGAAGCCCTGCAGTGAACACTTGACTTCTGTTCAGAAAGAGTGGTCTGTTGCTGTTTCCACCGCTGAACAACCCTACCACTTCTTTCTTTACCTTCCTAGCAGCTTTCCAAGGTGGCTGGACAACCTTGTAGGAACTTGTGGAGGCCTTCCCAGCTGGTCTTCATTTACCAGCAGTCTTGAGTTCTGGTTAGGTGGTTACATCCCTCTGCTGCAAAGGGGTAAATTCAGAGTCTTGGAATTCCTTGGTGTGGCTGTGTTTACTGACCATTCTGCTGATCCAGGGGGCTGCCGTGTGGAGGCATGTGCAGCTTTGTGCACACCATCCCCTGTGCAGTGCACGATGGTTAGACACGAAGCTGGGAGCTGCCCCATTGCAGGCTAGGCACCTGTCTGCACCACAGCTCCTGCTGCTGCAAGTTTCCCACAGCAGACTTTGAGAAACCTTTCCTTGCTCCCCTTCCCACATCATGTAAACGGAGACGATAAAAACCCCATGGTGATTTTTGTGACCAGCTCTTCTACCTCATCTCTTTTACAGTCTTCATCTGAGGCTTAAGCGAAAATGAAAAAGAAGTGGCTGTTAGGTTTCCTGACTGGCTGCAGCGCCTGAATAGGATGTTCGTTCAGCACATTCAAAAGAATGATTGTGTGCGTGGGCCTAGTTGCGAAGGGGCAGGCCTGGCTCATTTGCTGGGTTATTTATAGCCTGCTTTTCGCCATAGTTTGTGCCCATTAAAATTAGAATATAGTTAGGGAACAAGCACACAAGCAGGGCATGAACGTAGGCAGGAAGAATGAGTCTTAGATGAGACACAAATGCTAATGGAGCACGTCCTGCAGCATTCATACAGGTCTGCTCTGGGACAAAGGGTTTCCGTATTGGGGAGACAGAGCTTTTGCCTCCGTGCTGCTCCTTCTCACATGGGAAGGGACTACATTCCTGCAGCTCTGGTTCTCAACACCATGTGCCATTTCTGCTCAATGCAGTTCTAGGCCAGGAGGGAACCCACTTTTGCTAACAGCCTCACCTGCCTGTCTCTGCAGGGACAGTGTTGCTGCCATTCCTTTCTCCAGTGATGTGCAATCCTGTAAGTTTCTTTTTCTCCCTGTTTTTTCCAGAGTGGGTCTTTGTGGGCCTGGTGATCCTGGGAGCGTTCCTGTTCTTCCTCCTGGTGGGGATCTGCTGGTGTCAGTGCTGCCCGCATAGCTGCTGCTGTTACGTCCGCTGTCCTTGCTGCCCTGAGTCCTGCTGCTGTCCCCGGGCGTGTGAGTGACCCCATCCAAGCTGATGCAGATCTTTCATACTTCTGCTCCCTGGCAGGAGCAGAACAGGAGGAGAATCTGCAAATGTTGCTTCCTTTGCCCTGAGCACTTTGCTTAACTGAAGAACTAGTTCCTGGGGAGTGAAGCATCTGACCTATTACTCAATGGTTGAGCGCTCAAAGTTAATTACAAATGTAATTTTCCAAGTCCTCCCTGCCTTGGCAGCTGTGCCTTCTTCACAGTGTCGTGCTCCTCTTCCAAAGTTGCCATCATGTCAGTGAGTGTTGTGGGGGCAGACTAAAACCATCCAGAGAAGTATTTTCCCAACATTGAAAAGCAGCTGCCTTCTGCAACAGTGCAGAATCCTTGTGACCCAGCAAGCTTCTCCCATCGGAGTCAGGCAGATCTGTCAAGTTTCGTGAGCCTCATTCCTGCAGCTTGAGTCATCAGTTGTTTCAGAAGCTGAATTGCCACTAAATGGTGGCAGCAGAAACGCTGTCTCAGACACGCTGGTTGTCTTTCTGTTGCCAGACATCTTACAGTGTTCACTTGACATGTGCATTTTTTAATTCCCCCAGTTCCCGTGGAGGCTTAGAGAATATCAGATTGGTCCTTGTCATTTCATTTGTCCAGTTATCTCCTGCTGGGATGTCACCAGCATCAATGGTTTGCAGGTTTCTGTCATGTGACACGTGGGTCTGGAGAAAGCTGGTGCAGTGCTGACTGGTGTGTTCTTTTTGTTTTTCAGTGTATGTTGCAGGCAAGGCAGCAAAAGCAGGGTACCCTCCTGCGGTCTCCTCCATCCCAGGTCCGTACTACATCCCCAGTGTTCCTGTAGCTGGTGTCCCGTCTCCTGCTGTGCTAATGGATAAGTCACACCCACCTCCCTTGGCTCCAAGTGACACTGGTGGAGGAAACCAAAATGGTAATTCACAGCATTCGGTCCACGTACTGGGAGCAGGGCTGAGAAAGGGAAGGGTGAACATCATCTATAGAGTGCTATGAACAGGGTAATCCTGGAGAAACTGCATCTTGATCCTGACATTGACAATGACAGCCGCATCCCTTAGGGCCATGTAGTCCAACCTTCCTAGTGCTGTCAGCGGAATATCAGCTTGAGTAATGAATTAGGTCAGTGGAGAATGGGAGGTCCAAGCTCTGAGCCTCGTTTGATACAGCTGTAAAACTTCACTTGCAGGATAAAAAAGGGTGAATGGTTTCAGGGGAGCAGAAACAGTGGCCATTTTCTTCTTAGAGCCAATGCCTTAGAAGCTACTCTTTCTTGGTAAACCACTCTTGCTGCTCTCAATGGGTCACTGCTTGCCCTCCTGCAGCAGTTTCTGCTGTAACATGTGGTGATGTCCATGTAACAATCTGGGCACAGGAATGTGCCTCTTCATCATTTCTACCCAAGAACATTAGAGGCTGGATCCCTTCCCCTGTGTTACAGAAGTCACTAGGTCATTTGGCTTATTCAGCCTTTTCATTTATGAACTGTGAGTGACAGAATGCTTCTAACTAGAAGGGAGTTATGGATCGATATCAGACACGGAGTATTGGTACGGTGGCTCTGTCTTGGTTCAGGGTCACTTCTCCTGCTGTGAAAGGAAGCTGCCTTCAGGAAGGATGAAGTATTTAGCCACATCAAGCGTTTCAGGATCAGAGTAGCTGTCTGATCTGAAACTTTCTGGAGAGGAAGTGACTCTTACCAAGGTAGTCTCCATACTGACACAGTGTGTTTGCCATTGACTCAGCCACATCTGATTTCAAAGCACTGCACTGATAATCAGTCGTTAAGTTTACTCATGATAGTGTGTTGATAAGAGAGTTCCAAAAAAAAGACACAATCAAGTAGCATTCTCAAGTAATTAAGCTTTTGGAACAATCTTCTGCAGCCTTTCCCTGCCCCAGTCAATGCATTAAACTTTCCAGAATTACTAGAAGTATTTTCCTTCAACAGTCTGATAGTTTTTTCCCCTGAAATAAAAACAGAGCCCTGGAATGAAACATTTTGAAATAGGAAATAAATCAGTCACTGACCCAAAGCAGAATGTATCCAATTGAAAAATCTTTGTTGGAAAGTGAAGAAAAACAGCTCAGTGCTTTTTTTTTTTTTCTTTCTTTTTTTCCCTCTTGTGCTAAATGTCACTTCATGTAGAGTGCGGCATTGGCTGTGGGAACCTGAGGGATTTTGTAAGAGTCACGTCACAGACCCAGTACTCATCTCTTTACCAGCAGAGCACAAATGCAGAGTGTAAAACAGTGGATGTGTTTGGAAATAAGATGGAGTGGCTCTTGGCATCCGTGTTTATAACACAGAAGGGTGCATTTATTATATAATCCAAAATGGTGAGTCTTAAGCCCTTAACTCAGAATTTGACAGGTAATACTACGTGTTTCCATAGTGGTAATACTAATATTATTACATTGAGTTTTAGCTGTTGTGAAGAGACAACAGAGTTTCTTAAGCTTTATTTTTCTTAATTAATATTTACTGTAATAGTTTGGACAAGGCCTTAGCCCGGATCGTGCTCCTGTTGTTCAGGGGACTGCGTGTAAAATGTGTTCCTAGAACTGTGCCAATAAGGAAGATTGGTATCAACCTACATTCTCTTCCTTGCCTCTTAGGCTCCTCCATCATGTGCCAGCATATCCCTAATTAGATGCTGTAGAAGAGAAAACAATTACGTGGCACTTTCAAACTATGTGTTTGCTGGTTGGCCACACAGCAAGCTAAACAAAACAGTTAATGGTTGAATGGATGGCAAAGGTCTTTGCCCAGAGGAAACACTAATTACGATTTCTGTGTCTTCCACATAGCCAGGATAAGTCTGATCTGAAACTTGTAAAAGCTTTATATCTGTGAGACTTCAGTCCTTCTGTCTGGTTCATTTGAAATTGGTCAGTGGGATCAGAAATGCTCTGGGATGGAGAATGGAGGATTCTGTAATCCTGTCTTGACTGTCTGCAAAGGGCAGCCTTTTCCTTAGCTGGCTTCTGTGCTTGGAGGTGACCCATGTGAGGTGATCTGGTGAGCAAACTAAGGTGTGGGGATATTTTAAAGAGTAGCCTACAGTTAGTTACATAAATACCGCACAACAAAGCTCCAGTGAAGCTTAGAAACTCTGTCTTAAACTTAGGTCTGAACAGGAAATAAAAGTGAAATTTCAGTTCTCATATTTAGAAGATGGTTGGCAACACATAAGTTAGGATGTATGCTCTGCCTATTTTAAATGTAATGGTTGCCTGGAGACTTGCACAGATTCTCTAATCCATGCACATAGGGAAGTCTTTGATCCAAGAGCTGAACTCCAGACCTCTCCTACGAGAAGTGTAGAAGGATGAGAAATTTCTTAATTCCCAACACTTGCCCCAAAAAAATAGCAGTGCTGTCCTTTCAGGAGAGGAAAACAGTTTACAGTTTTGTCTGACTTGGTTCCACCCACAGAAGAATAAAAAAAAGCCTGCCCGTAGTTACACAGATTAAGCATTAGAAATTCATAAACTGTTCAGAAGAGGAAAATAAACTGTAACAGGGAAGAACATTCCATTCTTTGTGACTTAGAGAAGGAGTGGTTTAATATCCCTGCATCTTCATTTCCATATAATTGAGATGGGCTTAAAAATATGCAGACCTTATTAAAGGATTAAAGGATTCTGACAATTTGTAGAAGAAGAAGGGTATGAAGAGGAAGCATGTGAGAATTTGGTTCTCACGTGAGGGAATAATAAAGAGATTTAATAATTGCTGGAAGTATTCAATAAACTTAGAGACAAAATATGCCTTATCTATAATAGAAAATACCTTTTATGAGCTGCTCATGGTCATCTTTGCAGATTTAATTTGAAGGTTAATTTCTAGATGCTTACAGAATTAACCAAGAAGGTAGTTTTCCTTTTGATACACAGCTGCAATAGCGAGTCAAGCATGAAGCTAGCATGGTGTCTAGCTAATTCTCCCATCATTTTCAGGAGCTATAGATGTTGCCCAAATAGATGTTTGGCACAGTCTCAGTATGAGCGCTGACTCTGAGCCAGAGTCTGGAAGCTGCTGCTCAAGGTCCCCAAAGGTTATTAGTAGGTCAGAGTCATTTCCAGCTGATGGTTGGTTGTTGGCCTGTGTAGAAATGAGGTGGTAGCTCAGCTGAGCTCCCGAGAGGCACGTTAGTAGGAAGAATAGCAAGAGGTCTCTTTCTTGGCAGTGTACCAGATCAGAGCTCAACAATAGTGAGGCAAAGTGGAGAACTTGCTGTGCTGTTGCTCATGCTGTGCCAACCCTTCTTCATAGCTGCAGCCTCACTCAAAGAGACGTGCTGGCCTTCTGCTTTGAAAGGCAGAGTTCCTTGCATTCTGTAAGTCATGTTGTGCATTTACAGTCATTATACGTGCATTTATGGTGATAATAAAACTGAAACCCAGGCTGCTGTTGGCTGAGCTGTATGGGTTTGTTCTGGAGACACGCTGAAAGCAGGACTGTGATAGACACGTAGTACGTTTTAACACCTAATACCTTTTGTACAAAGTAATGCACAAAGTAGTATTTCAGGATGTAGTTATTTGCTTTACATGCACACAGTCAAAACCCTCAGTAAAGCACATTCCTTTCTCAGCAATTTTCAGGATTATTACAGGAATTGTTCCACCTGTTTCTGTGGCACAGCTACTTCTGAGACAGAGCCATGGTTATTTAATAGTGCACAGACACAGGCATAGCCATTGAGGACAGAAGGTGCCTAAAAATACTGCTGGCAAGTCCTTATTCAGCCCACACAGTACATACTATGCAGCATACTATCAAACCCATATGTTAAGGCATGATCCATTGGGGTATGGAATAAAACAGAGAAGAAACAGTGGCTCAGTACCACCATCCAGCTGTTTTTTAAAATTATGCCTCAAGGGGAATGCTTGTGCAACACTGCAGTGTTAATGCAAGGGAATATACCAACCCCCTGGAAGGCAGACAGGTTCATTTTGTGGTAGTAAGTCACATCCTCATGACAGTGCTCTGGTGAGGCTTTGAACATTCACTCTTTTGGACTTAGACCTGTGTTCGTGTCCATCTTGGAGTAGCTCTGGGTTGAGACCTTCCTTAAACAATCTGCTGTAGAAACGTTATATTCTTCACAGCTCCAAAAGGCAGATTTCTACTTGCTAGCTGTAGGCCTGCCTTGAGGTCGCCAGGTTAGCCATGAAGTGTGCTTGGAGCCAGCCTACTGGAGTTAGAGCTGCTGTAGCTCCAGGTGTGTCTCTTCTACATGAAGGAAGATAGCAAAGCCAAAAAAGCTGTCCAGACTTCCCCTGCAAATGGAGTAATCCCAGTTGAGAGCTTAATGCATATGTGAGACTCACCTTTTCTGTAAGATAGAGCGCATAAAGAATGCCAGAGGAAACAGTTTCAGTTACTCAGTAACCTGATTGGCCCCTTTATTGAGTTTGGTATAAATTTCAAAGCAGTGTGGTGTGCTTTATGGGACTCTGTTTCTATCTGTATCCTGTGGAGCTTCTGCCACATGTTCTTCTACCTTTGTGAGCAGAAGTCCTTGAGTGAGGAGATGGGCTGGTCCTGCTTAGTGCAGCTCCCAAATGCTCAGCCACCTGCTTCCCCTGCAGTCTCATGACCCCTGCTGCATAGAAGCAGTCTGACCTTCTGGATCTGCTTCTCCCATGCCATGACAAATCCTTCTTGTATCACTGAAGGGAAACGAGTGCTACTTTTCTCTTTGTCATCCTCTGTCACCATTTGATGTACGTGGTTCTATAGGCTGGGCATTTCCAAGCCATTTTTGCTGTCTCTGTAAACTTTATAAATGATGCCGCTGCTCACAACTACACGTCCCACCTTACAGACAGATTTCTCCTGAAGCAAGGACTGACTCATTGTTTTGGAGGCTGCAGCCTACCTGCCTGCAGACATGAACTCAGCTATCGAAGCAGTATTGGCTGAAAGTCTCCTTGAACTTCAATGCATTTTCCACTGATTCCTTTTAATTTCTCCGTAGCAGTGCGCAAAGGGTACAGGATCCAGACTGACAAGGAAAGGGACTCCATGAAAGTGCTCTACTATGTCGAGAAAGAACTGGCTCAGTTTGACCCAGCGAGGAGAATGCGAGAGCAATGTGAGGAACAAGAACGGTTTGAATTTTTTTTTCACTGACCTGAAAAGTACTCTGCAAATTCATAGCTTAAAGTTAGCTGTCTTTGTTTTGAGAGCCTCTAGGATATAATGCTTGGGATGGATAAAGTCTAGATTTTAGGAATCTGTGGGTATATTCTGATTTTGAAGAGCTGGTTCTTATCTAATCATCCTTCATCAGAGTAAACAAGGTGTGGGAAACTGAAACTATTAGGAAAATTGGCCATTCAAGTCACTGAACTTTTGAGTCATCATTGTCTGAAAAGCCAGGTCTGTACTTGAGCCTTTTACAATCTGTAGGTATATGATAATACTGTAAATATAGCCCCCAGAATTTCTGCATGTCTTACAGTGTGGCTGCCTCTAAACTCCCTGCATGGCAAAATAGGAAAGGGATGATTTTATTGAAATTATATTCTATGGACTGCAGTGACTGCAGCATGGCTGGAGCAATGCAGAAAGTTTGGAATGATTGTTGCCCTGCAAAGTGACTACAAGAACTCCTCCATGCAGGAGTTCCTGCATGGAACTTCTCACTGTTTTCCTATGGCCTCTTGCAGGCTGTATAGATAAAGGCAGAAGGATTTCTTAGGGGTGTCAGAGTACAAGGCCGAATGAGGATCTCCCTTGCTTTAGGAGAGAGAGGTGCAGTAGTAGGAAGGGGTATGAGAGGGACTTGTAGCACCACTGTTTATCCTGTGTCTGTTTTGTGCACAGAACAAAACAGTAGGGCAGGGGCTCAGTTCCTCTATGCAGCACCTGACGTGCTGTGCTAACCCACATTAGCAGTGGTAGAGGCTCTTTTAAAACAGATATGTGAGATCCTGCAAATCAATGAAAGTAAGGGCTTTGGGGAATGACATTAAATCAAGGTTTTGTACGGATTAGGCATAACTAACAAATTATATGTACTTCTAAAACAGTCATTGCTCAGTACACTGTCTTCTCCACCCACAAGATTTACTATAAAAAGACCTCTCCAGATTGGTGTGTCAGGCCTCCAGATGTCAATGTGCTTGATGAGGCAGAGACTGACAGTGATTCAGACAGTCTCTTATATTTTTTAAAAAAACCTTTTTTTTTTTTTTTGAGGGGGCTGTTTTTGTTTAACTGGGCAAATCAGGCCAAATCCAGAGCCAGCCTGTCTCACACCAGGAAAGGGGGGGTGGCACAACTGCTGTGACAATGTGCCACCTCGGGGCGGTGGAGAGCTCCCACGTGTTGGTGAAGCAGGGCTGAGGAGAGATTTCCATTTGAAGGCTGAGCTCAACTGTCTGAATGCAGGCATCTGATGCCATTTGAGGTACCCTTTGAGTGTCCCCAGTTACTGAGTACTAGCTCAGAAGGTAGGTTTGGCAGCAGTCCTGTGTCCAAACTGAGACCCAGGAGCCTTAGGCTTCACATGAAGTTTTGGAGGATATCCTTGGGTTCCATTTTGAACTTTTTCTAATGAAGGGCAGTTTAGCTTCTTTCTGAAAAAGCTGCAGCCACGTTTATTACAGACTTCCTGTCTTCTCATCCTCACATACGCCCTGAGGTGATGCCTATCTTACTTATTTTCTACAACTTCCCCTGCAGATAACAACACTGTCTCTGAGCTCAGCTCTTTGCATGAGGACGATTTGAACTTCAGGCAGCCCTACCGCCAGGCACGGAGGAAACCTCTGCCTCCTGCAGAAGACCTGGATGGTGATGCTGAGTACTGGGCAGGAGTCATTGGTGGGGGCAGCACATCGAGATCACAGGCGATCTCTGATTACAGAGATGAGAGGGACAGTTTCCGGCACAGGTGAGGAGTGCTGTGTTTGGGAGGCTGCTGTATAAAAGTGATAGAGAAAAGCCAGATGTACTGGGAGCTTTTCTCCATTTCCTCCTGCCCCGGTCCAGTCTACCAAGATGGAGAGAGGCTGTAGCTGTAGAGAAAGATGGAAGTGTCATTAGATTAGGACAGCATGAATCTGGTTTCCACAAGTCTGCTGAAGCCTGCCAAGCTGGGTAAAGCTAGGTACTGATACCATTCCAGGTGGGGTGCAAAAGTGAGATAAATAGGAGAAACAGAGCTTCCATAATGCTCTACACAGAGTTGTACCTGATCCCTTGGACAATTTTTGGTGTCGATGTGCTTAATAGGAATCACAAAACTGGCACCTAGATGAGAGATGCTGTGTGTATGCTTTTCCCTCATATGCCAGCAGCCTGATCTCCCAGAAGTAGTGGCAAGGATTTGTTTCCTTCAACCCTGGACTAGTGTTCCAGTTCACTTACCTTAAACCTGTTTCAGAATTAACCTTCTGTGAGCTTCTATAGCCAGGTTCTTGGATTTTGCCAGCAGGACATACATCTACAAGTGCTGGGGCCAAGAGGAAGTAAGTCCAGTCCTGTCTAGTGAAGGACAAGGGAACTGCATCCTGGGGTTAATCTTGGGTAGACATGTAGAATCTGAACTATCCACAGTGGGCTGCCTTTACAGTCAACAGAGAGAAGTGGGCACTTCTAGGATGTGGTACATCTCTTGCTACGGAAGGTGATAAAAGCAGGTCAGATGATTCATGCCCCAGCAGAGCCTGTTTCCCTCCATTATTTGTGAAGGCAGCCAAAAGATGAGTGTAGCTGATTCCTGCCCTCTAACACTATTTTCTCTCTCTTCCAGCCAGCAGAGATCCAAGTCCGAGATGTTGTCCCGCAAGAGTTTCTCTGTGGGAGTTCCAGCCGTCTCTATGGACGAGCTGGCAGCCTTTGCAGAGTCCTACAGCCAGCGGGCACGGCGGGCAGACAGCCAGGAGACTCGGCGTTTCGAGCGGTCGGAGTCACGCAGTGGCCGTGCTGGAGGGCTGACCCATCAGGATAGCTCCATGGAGGAGTACTACACTAAGCGCAGCAGGGGGAACCGAGAGCCACTGACGGACTCGGAACGGGGCTGGTCGTACAGCCCGCCCCGGAGACGGGCCCATGAGGAGAAGCACCTGCCCAGGCTGGTGAGCCGGACACCCGGAGGGAGCCAGAAGTACGATCACTCCTACCTCAGCAGTGTGTTGGAGAGAAAGTCCCGGAGCTATGACGAAAACGGTGACCATTGTGAAACCCCCTCAAAGCTGAGCTCACAGCCCAGCCAGAGAGGAGGGGGAACGTATTATGCTTGGTCACCGCCTTCTACCTACAAATCCGATACGTCTCAGCAACAGACGCCACCACCCGAGCAGGAGGAAGAGGAGGACACCCTGCCTCCCTACAGCGAGAGGGAGCTGAGCCGAGGCCCTTCTTACCGGGCCAGGGAGCAGGCCTACCTCAACGCCTCTGACAAGAAGAGGAAGAAGGATCCCAAGAAAACAGTGAGGCCCTGTCTTGTGCTGCTGATCCAGATAGGCTAAGTAGGGAGCCAACAGCCAGGGGTTGCTGTTTAGAGACTCTCCAGCAGTTTAGAGACTCTCCAGTTTGTGAGAGAGTAGAGCCTGGAGTCTAAGTGTGAGGAACCCTCAGTAGTGCAAGGAACTCTGCAGAGACCTCAGGGGCATAGTTGCGAGGTGACAGATGTTCCTGAGTGTTTGCCCATGAGCAGGTGTGCCATGCATGCCAAAGGCACACAGAGTTACATGGGATGCCAGTAGGTGAAAAAAATCCTGCCACAGTCTGGGCTAGCAAGAGCTGACAAACACGTAGTTTTTGGGGAGAGGGAGACAAACCAAAGTGGCCTGTGTGAGAAAAAAAAAGGGTGTCAGCTTGACTACATTGTTGCCAAAGCTACATCCATCTGATTGTCTGTTCTGTGGGTGCTTTCCTATTGACATCTCTCTCCTCTCTTTCAGAATGATTTCCCAACGAGAATGTCCCTCGTGGTTTGAAGTCACTGTGGACATGTCATGCCAATGGGATGGATGCCATAATGTTGCTGCAGTGGAAAAGATGCAGAGCAACAAGCAAACTGGGCCCCAGTGAACCTTTTCAGCCACCAGCCAGGGACTCCTTGTTCAAAAATTGTTTCATCAGGGCGGTAGACTCCCATAAAGAGCACCCAATCTCAGAGGCTTTGGAAGTCTGCCAGGAGAATGAGCCAGGGCTCTCTTTGGCACCCTCCATTCTGCACAGGAAGGCAGCCATGTCCTTACGACCCCTGCAGCCCTGAACTAGGAGCAAGGCTGCCTTTGTGCCTCTTTTCCTATCTCACGTGCAGAAAGAGGCCTGTGTGCATACCTCAGGCTCCCTCTGTCTCCTCTGTTCACTGGATCAAAATTGTCTCCATGCTTAGAGTCTATTCTGTATCATCCCCACGCTGGGAGGAGACCTTGTTCTTACAACTGCAGACTGCCTCCAAGGCTCTAAATTATGAAAGAAAATCTACATCCTTTCAGATACCACAGAGCAGGACTGATGAGGTGTTTCTTGCAAGGGCTGAACAGAGAGAGAGAGAGACAAGTGTGGTCTGGTTTGTTCAATATATTTAGTTATGTTCATTGTGTGCTGAGAGTTGCAAGTGAGATTGATGTATTGTTTTGAAAGTGGATCAAAGTAGCTTTTCTTGTGATGAGAGCATGATGTATTTTTTCCCCTTATCCCCAACTGTGATTTGTTTTGATAAAGTTGCATTTTCTTGCAGCTCAGCTACGACCCTTTAGAGCTTCAAGCTAGAATATGTACTCCACATATGGTAAGAGTGCTCCAACTTTGCTGGTATTCTGCTCCCAGCACTTCCAGACTTAGTGGCCTTTTTATTTTAAAGAAGTGAAAGGGAAAAAGATGCAGTGAGAAGGTTGAAGATCTTTGTTCTGTGATACTGGGATTGCTCCTTTCTGGTCATTGTTCCCAGGCATTGAACAAGCAGTGACAGCAATTGGAAAAGAATTGACACTGGGTGAACACGAACCTTGAAAGACCTTTTTCAATTACAGTCATTTCTTTCACTACAGTTGTGACATGATTTTAGTGGCTGTTGTCTCAGGAACAGCTGAATTTAGAAGTGACTGCACCACGCCATCTGGAAGCCGACATTCTGGTTTTTGTGGGGTAAAATGCAGTCATTCCTCTATATTTTAGCTGCTAAAATTACATGAGGAAAAATAGTGGGAATTATTCAGGGTCTGGTATCTTGATCACCATCAGGCCTGGAAACAAGTTAGTACTCTGTTTTGTTGTGGATGTTGTCAGCCTCTGAAATGTCATCTCATAACTCTGGGCATCCGTTCATTACCTGGGTTCAAATTCATGAGGTGCTCACTCAAGCAATATGTTTTTGAACACTGGATTGATTGATTAACATCAGTGCAGTTCTCCGTAAAAATTGCAGATTCATTTCTATACAACTCCTTTGCAGTATTAGCTCACCAGGAGTGGTCATGGGAAAGGAAGAGTAATCTCCCCAGACTTGATGGTGTTGTAGTTTTTTTATGCTAGAAGATGAATGACAGAAGGATGGCTTTCTTTTCCACGCTTTTCTTCCTGGACAAAGAAAGATTAGCCTGTAGGAACATAATATACCTGGATCTGTCTCACAGTACGGCTTGAGAAACTAAATTTTAAGTACATTTTGATCCTTTCTCATCATTAATGTATGTTCCTAGGAAAATCACAGCGCAGTTAACAAAAGGCTGGCGGGTGGTTTCCATCTGAGGTCTCCAAGCCCTTGAGGGGCCTACAGTGTTACTCGACATGCCGTTTAAAATTAAACTTTTCACCCTGACATACGATAACACTGTCAAGCAAAAAATGTTAATATTTTGTTGGTCTGAAAATCTTGGGAGGTCCTATGCCATGGATTTTAGGGAAGTTTAACCTGCTGTCCTTTCCGTCAAACATCCAGCAGACTCAGGAAGCGCATCACCACATGGAGATTTGTTTGCATCCACAACAGCGATTGTGTCAGAAACAGGCCCATGAGCAACATGGCTCTATCAGTGTAAGTGAATCGTCTGAAAAGTAGCTTTGTAGAGTTGGGCTTCCATCTCCATAGTTGCACAACCCTAATGACCTGTGACTCCTGGATGAGCAACACAGAGGAGCAGGAAGACAGCAGCAGGTAGGGGTCATTTGTTTCAGAAAAGAGTAATGGTAGCTTTGTGCCTATACCAACTTCAAGAGCACCTGCAGGATGCTGGCACTGGAAAATAATGAGCCTGATTATTGCACTTAGTCTGACAGTGACGGGGTCTCAAATTATAAATTTTCCAGTGATCAATTTTTATTGCTGGCATAAAGTTTAAATCTTTTTCATACAGGATATGGATGTCTGAGTCATGTTGATGATGCAGATGGTTTTGTTGCCTTCAAATGAAGCATCACAACAGTGACTAGCTAAGAAAACAACCAAGATGATAAGTGAATCCCATAAAAAATTATAAGCCCTTAGAGCAACAGCAGGATCAAATATTAGTGCTAAATCTGACTGTGCTGTCAGTAGTGTTATCTGGGCTTCAGAAAAAAGTCTTGACATAATGGGAAATACCAATAGTAATGACTTCTCAGTAATCCCATTATGCCTTTAAAGTATACTGTAAAATTTCCATGGGGTGGGTTTAGTGCAAACATTCTCAGGCCATTTACGCTGAAATGGAAAGTTAACAAAGCCAGCACCTTGAATACTTAAAAGCTTGGAGAAACTCCCACCTGAGACAGATAGCCAGAATTATTCTCTGTGTTGGCATAGAATTATAGAGTCCTGTAATGGTTATGGGCGGAAGGAACCTTAAAGACCATCCAGCTCCACCTCCCTTGCCATGGGCAGGAACACCTTCCACCACTTCAGGCTGTCCAGGGCCCATCCAACCCAGCCTTGAGTGCCTCCAGGGATGGGATATCCACAGCTTCTCTGGGCAGCCTGTGCCAATGCCTCACCGCTCTCTGAGTGAAGAATTTTCTCCTAAACCTCCTAAATTTAACCTAAATCTCCTGTTTTAGTTTAAAACCATTCCCTCTTGTTGCTATCACACCATGTAAAAAAGTCAGTCTCCATCTTTTTAATAAGCCCCCTTTAAGTTCTGAGAGACCACAATGAGGTCCCCTTGGGGCCTTCTTCAGTCTGAACCAGCTCCCTCTGCCTTTCATCATAGGAGAAGTGCTCCAGCCCTCTGACCTTTTGGCCTCCTCTGTACCTGCTCCAACAGCTCTGCATCCTTCTTGTTCTGAGGGCCCTAGGCTTGGACACAGTATTCCATATGGAGTTTCACGGGCAGAGCAGAGGAAGACAATCCTCTCCCTCACCCTGTTGGCCACTCCTCTTTTGGTACAGCCTGGGGTACAGCTGGCCTGGACCGTGGGTGCACACAATGCACACTGCTGGCTTGTGTTTAGCTTTTTGTCCACCAGAACCCCCAAGTCCTTGGCAAGGCTCCTCTCCCAGTTGGTACATATCTGGGATTGTCCCAGCCCAGGTGTAACACCTTGCACTTGGCTGTGCTAAACCTCATGTGGGCCCACTTCTCAAGCCTGTCATCTGGATGACATCCCTTTCTCATACTGTGTGAACTGCACCACTCAGCTTCATGTCATCTGTAAACTTGCTGAGGGTGCAATCGATCCCATCGTCTGTGTCACTGTTAAAAATGCTGAAAAGCATTGCTCCAAGGGTAGACTCCCATGACTGGTCTCCACCTGGAAATAAAGCTGATCACTTTGGCTGCAACCATCCAACCAATTCCTTATCCACCGAACAGTCCAGCATTTAAATCCAATTCAGAGATAAGGATGTAGTATGAGACCATGTCAAAGTCCAGGTAAATAACATGAATTTCCCTTCATTGTCCACCAAGCCATTGCTCCCTCACAGAAGACCACCAGATTAGTCAGGTGCCATCTGCCCTTGGTGAAGCTATGCTGGCTGTCTCAGCTCACCTCCACATTTGTCACGTGCCTTAACATATCTTCCAGGATGATCTGTTTTGTGATCTTCCCAGCCACAGAAGTGAGGATCATGGATCTGTAGTTCCCTGGGTCTTCTTTTTTACCTTTCTTAAAAGTAGGAGTGATGTTTCCCTTTTTCTCACGTTTGTCCAGGCCCCTTCAGATAACATCCCTTCTATATCTCATAACTGTACCACTCAGCTTGGTGTTGTCTGCAAAGTTGCTGAATGCAGACTTGATCCTGCTGTCTGTCATTGATAAAGATGCTGAAGAGCAACAGTCCCAAAACAAACTCCTTTGGGACACCACTCATCACTGGCCTCCAGCTGGACATTGAGCTATTGACCACAGTTCTCTGGCTGTGGCCATCAAGCCAATCTGTATCCACTTAAAATAGGGAAAGAAACGGAAACTGAAGTAAGTATAGTAGCCCTTTTTATTAAGTCAGAGATGGCCACCAGCAACATGCCCCAGGCTGCTTTACCTGTGCAGCCAGCACTGCCAGTCATGTGCTGAGCTTCCTTGGAAAGTTCCAGCTGCCACTGTTGCGTGGATCCCTCAGCAGCACACTGAGTCATGATTTTAACTCTGGATTGTGACTCTGAAATTCCCTGCTGACCATGGATCAGCAGTTAAACTGCTTTCTTGTCCTTTTTGTTCCAACAAGCCCACTCTGGGTGGGTAATACTAGTTCACTAGTTCACCTGCAACAGAAGTAGACAAATAGTTTGGCAACCGATTAAAGACTATTACGTACAGCCTCCCTTTGTAGAGTGCCCTGAAACTGGATATAAAAATTTGTGGGAAGGAGTAGCAAAGAAAATGTCAGGATCAGGCACCTTAAGACAGAATTGATCTTATAAAGGGGAAATTCATTCTCTGAGAATTTTTTTTCAAGTAATTTTAGGAGAGTTAGCACGTGGATGCCACTGTTGGAATGTGACCAGCCTTCCTCAGTAACAGACTAGTTTGACATTGTGCAGAAGAGCTTTTCTCGGCCCATTTGCCAGCTTGCTTCCACAGTCCCAGGTCATCCTGAGTATTCTAACTGCTAATGTCTCTTTTGACCAAAGGTCCCTTCCAAAGCTGCTTCTCTGAAGAAACGCAGAGCAGTCCCTGGCCTGCACAAACACAGATCGCTGAGCAGGAGCGATCACAGAGCATTTTACAAGTCAAATATAGCCACAAACTTTTATGGAATCATAGAATGGGCTGGGTTGAAAAGGACCGCAACGATCAAATAGTTTCAACCCCCCTGCTACATGCAGGGTCGCCAACCACCAAACCAGGCTGCCCAGAGCCACATCCAGCCTGGCCTTGAACACCTACAGGGATGGGGCATCCACAGCCTCCTTGGGCAGCCTGTTCCAGTGTGTCACCAACTGTGTGTGAAAAACTTCCTCCCAGTATCTAACCTAAACTTCCCATCTCAGTTTAAAACCTTCCCCCTTGTCCTATCAATATCCACCCTCATGAACAGTCATTCCCTCTGCTGTTTATACACTCCCTTCAAGTACTGGAAGGCCACACTGAGGTACATAAATACAAAGTTTATCATGCCTGGATTATTCTGAAAATAAAACAAGTTGAGACCGTTCCACTGAGAAAATGCTCAGAGCTATCTTTTTTCCTTCATGGACCTTTCACATGAAGCTGTGGGTGAGGTTCTGTTCTGTGTCACTAAGTACAGGTCAGGGACATGTGGAAATGAAAGCTGAAGTGGCTTTAGCTCACTCTTTAACTGGGCCAGGAGCAAACTGACCTTTGGCATAAGCCAGGTGCTGCAGAACTGACTGACTCCTGGAACCTCTGTAGGGCAGCACTGCCATCTGGCTATAATGGTGTGTATGCTTTGTGTAGCAGCTGAGCTGCCAAAAGTGCAGTCACTTGGGGCTCCTGAAGCCGTTGTCCTATTACCTGGGAGGTCAGAGAAGAGATCCCTGTACTCTACATGATGGGTCAACTATTGTTTTTGATACCACCTCAATAGTGCCAGCTGAATTATCAGCATCAGAAACAGAATGATATTAGTAACAATAGGAATAAGTTGGAGGAATATGCCATGATTCCCATGCCAATTCTCTTGAGACCTTTATAACAGCTTCTGGACATTCACACCTGCCTTTGCTAGGAGAGACCTTCATCCCCTCTCCCTGTCTGCCCTTTGCCCTTTGTCTCCCTGTCTGCCCTCTGCCATGCATGTGATCCCTCTCGGACTGCTCTGCATGCTCGACTGTTCGCAGCTGACCTTCAGCCCGAAGCTTCAGTCAGTTTGGCTGTGGACTGAATTTTGTCTAAACAAAAAAAAAAAACAAAAAACAAAAAACCAAACATTTTTACCACCCCCCCCCCCCCCCCCCCCCCTTATAAAAGCAAAAAATACAGGAAGCACAAAACAAAACCCCAAGCCTTCCATCTATTCTCAAATGCAAGCAGAGATGTTACTGGAAACATTTTAAAAATTCAAGCCGAAGGCAGTTTCAAAGTAAGTGGGTATTGTTTCCAGTCCCAGGGCAGCTGCAGTAAGAGCTCTGAAGAGCAAACAACAAAAGCAAACCCATTCAGATTTCTTTGTCCTTGATGAGAGCAGCAGCAGAGGGAGGGAGGCAGTGCTTCATCACTCAGAGAGTGCAAATGTGACTCCAAGATGTTGTGTTACATCTGAGTTTAGAAGTATGAATTAAAAGCTGTCAGGCTGATTTTAAAAGCAGATCTCAGTCAAGGAAATGGCACAGTTTTCATCTCCAGTGCCTCTTGGTGGATTTCACTTGCTCACTTATCTTTATTCCTGCAAAGCCTTTATTTGTGCCCTGAGAGCCACATGCCCTCTGTGCCCAAACACCAGATGAATGTGGAGGTGATGGGGAGCTCCTGCGCACCCGTGTCACCCAGCCCGCAGAGCACCAGCGCTGGCACATCACACATCCCTCACGTGTTGGCAGCCAGGGGCCTGCTTTTTACACACCCTATTGAGAATTCCAGCCATGGTTATAGTCCTCTTGCTGTTTGTCACAGAGCTGTTGGTTGTATCTTTTTTTTTTTTTCTTTTGTTGCAGTTGCTTGTCTGCAACGGCTTTGTTACGCAGTGAGGGAGCGGCTTTCTTTGCTGTGCTCAGCTTTTGCTATTTTGCTTAAATTCTCCTTCTCACCTGTAATGAAGTTATTTCCATAATGGGATGCTGGAGGGAGTGTCAGAGAGACACACTGCTCTGTACAGCGACAATACAAGCACTTTGACAGCTTTCTGGGACATGTCCTCACCCTCAGTTACTAACCATTATACATTCACCATGCTTGCAGTTTCCAATTTGTTGCTTTTGAGTTGTCACCATGGAGAATAAAAGCAGGAAAAGCTACTGCCAATCTGCCTTTTTATTACAGAATCATAGAATTGCAGAATCATCTGAGTTGGAAGGGACCCTTAAAGGCCATCTAGTCCAACTCCCCTGCAATAAACAAGGACACCTACAGCTCCATCAGGTGCTCGGAGCCCTGTCCAGTCTGACCTTGGGAGTTTCCACAGACGGATGCACTTGATGCTCAAGAGCCTGCTAAATGGTTCATTTATTTAATCCCTTGAAGTTACCTGTTCCCTAGCAAAGCCAGAACCTGTGTTTCCAGAGGCCTCAGTCCTGCTTACCTTGCACTTACAAGGACTTTAACCTCCAGGAAAGTAGAGATGGGGTAAAACCACAGTGTAAAATGCTTCAGGCTTTACCTCTGACAGATATGCAATTAGCAAAAACATAGTCTGCATGCATCTTGGTGCGGCCTATTTACAGACTGCACTGTGCATCCCTCACAGCCAGAAGCCGCTGATGCAGTGCAGGACCTACCTCTGCTCAACAGCTTGGTCACAAGCTGCACAAATACACCTTCACCCAATGTGACAGAACAGACAAGCATGTGTAGCAGGCTTGTAGACTAAGGGACACTTTAAGTTGCACTGGGGGAGAGAAATGTGGTTTGTTTCTTTTTAAATAGAAATATGTATAAATATATATAGTCATTTCTGTGTTCAGTTTTGGGAAGAGAGATCAGAGGCTGCCTTCTGCTCGGGCCATTGTGGTGCCTGAGTAGAAGATGTCATCCTCCAGCTTCAGTAAGGTGCAACTTAGGCTGGTTCTTGTAAATGGTAGTAAAAGGAAAGAAACCTGTATCAAAAGGTCTCTGTGGGCAGCCTGTCATCCTGATGAGAGACGCTTCTTAATTAAGCAAAGATACCACCATACTGTAGCTGAAGCAATTGCTAAGGGTCTCAACTTCCCTGATCACATCAGTGAGTATGCAGTTACAGAGGTCCCAAATACAACAGGTTTAGAGGACTTCAAGCAAATTAAAAGTCTAAAAGTTTTCATACTCAGGTGCGTGCAGCACACAGAGTGCGTTTCAAAGTATCTTTGAAGAGCTTTAGCATAGTTCTGTACTAGTGCTAAGACCTTTGAAAGGAAAAGTGCAGGTATCATCTCAGCTATTGCCCAGCAGACCTGAGATCGATACACCTCTGTGAATAGCTCAACTTCACTTGTAGGCCAAACTGTTTAGAAACAGCCCATGCAGCTAAGCTAAACTGGTTCTTCTTTGAGCATCTCAATTACACTGACTTCATGATTAAACTCATAGAACCATGGAATATCCTGAGCTGGAAGGAACTCGCTCTCTGAGCATCTCCTTAAACTCCAGCAGCTTGAGGTTGTGCCCACTGCCTCAGGGGGAGAAGAGAATGGGGTCATGGTAGAGCACCCTACTCCCACCCACATCCTTGTTCTTCCAGCTCCACTGTCACAATCCTTGGCTGCTTGCTCTGCTTTGCTCAGCAGAGTGCTCTCTGTCACACAGACAAATTGACATCAGAGCATCATAAAGGCCACTAAACCAGGGGTGTGTTGTGATGCAGTGATGACTTCACAATGACATACAGCGGTTGTCATGGCTGCCCAGGCCTGTGCTGCACCTGGTGTCCTGGAATGTATACATTTATCATGGCAACAAGAACAAGCTTGAGTGTACTGGACTGATTTGGCAAGGTGCTGATGGTGGAGGGTCTGCAGAGCTGACCTTGCTGAGAAGGGACCCCACAGTGGACAGCCATTTTCGGATCCCAAGGGCTGTCTGTCCATCCTACACAGTAGCACCGAGATGTGGCATTGTGGAGCTTTCTTAACACCTCCCTCGCTTTCAAAGGTAAGGAATATGAAGCTGAATTGTATGCTCTGCGTTTTGGACTATAGCATTCGTAACTACTGAACAGTGTGTGAAATGCCCTATTGAACAGTGTGTGAAATGCCCTGTTGAACAATGTGTGAAATGCCCTATTGAACAATGTGTGAAATGCCCTGGCCTGATGTGGCCAAGTGGAGAGCACTGCACGCTGCCTAATACATGAAGACTCAATGGGAACAGATAATGCCCATCAGTAGGTTCTCTGTGTGCTCTTTGAAAAACAAACAGAAGCAGATGATTGTGCCAAGGAGTTCACATGGGCTACTATTACTTGGCTTCCATGCCCCTGACATGTTTAATTTACCATGTAGAAGTAATACTCCTGTTTACAGCATTGTTTTGCTCCTAACACAAATGTACACAAGATATGTGCAAGATACACAAGATCTGGTATTCCAACTCAGTTTTCAGCCAATTTATGAAGGAGAATAACAACTTCCATTTAGCATCAAAACATTTTTGGTAACAGAATGAGTACTAAGGACACCAAAAATGAACTGTCCTTTCATAAGGCTCCGGACGTGGCTGGGGGAGCGCAGAAACAACAAAGGCAATCTGTCAGGCTTTTTCAGGTCAAGTTCTTCCTAGAAACATTAACAAAAAAAAGTGCAACAAGGAGACAAACATCTTAAACAATGTCTTCTGTGGGAACTAACAGCAATACTTGATGTGTTATTTGTTTGTTGGCCTGCCTTTTTTTACACCAAGCTTGTCACTGATGTGTACCACATACCCTGGTGCTTGTGAGACCGTGGTCTGGATTGGACAAGTATTGTTTAAAATGAACCCTCTTGTCTTTCATTTTACAAACATGGATCATTTCATGGATGTGATTGAGGGCAGTCATGTGCACAGTTAACCAGTACAGATTTATTAATTCAGACTCTTGGGAGAGGGTGGGAGCAGAGTGAGAGCAAACAAATTAAACCAGCTCTATTGCCAGGGGAGCATGAAGCTGAGCATAGCAGCTGGAAGTTAAGGTGTGCTACATTACTCAGCCTGTAATTCCAATCATAATGCTGCTGTTCAGAGCTTGCTTCTTTCAAAATCCCATGCTTTTCAATCTGGACCTTCTTTTGGTCCTTACTGATACCTGCTATTTGGAAGCTCATCTTCATGAGAATGCTCATTGTTAGCATTGGGCTGATAAACAACGCTGAAAATAGAAATTCTACAGAACAACAGATTCAAGCACTTCGTTTTCTTGCCTAAAGCACACTGATTTCTTCAACTGTTTGGCTCTGTGGGTGGAATTTCAGTATATATTGCTACGTTCATTACAGGGAGTTCTTCCGCGCTAGAGATATTAACATATTTGTTATTACTGCCAGTTCTCTCCTCCCCCGTACCAAGCAGTCGTTTGAGCTAAATTTCCTTGTAAGGACAGACTCCCAGCAGTAGTATTTTTCTCCTCAAAGTGAAGATCTCTTCAGAGGTCAGTTCATTCTGCTTTCTCAGAATTCTGCCTCCCCCATATTCCTTAGACAGTCATTAGTAAAGAAGATGTCAAAACCACCTGCAAAAATTCATGGGAATTCTAGAAATCAATGTCAACATCAACTCTTTGCAATCATTAACAACTCAAAGGCGGTGTTAGAGTTAAAAGCTTTTATGCAAGAAAAGATATTTAACACTGAATACAAAATCGGTTTGACATAGCTTATTTTGAAACATCATCCTCTTTCTTTTCATCAAGTGTCAATTAAAAATCACAATTAAAAAAAGTCATCCGAAATACTTTTAAAAGCCTTATAAAAACATTCATAAAGTGCCACCCACAAAAGCGCCTAAACAAGAATCTGAGAGAAGTACCTATTAGGATGTTAATTTACTTAATTGCTGCTGAGGACAAAGCTGTCAAACTGCTGAGGACAAAGCATCATCATCTGAGAACCTGCCAATTTAACAGCTATCCAACTGAGCAGAAATACAGTTCCAGACATGGCCCGCACAGAGGATGGCTGGGCCTGTGACATACACTCTCAGGCATCGAACTCTGTGTTGCAGGGGTTTGAAATAAATAGCTAACACCACCTAAACCCAAGAAAACTGCCAAGTGGGAGATGTGGATTCTGAGGGGAGCAATCATGCTAAGCTATGGCTTTACAACAAAGGCAAAACCCAGGCAATTTATACAGCAGATTTTAGGACAAAAATCACAACCCTCTAAGAATAACAAAAGAAGGCACTGATCCTTGGAATGTCTCTCCCTCCTGGTCTTGAACACACCATACGGTAAGTATCTTTCTTCCCTCAAAGAGGGGCTGAGAACTGCTACCCCACGCAGTGAACCTGCGCTAGTTCATTCAGCGCAGGCTGAGTGCCTAGGCAGTGCTCACAGACCGATCAACCCAGAAGGACACAGGCTCTGAGGGCTCCCTGCCCCAGTTCACACCCCATATGAAGCATCCAACGGCACCAGGTCCATGGCCCATCATCCACGTGGCCAACTACACTGCATGGTGCTTTTGGTGACGCACCAGCTGGGGCTGGAAACGAAAGCTTGCTCCGCACTGGCCGCAGCGGTATGGCTGCTCACCCGTGTGGATGCGGGTGTGCTTGATGAGGTTGGAGTTGCCACTGAAGCCCCGGCCACATTGGCTGCACTTGTAAGGCTTCTCACCGGTGTGGGTACGAGCGTGGTTAATGAGGTCGGAGCTCTGCCCGAAGCGTTTGCCACACTGACCGCAAGAGTAAGGCCGGACACCGCTGTGGGCCTGCTGGTGCTGAAGGAGGTGGGAGTGCTGACTGAAGCTTTTCCCACAGGCTGAGCACTTGTAGGGCCGCTCGCCTGTGTGCATACGCTGGTGTTTGATGCAGGTGGAGCTATCGCTGAAGATCTTCCCACACTCGCTGCACATGTAGGGTTTGAGCCCGGTGTGGATGCGCTGGTGCTTCAGGAGGTTAGAACTCTGGCTGAAGCTCTTTCCACACTCCGCACAAGTGTAGGGTTTCTGGCCGGTATGGACTCGCCGGTGCTGGATGAGGTGGGAGCTCTGGCTGAAGCCCTTGCCACACTCCCCACACAAGAACGGGCGCTCTCCGGTGTGCATTCGCTGGTGCTGGATGAGGTGGATGCTCCGGCTGAAGCCCTTGCCACACTCGGAGCAGATGGTGGGCCGCTCTGCACGAGGGGCTCGCCGTCGTGCTCCCACCCTTCTCTCTTGTCTTTTCACCAGGCTGATAGCAGAGCAAGACAGCTTAGCCTCCTCTGCCTCCCTGCGGTCACCTTGCTGTGCCTCTGTGGAACCACACTGACTTCCATCACCGTTCTCCAGCTGTTCCTCTTCTCCTACGGATTCTGCTGCCAGCAAGTCCTGTGGATCTGTGCTTGCAAAGTGATTCAGAAAGGGATCGATCTCAGCACCTGGAAAAAATGACAACTAGTTGCTGTTATCACTAATTGTAATTATTGCTGAGAGACAAGGATGGCAGAGAACAGGTGAGCTCTTCTCCCAGAGAGTATCGTCTGCACTGTGTAGGAGAAGCAGTTCCAGGGAAGGACTGGGATCAAATGTAAAACTAGTTGTGAGAATGCGACCTCATCATGCGACCCAGAGCAGATGTGCCACAAAAGGCAGTGCTGAGGGCAGTGCAGTCAGCCTTTCCTTGCCCCCAGGAAATTGTCGCATTCTGTCTTCTTAATATTCTGTCTTTCATACATACTCTTAATAGCACATTACAAGGCTGCAGTGACAGGGAAAGAGAAGGTCTCAAATCAAGCTGGATGAAATAAAGTAGTTTGAAGAACACTGCAGAAGCTCAAATTGCTTTCTTGCTTTCTATGTTTATGAACTCATTCCTTACCCATGTCCTTTGAGGCCTCATAATCTTGATCTTCTCCTTGGTCCATCTCGGCAGCTTATGTCAGGTTCACCAATCAGGAATCCTCCTTACAAAAGCAAACAAATCTTAGTTGAATATTCAGCAATAGTGTCACATAATATGCCTTAAAATCTACTCCCCCTACTGAATATGGAGAACAGATGGAGAAATTGCTTAAAAGTATGGAACAATCTGAGCAACAAACGTTTATGGGCACCCTGTGCACCAATGAGGTATCTGATGTCAGATGTTTTATTTTCTTATAGGAGATTCAAGGTTGCCTCTTTTCTGATGACCAGTATATGAGGAGGGAGATATACCAGATGTGCTGGACGCAGAATTGAGAGACAGCAACAACAGCCATAAGTTTAAAGAAAAAGCAAAACTCAGCCAATCTGCATGCACAGTTGAATTGGAGGCATTTCTGTGACAATGACAACCACAAGAATAATCTTAAAATTATTATTATTTAAATTAAAATTATTCTTAAACTTATTCTAAATGGAAAATGACTCTTTAGTCACCAGAGCATGATTTTCTTACTTGCTACCTCAATTCTCCTTTCTCCTCCGAGAAAAGACTCTCAGGCTGAGGGAGCTAAACCAACGAAACAGGCAATATGATGTTATGTCTATTCCTACTGGATTCTGGCAGATCCCTGCTTTGCAACTCCAACAATTGCCACAAAAGCAATTATTGGGCAGGTTGGTCTTACAAATGCCACCAGCACAAAAGGTAGGCACTGGCAATTGATGCAGAAAAAATGCAGGAGAATAGAGAAAGTACAGTGGTATGAAAAAAGTCCCACTTTATTTCAAAAAGGAAGAATCAAAGGTGGCAGGGGAAGGAATCCAGCTGGGTGAATCTAGGACTGGAGAATGATACGCATCACAGAGTTTCTAGGAATATTTTTAAAGTATTTAAGACATTGTTTGTTGTTTTTTTTTTAACTCTCCTTTTAATCCTTAGTTCCCTAAGTGCCAGCTAGCACCCCTTCAGAAACATTTTCCCAGAATTATGCTTCAAACTACCAATCCTTGTTTATGTATGGCTGAGCCATGGGAAAAGTACATTTTTGGACAGCAATTCAGCTGCAATTGGTTAACTGGACAGATGGCCTCTAGTGCAAACAAACAGCATAAAGTGATGGGTGTTTTGTTGTGGACTGCTTCATCCATCACCAACAGCTATTTATTGAATGGTAACAAGCAGTAAGAGATTAGATAGTGTCAGAATTAAGGAGACTACTCAGATGAGGGGAGTGGTCCTGGACAGATACCAGTCTTGAAGTCTTTGATCTTGGGTCGCAAAGTTGGACAGAAAGAAAGGGAGCAAGCAAAAGAGACTTGCTGAACTACAGAACGATGAAGAAAGAAAGTGAAAGGGGAAAGCAGAAGCTGAGTGCCTACTAAATAAATATCTGCTGAATGCTGATGGAGACCATCTCAGCAGATGTGCCATTTCAGGCTGTCCTGAGCCAACACGTTAGGTTGCTTTCAGGAGCCTTACAGCTCTCAGAACTTCACAACTACTGAGAATCTCTGTTGCAGCAGATTGATGGTAGGAGCCAACCCAGCTACCAACATGCTGCAGTGTGTACCAGATGGCCTGTTCCACCCAAAAGCAGGAGCCAAAGCCCCATGCACATACAGGCCTTTTCCCTGAGTGGCTAACCACAAACAGCAGGGTTTCCCTGTAAAGGGTGTACATATGGGACCTGCAGAGAAGCAGTTCAGAGGTGGTACCAGCATCTTGCTAAATGTCTGACCACAGCTACCAGGGGAAGTCTCAAAGCACGCAAACAAGTCAGAAGGAAGAGTTCGCTTCTGATCCTGCAAAGACCTCCTGATGCATGGCTGCTGTGCTCAGATTTGCTATGGCAGCACAACAAAAAGCAGACAGTCCTTATACATTGACAGGCTAGCCTGGGGTCGGGAGAGTTTCCTCCTTTCCCATGATCAGTCATCTCTGTACAAAGAGGAGACTGATCTCACCAACAGAGAAGACAGTCCTTCAGGATCTGACAATCCATTGTCTATACCTCAGCTGTTTGCTGATGACTCTTCATTTTCTCTCCTGACCACTCACCTCCATAGCTGTCCTGTGGCTGCGTTGGATTGTGGAGGCTGTAGGAGTCATCCCAGTGTAGAGCTCCATCTCTCAGGCTCCTTGGGGTCCTGCAGTCTGCTCCTGAAGTGCTGGCGCTGTCTGAGTGTTCTCTGCATGGTCACTCCGGGCACCAAGCTGCCATTCAGAGCAAGGTGTGAATATCCCATGCTGGAAGGGACCCACAAGGATTACCGAGTCCAACTCCGGACTCCACACATGACCACCCAAAATCCAAACCCTGTGTCTGAAAGTAGTGTCCAAGCACTCCCTGAACTCCGGCACATGGGGCCATGCCCATCACCCTGGGCAGCCCGTGCCATGCCCACCACCCTGTGGTGCAGAACCTGTTCCTGATATACAGCACTAGCTGGCGATGTCCTCCCTAAAGCAGGGGTTGCTGTGCTGGGACGGGCAGGAGGTGGGGTGGCCAGGGCACTGCCATAACACCCGAAAAGGGATGAGAAGAAGAAGCGGGAGACGTGGAGCTCTGGGGAACCGGGGCAACGTGTGAGGCTGCCTGTGTGCAACAGAGATCGGAAACTGGGCAAGAAGATGCTTTTGCCCGCGGCAGGTGGAAAGCGATGGGACGAGGGAACTGCGCTACAAGCAAGGGACAGGAGAACACAGGGACAGCGGCTAAAGCGGAGACTGGAGTAGAAAAAGGGCAGCCGGCCCTCTCCTCCTCTTCTCCGGGCAGGTCCTCCCTCCACGATGCCGACAGACAAAGGCTCTGTCGAAGCTTCCAACCCGTGCAGCCCTCTCCCGGCCCAGCGCTCCGCTGCTGCCCACCATCCAGCCGCCCCGCGCCTACCTGCAGGGCGCCCGCTGCCGCACGGCGCCGCCACGCTTCCTGCTCCGCGGGCAAAGGGCGCTTCCTGGGCGGGGCGGCGCGGCTGGGAGCCGTGCGGGAAGGGAGGGAGGCGGGAAGGCCGTGCTCGGCTCTGGGGGAAGCGGGCTGTGAGGAGGGGAGTCGTTCCCGCGTGGAGCTGCGTAGGGCCCCAGCCAACCCGGCCTCGTACCCTCCAGGGATGGGGCATGCACAGCTTCTCTGGGCAGCTGTACCACTGCCTCACTGCCCTCTGACTATCTTAGAGAAGCTTCCCTGTTGCACTGGGCAACGCGAGGAAGGGCTCACCTGGGCCTCTGCAGGACTGAGTTGGAGCTGTGTCTGGAGACTCCCTCCAGAGCACAGAACACATCAGCCTGTGACAGCGAGCTGATGCAGTGTTCCTGGTGTGCCCACCGGCAGAAACCTTAAGTGTGCCCTAAGTACTATGGAAACTGCAGTAACAGGGAAATCTTTTTTTGTCATGCTGAGGCTTTAAGTGTCAGTTTGCATTATCACTTTCTGTTTGAGAAGTTGTCTGACCGATACAAACTCTTCAGACTTGCAGTCTGTGCTTAGCCTGGGTCTGAGCAGATGGAGAAATGGCCGTAGACAAAATAAATTGAGAATACTGAAATAGGGTGAATGGGAGGGTCAGATTGGATGTTAGAAGAAATTTCTCAGGAAGAGTGGTAAAGTGTTGATATTGGCTGCTCAGGGAAGTGGTGGAGTCACCGTCCCTGGAGGTGTTCAAGAGTCATGGAGATGTGGCACTGAGGGACATGGTTAGTGAGCATGGTGGGGATGAACTGATGGATAGACCAGATGATCTTAGTGGTCTTTTCTAACCTAATGGTTCTGATTCTGTAGCCTCATCGGTCTGTAGAACAGTACAGCTGCCAGGCACATTGCTGCATCCTTGTCATGTTTGCAGCACAACACGTACACTTAGAAATGGGGAAGGCAGAAGATCAATGTGTTCGCAGTCAAAGTACAAATGTATAGAGAGGAATGAATGACAAATGTATCCTGCACATGAAACTACAGTACTGACCGTGGCTTAAATACTGATATGAAGGAACATTGGGCTCAGGCATCAAACTGCTGTCCAGCATCAGTGAAGGCAACCGATGAATTCATTTTCAAATACAACGTTGAGAAGAAGGTGATTGGAAGCCTTCGGTTTCAATCTACCATGACAAATCCTGTCTAACTACTATGACTGCCTGCTATCCAGGCAATGACTGGTGATGTGGCCAACAAAGACTTAAGGTAGTTTAGCAAGGAGAAGGGCAAAGTTCCTCACACATGCCAAAATAATCATGTGCATCAGTACAGACTGGGAATTGGCTGTCTGAGCGAGTGCCATGTTGAACAGGACCTGCACACCAAGCAGAATACAGCGCAGTATGCTCCAGTTACAAACAGGGCAGCTTGCATACTGGGCTATATCAGGGAAAGAATGGCTGGCAGGTCGACAGAGGTCATCATCACACTCTGTTCAGAGATGGGGAGGCTGCACCTGTAATACTACGTCCAGCTTCAGGCCCCCCAATGGATATGGAAAAACTGGACAGCATGCCCAAGTTGCTTAGGAGCCTAAAACATGTGAACAGTGAGCAGAAGCAAACTATTCTGCATAGAGGGAAATGATAAAACAAGTCTGGTTTAAAAAATCAGGCTGGACACTGAGAAATACTTCTTTGTTATGGGAGTAGTGTATGAGAGGAGCAGGCTACCTTACAGGGTGCTGGTTCTCCGATCTTGGAGGCTTTTGAAACTTGGCTGGACAAACCCATGGCAGACCTGTTCTAGTGCTGGTAGTAGCTGTGCTTTGAGCAGGAGGTTAGACTGCAGAGGTCTCTTCCAATCAACATTTCAGTGATTCTACAAGCAACCATGCATGTGTCGTCCCACAGACAACTCAATAATTACAAATTGGTAATTAGGGAGAAATCTTTCCAAGAGAGTTTGACTGTCTTAAAAATGTGGAAAGCAGTAAAGTGCCCAAAGCGTGTAATGTAGTCGTATTTCAAGGAAAAGAGAAACCAAGTGTCTCTAGGCTGATAAAAATGGTAAGCTGTCATTTACAAACTCACTATTAAAATACAACTGCCTGAATCGAGTTGGGTGCTTTTGGAAAAGTTCCTGCATTTCAAGATAACTGTGTTCAGAAACACTCCCATGTCAAGTCTTGGCTGCATTTAGTTGCTACTGCACAGCAACTTTACTGTTTGGTGAGGCTTCATTTGGCCAATGTTTTGGAAGTACCCTTTTTTTGTTGTTGTTTTGACAAAGCTGATGTACTGTTTTTTAAAAGTTCCATGCATTGAGTGTTAGAAATGCTTATTCATTTATTTATATGTCTTTAAAACAACCTAAACAGCTGAAATGACCAAAGATGTGTGTCTAATGATGAGTTTGTTGGAGCAAAGCAATGAAATCTGATGAGAATTACAGTCAGTAAGGGGAAGCACTACACTGGGAAATAATTAAGTTTCCACTTTGCAGTGAGTTCTAGCAAACCCTCAGCTTTACCGTTCTGTTGGTGTTGTAGTGCCTGAATGAATGCTTTATCTATCCAACAGTCTTTATAGTAATTACTTTGCATTTAGCTCAACTGCCATCTGAATACAGGGGAAGAAGGTCTTAAGGACGTTTGAATGATTGTGGCTACCCACTGAAGATTGTTTCTTAAACTTAGGTATTGATCAACCATTTTCACTTGAAAGAGCAGAATGATATATTAATCACTCAAATGTAGAGCACCATTGCTCTCCACTACTGCTAAAAAGTAACAAACAGTAAGGCCAGTTTGCTGTCTTATTCTTCTTCAAACACATTTAGCAGAGAACACAACTGCAAATATTTGAGCTTTAAACTACAGACACGCTTTTCCATACCATAGAAAAGGTTGCTTGTTAACACTGCAGAAAGCATAGTGCCTTTCCAGAGGACACTGACATCCCATGGTTTGGATTGGAATTACCAAAGCTCCCCCTTCACTTTCGCAGCTGTTTCTGATATGGGAATGACAGAATCATCAGATAGCTGAAGTTGGAAGGCACTTCTGGAGGATCACCAGGTGCAACCCTCTGCTCAAGCAAGGACACCTACAGCAGGCTGCCCTGGATCACATCCAGTTGGGCTCTGAATATCAGTTTTACTGTCTCTGTGACACACATCTGTATTCTATTTCATGGGATGTGGGAAGACCCCTCCCCTCCTTACCCCCTACCTATTATTGCTTTGGCAGTGCTCTTAGAAAACCCTCTGAGAATCAGAAAAATAAACAAAAACAACAATAGCTACAAAGCTCAACAAAAAAAAAAACCCCAAACCACCAAAACAAAAAAAAATCCCTGTGAAAACAGGTTGGGAAATTAAATTGAGGAGTCTCAACAGACACTGGATTCTACGAATGCTTCATCTTCAGCAAACATTCAGTTTACATAGCCTGCAAACTAAACAGCTGAGATGGTTTGGTGGACTCACCATCACTGGAGGTATTCAAGAACCATGTGGCACTGAGGGACGTGGTCAGTGGGCACAGTGGAAATGGGTTGGTGGTTGGACTGGGTGATCTTAGTGGTCTTTTCCAATCTTCATGATACCAGGATTTTACGTCGTTTTGCTGTTTATCTCCCTGTTGCACAGAAATGGGACATGCTCTGTCATAAGGTGACAGCAGGTGATGTTTGTTGGTAGTAGCAAACTGCTTTCCAAGGGCTCATCTAATCATTTAAGTCCACCTCATGGATGTAGCAAGTTCTGTGCTCTTTTGTTTTTTGGCTTTCCCTTAATACCTGCAGCTGAAGTGTGAGGAGTAGTTTATGTCTCTCCACCCTCCAATATTAGGAATAACTGAACATTTTCAAGGAGCTGTTAACTCAGGACTTGTTATCCAAGGAAAAGAACAACAGATGCAGTGTGTGTGTTGGGGCATAGGTTAGGTATGTAGAAAGCCTTAAAAAAAACCATATTGAGCACCTGAAGTGAGGTGAGAGGAAGCGGCAGATTCATTTCACAGCAGTTTTTGAGGAGGTTATGGGGTACTGCTGATGTACCCCTATGCTGGGAGGGCTATATCAGACATTCAGAAGCATTGGGAAGGCAGCTGGGATGCGTCAAGTACAACATCTTGTACAGTGGTGAGAGAATTGAAGGGGAACCACCAATGTGGCAGTTATCACTTAAGCTTGTATTTTGGCAGGGCAAAGCTGCAAATTGTTTGTACAGCTGTGACTGTGCTCTGCTAATTTTATTTTCCAGCTATATAAATGTTCCAGTGTATGCTGAGAATTTTGCTTTCAAATATCTGGAGAATAACATATCTGTGTACTGGAGGGGGCAGCCTTTCCCTGTTTCTTCCCTCAGGCAGCCTGGTGTTGAATAACTTCAGTGTCAGCGATGGCTGATCCAGAAATGGAACGATATTAACGTGGCTATTTGTTTAAATATGCATTTTGTAGCCCTCATCAAGGTAATTGCGTTCTGCAAAGTTAAAGATAGCAGCCCCGGGTCCCGTGGCAGCTTAATTTGAATTGGAATCGATTGCTTGACAAGGTACAAGTGAATCTGTGTACCTGAAATTGCATACACATGCCTTATCAGCCCGAAGGTAATGATATGCAAATGATTTGGGCTTCAGTGGTCTGTGGGTGCTGAGAAGCAGTGATTTGCAAAAGAGTCTTTGAGCAGTTCAGCTGCTGATGAGAACACTGGCATCTAGTGCCTGGGGATGGCTGTATGCAAGGCTGTGAGAGGTAGGCTGGGGTCACTCAGCTGGTTTCTTGTGTGCCTTTTCTAATTAGACGGATTGCCTTAGGGCCAACCAAGCCAGAGGGAGCTTAAAACCAAAGTTGAAGTAGGGCAGTACATGGGTACATGTGCATATGCTCATGTATGCACACGCCTCTTCATCTTAGCATGAGAATTATGAAGGGCACGCTAAAGTGTACAGGACCAGTGTGACTAATGGTGCAAGTCAACACCTTTCCACTTTGAACCTGGAGAATGAATTCATTTAGCTCTGCTGCTATTTTGAGCTGTGCAAAGACTCAGCCAATTTCTGACTGACTGACTGAAGTGTTGCCCTTTACATCTTACAAAGGATAGCACCAGTTCAGTGTGTCAGGATGGAAGGAAGAGGAAGTCTGCGATTACCGGTAAATGTGCAGTAGGGTCAATTGGGTGCCTTTTGGGCCTGCATGGCTTGTGGAGCTCGTTAAGCTGGCTTAGGTGTAGATTACAGTACCTGGATTGGTACTGGGGAGGATGCTACTGAAGCAGCACACTGTTCATCTTTGTTATGGTTAAAGAGGGTAATTGTTGGTGTAGCTGCTCTGCCCCAGAGATCTTTTGTAGTTGAATGGTGTTGGCTTCCTATGGTACTGGCAGACTCCAGCTACTTCTCTGGATTTATTAGATCACCCTGTTCATTTATATCTCTTTGGTGCAGTACTGTTTAGACTTCTTGTATTTGATGGCTTTTTGTGCTTACTGCTTCTTGTTGTTGATTTGAATGTTTTCCTGCTGTTGGTTCCAATGTTGAAAGAAGATAGTTTGTGGTTTTTGTCCTTTTCTTTTGAATGCACCATTGTAAATTCTTAGTCTTCAGAGTGCTGTAGTGTTCACGGTGTGTGTACTTGCTGAAAGAAGGCAGTAAAGATAACCCACAAGGCTATATTTCATGATCAGACATATCCAGTGAAGGAGCAATGAAAGTTACAGAGACTCTGATCAAGTTTACACACCAGAACTGCTTGTCTTGTTGATTACCTGCATAGCAGCAATTTTTTTTTTAGTCATGCTGTGGTCTTTAGGGTGGTTGCATTTGTCTCTCATTTTCTGTATGAGTGCAAATCATCTAAGCAGTTATTTTGGATAGCTGGTGCAGATAGGCTGACATACATTTCATCTTACGGCTCTCAGGTACGTGTACTTCTATGTCTCTGTACTTGGATATGAGGCATTGCTTGATAAGCAGAAGGAAAGGTGACCCGCTTTCCTCCCTACAAATCCTGTCCATTTTGAGGTGACAGATACATAGGAACCACAGACCTCTCTGGAGACTTGCAGAAGCTTGGTCTCACTTGTGTTCCTTTGACTTACCAAGAAGCACTTTGTGTTATCTCCCATGCATTGTTTTATTGGTGTCATGTATGCTTGGATGAAAAACTAGAAGCTGAATGGGACGTGTGGCAATATTTTGGTGTTGCACTATTTTACATAAGCAGTTTACTTTGGGGGACTTCCACTATTGCAGATGACTGATACAGTTCTTTGTTGTCAACACCTTCATGCTTCTGTTATAAAACTAAGCTCTTGTGGTTTAACCTGGCTGGCAGCTAAGCACCACGCAGCTGCTTGCTCACTTTGCACCCAGTGGGAATTGGGGGAAAGAAGTAAAACTTGTGGGCTGAGGTAGCTTGATGCAAAAGAAAAGGGAAGAGAAAAAAAAAGAATGCTCAAAACAAGTGATGCATAACGTAATCACTCAGCACTGATGCCCAGCTCAGTCCCTGAGCAGTGACAGACATGCAACCAACTCCCCCAGCTCTTATTGCTGAGCATGATGCCGTATGGCATGGGATGGAACATCCTTTTGTCAACTGGGTTAGCTGCCTTGCTGTGTCCCCTCCCAGCTCCTCGTGCACCTCTTGTATCACAGTATTTTTGCAGAGGGCCAGAGGAGCAGCTGTGCAGATGCACAAGTCCATCACCAGCACACCGTCTTCATTTGTTGACCTGCAGGTCATGCTCTGCTCTGAAGTTCTGCACACAGCAGCAATGGAAAACATATTTCTGAAGGATTTTTTTTTCCTATGAAAAGCAGTCTGATGGTGCCAACTTCAGTGGTAACAGTTATGACGTAATGAAGAAAGGGATGCTCACCCACAAATTCATAGCTACTACACCTTTGTTGCTGTGATTGAAGCCACAAAGTATGTATTACAAATTTAAAAAAAGCTGTTTTGTGTGCCTGAGGATTTTATGTAGAGTTAGCATGAAAGCATCCTTTAAATATTTCTACCCACCTACATCAAATCACATCGTTCATTGGTGAGACTTAGGTTAGTGGGGTTTAATGATTTCTTGGTCAGTAAGCCCATGAAAAAGTGTATACATCATAATAAAGAAAAGATCCTTTTTGAAATGTTATCTTTTTTCACCTTCCAGGCTGCATTGTGTGCACTTGTTATTCTTGAAGGTAATAAAATTTGTTTACTTCATTCCTAATTCAGTAGCAGCAACATGCTTCTACATTAAACTGGGATTTAAAACAGTGTGGATGCGTTCCTGGTGCTTTATGCTGCTGGGTTTACTAATTGCAGGATCAGGGCAATGTTTGAGGGATAGGCTGAAAGAAAATTGCTTGTAATGACTTTGTTCTGTGTGTTGTATTTTCAGCTTATGGTAATGTGACAACAATAAACAGAGGTGTGTGTGACTGTTATTTTTTACCTTGGCTATCCCCAGTGGGGGCAGCCTTTTCATATCAGCTGGTACAGAGGAAATGTGCCCTTACAGCACAGGACACATAGCAATAGTGGACACGGCCAGTGGATTCACGTCTTTTGTAATGGAACACTGAGGCTGTGCATCGTTGTGAAAGAGGATGCAGGACAGTACAATGCTATGATACGCATCAGCTCCTGGTTTTGTGCCTATGAAAGGGTATGTTTGCTACATGTGCATGGAGGTGTACATTTTCATTTTAACCTTGGTCTCTCAGTGCACAGGGATGCTTATATTACCATATCATAGAATCATAGAAAGGCCTGGGTTGAAAAGGACCATAATAATCATCTAGTTTCAACCCCTGCTATGTGCAAGTTGCCAAACTCTAGACCAGGCTGCCCAGAGTCACATCCAGCCTGGCCTTGAATGCCTCCAGGGATGGGGCATCCACAGCCTCCTTGGGCAACCTGTTCCAGTGTGTCACCACCCTCTGAGTGGTTGTATTATGATATATAGGATGTGTGTTCATGGCTGGCATCTTCTGCCTGTTTGTTCTTGAGTTCATGTATTAACCTCATGAGATCACTTGCATGTTATGCTTTCCATGAAACATTTATTGCACTCACAATTAGTATCTACACAAGTCTAGAAACAAGACCTCACTCTTAAATGCAGCCATCGCTTCATTTCACATCTTGATTTTGCTATTTTCTTATCAGCTGCTTGAAATTACCAGGCTACAAACATTTAAGATCTTAATTTTGAAATCTGTGCTAATGTGGCTACTGAGGTCAACTCAGTCTAGCAAGGTTTACTGAAAGCGGTGTTAGCCTTCACTACCATTTCAGTGTGGGCAGAACTTGCAGTCCATTGGACTCTTTACTACTCACAGATTATTTTTTCTGATTTCAGATTTTTTTTCTACTGGCTTTAGTTTTATATTGACTGATTTTAGAGTTTTTGTGTGAAAGAGTTGAGAACAAATAAAAAAATCTTTGCTTGTTGGCCAAAACAATCTAGAATTGCACAGGAAGAATTGTCCAAATTGTTTCCAAGGTAGTAAAAGATTTCAAAAAAGCAAATAGGTATGATATCCTATGTGTCCCTTCACTAAATATTCACGTGTGCATTCTTTCAACTTGATACCTTGTCAGAGGGCTTCTAGGTAACTGTGTTGCTTTTCACTTGGCCTGCTAGCAGTCATCTGGGTAAGTCCATGTCATCAGGAAGAAAGACAAACAGCCAGTGGCTGTCTTAATAACCTAACTTGCAGTAAGATAGCTTTTTTTGCAGTAAGATAGCTTTTTCCCCATTGTACTATTGCTTCTTCCATTCCATCTGCATACACAGATTCAGTGTTCAAACCATTTGTCTATTGGATTATGTAAGAGATAATGTACTGGATTACTTACTGGATTATGTAAGAGATTGCCCCAAATGCACAGAATGCATGAGCAATCATCTAATTAACAGATAGATGAAACGGAGACTACCTGATGTAAACTTTCCTGGGTAAAGCTGGGCATTCTTTTGCTAGCTTGACCATTTCAGCCAAAGACCAAAGGTGGCTGAAAGTGTCATTTTATTTATTCTTCCTTATTCTTTGTGTTACTCCAGTGTATGTTGGAAATATTGTCATATGTGAGGGGGGAGGCAGAAATGTTGTATCTTTAAGTGCTTGCTGGTTGTATCTTTAAGTGCTTGCTGGCTTAGATGTATCAGAGGGACTCTTGTAAATTTGAGTTTATGACTATCCTAAAAATGAGAAATCGCTTGCATATCTGCAAGGGTTACTGTGGTGGGAAAGTGGGTAGCTTTTAATTAAATGCTGCTTATGGTTGTGGTTTTGTTCTGAATTTCAGTTTGAGTTCAACCAGTTTTATATCAGCGTAACTTTTTTTGGTTTGGTTAAAATTAGCCTTTCTACTGACCAAGCAATGTGGGGTTCATTTGAGATGAAAGCCATTACTTAAAAATGGCTTAAAAATGGCTTAAAAAAGGAAGCAAGGAGGGAAGGAAGGAAGAGAAAGAGGGAAAGACTTTTCCTGCTTGCTGCTTTCCCTTAATTTAAAACCATCTTGTCTTCACAGGCCAACGCAGACCTGGGCAGTGACATGTTAGGTCCCATATGAAATGACAATGATCTGCACAGTTTCAGTACTGCACGCACTTCCCTGGAACGCAAGGTTGTGCAGCAGTGGTGCTTACAGGGGTTTTGTTGCCTGAAGGTGATACCTGGACTACTGTTTCCTACTCCAGATGTGTGTACTTCTGTGCATTGTGTTTTACAAAGCCCACAGTGTTTTGTCTGGCCAAAGTGGAGCTGCTTTGTTTTTCTGTTTTTCAGGCTCTGAGCCATCACTGATCTACCTTTTGGCCTGTGATGTAAAACCACCCAGGAAGACCTGCAAGTTTAAGTGAGGCAGTAAATGCCTAGCATATGAATATTGCTTACTAGCTGTTCTTATCACTACACCTTGCACGTATCTTAGTTGGTGGCATGGGACAGAAAGAACAACTGCTGAGCCAGACAGTTGGCCGAGGTCTGTCCTAGTGCCATGGGCTACAGATTCTTGCGTATGCATTATGAAAAGAGGCCATTTGGTTGTGAATCCTTTAGACAAAGGTAATAAGACAACATTTAATTTCAGAAGTCAACTTTCTGATATAATGTACATACAGGATGCAAGAAAAATAATGGAATCATAGAATCTTTTGAATTGGAAGGGACCCTTAAAGGTCATCCAGTCTAACTCCCCTGCAACGAACAGGGGTAGCTACAGCTCCATCACATGCTCATAGCCCTGATTTGAGCCTCTCCAGGGATGAGGCATCCACTGCCTCTCTGGGCAACCTGTTCCAGTGCCTCACTAACCTTATCATAACAAACTTTTTTCCTTATATCCAACCTCTTTTGGTTTCCTCTTTTAGTTTCAAATAATTTCCCCTTGATTGAGATAAATAGATCTAATAAGCACAGTATGTGTTTTGACAACCAAGTTTTCATTATAAAGCAAATGGGCATGTTTGGAAAAAATGCTGTTCTCTATTTTTTTTTTGTTGTAAAATCAGCAGGACTTGTTGTAACTACTATCTTAATTGCACTGATGCAGCGTTTCCAGAAGTGTGAACACAGGACAGGTAAGAAACAATTTTCAACACTTAAATTGCTATTTAAACAAGCTATTTATGTATAGATCTAGGTCTCTGCATTTCAGGAAATATCTGACTTCAGTTTTTACTATGAATTCAATCAAGGCCAGCAAACTGCAACTTCATGTTGCTGTCAAGTAACTGCTGGGCTGAAAACAATTTAACCTTCCCAAGTCCATGATAACTTTGCATGGTACCGATAAAGCTGATTGCTTCCTCATTTGCTTTGAGACCTGTGTGAGGTCTAAACTGAAGATCTTTTGGTTTGTTAGTTCTGAATAGCTTACTTCAAATGGAGTGTGGTGTTGAGTGCCATGTCACCACAAGACTTGCTTGTCAAGGCGCAGGGTAGTATTTTGGGCAGTGGCATGGGATATAGGATATGTTTTCAGCCACCCAATGGTTACTTTCTCCATTGTTAAGCACATGGCATTTGCAATTTCGAGTTTGTGGTTCTGCAGCTGACAAATCAGCTGATGGATGGGAATCGGGGAATCTCAAATGGTACGATATTACTACTGGTGCACCAGTGTGGAAGTGTTCAGCTCCTGCTGTACTTCTGCTCTTAGTAACCCCCTCAAAAGAAAAGTTCTTTGAGAGGCTGGGCAAGGTAGACAGTTACCTAATGTTCTCCATCTCCGAGGCAGCTATACCAAAAACCTGTTGGTACTGTTTGAGTCCTTGAAGTATCCTCTTCTGGGGTAATCTATAACAAGGATGTGCAGAAGTTCTGGACCAGTTGCAGTGGAGTGCTTTTGCCACTCGTTCTCAGTCATGCTCAATTCCTGACTGAGATTCCTCCAATAAAATTAGCTCTTGGAATCCGCCTCTCACTCCAGATATACAGACAGGTTGTGACCCTTCGTAATTTGATGGCGTTAGGGTACACTGTACACCAGTGTCCACTAGACACTTATACTCCTGTGCTTCTGATGTGCCAGGCCATTGAATCCACACAGCCCAATAAACCTGGCTGTCCTTTTCCTCCACTGACTGAAAGAAGGGCCCTTCTGGTTCTGGTTATTGTATTCATCACTCGTGAATGCAAACCAAAAGGCTGGTCATCAAACTCAGAAATAAGGTCAGGCCATCTACTCTGTTTGGAGAACAACCCACTGGCAAGTGGAATGGTCATTTTCCAGGAATGGTTTTCCCTTGCAACTCACATATCTGTACCTCTAGGATTGAAGTGAGTTTTCCATCTAATTTCCTCATATCCTCTCCATGGTCATGCAGGTAAGTCCACAGGTTAGCATGTGATGTACACCCAATATATCTTCTGTCTTGAATTGAAAAATGCTTACTTCTGGTAGCTGAGATGCTAGTCCATGCAGGCAGGACAGAAGATTTATTCCCTTCGACTTGTTCGGCCACTTGGGAATGCTTCTCCACAGCTGAAACACAGGCCCTCAGAGAGGAGGAGAGATATATATATTGCTGGAGTTGGTCAGTGAATTTATCCATCATCTGTTCTTCTCTGTCTTTCCAGGTCATTGCTGGCAGTGAGTTGGCATACAGAGATGGTGAACTCCGTACAAACTCACCCCGCATAGACTGTGAAATAACACATCTCAATTTTGGAATAATTGGTAGTTCAGACCAACATTATACATCACCTCCAGCACAGCTAATTCCCTTAGACACTGGATACCTCTTTCCATGGTGGTCCACTTGCCTGGTTGACATGTCAAGAATGTACTTGTTACGTTTCCACGATAAGGTTCCTAAAGTGCGAGGATGATGGCACTGCTGAGTACTACTACCAAAATAAATCCACAACTGGATTGTATTATAACAAGAGCATATGCTATATACAAGCTGGAAAAATCATAAATAAGCCTAGACCAGCTTTCAGAGTGATGAATAACATGGCCAGAGTTAAGAAAAACAACAAAAACAACTGCTCCCCTCAGTTATATAGTTTTCACATGATGCCACATGCATGGAGTGCCCCTTTGGGCAGTTTAGGCCAGCTGTCCTGGTTCTGTCCCCCCTCCACTCCTTGTGCCCTACCAGATCCCTCGCTGCCAGGACAGTAGAAGAAGTGGAGAAACTAAAAAGTGCTTGGCTCTGTACGGCACTATGCAGTAACAACCAAAACATCGGTGTATTGTCAACATAGTTTTTCTCTTAATGCCAAAACATAGTGTTATACCAGCCACTGTGAAGAAAATCAACTCTGGGACATACCACAGAGCTGAAACATACTACAGAGAACTCATTCATTTTCTCTACAGCACATCTACGCTTTCTTTGAAGAAAGTGATAGTAGTAAGCATGGATTCACAAAGTGACAGCAGTGCTTAACCAACATGGCAGCTTTCTGCAGTGGGATGAATGGCTTGGGGGATTTGGGGAGAGCACTGTTACTTATCTCAACTTTTAATAGGTATTCTGTATTGTCTCCCATGCCTTCCTCATGTATAAACCCATGAAGTGTAAGTGGAGTGAACTCTCTGATGTGGACTGAACACTGACTGAACTGCTGGGCTCAGGGATTTTGTGACTAGTGGTACAAAATCCAGTGGCTAACCAGTTCTTGGTAATATATCCAGATATTGATATTGACCCTATAACTGCTTAACTTCACTACTGACACAGACACTGGACAGAGTATCTATCACTTTCTCTGTAAACTTGCAGAGAAAGCACAATACTGGGAGGAGTGGCTGCCACACCAGGAGAAGGACTTTGGCAGGCTGGAGAAAGTTTCAGAAAGCTTCATGAAGTTTAACAAATGGAATTGTGGAACCTGGGAAGGAATAGCCTCACATGCCAGTATACACAGGGGACTGAGCGACTGGAAGAAATTTTGCTGAGAAGAACCTTGTTGTCCTGGTGGACACCAAGTTTAATGCGAGCTACCAACAGGTTCTTGTCACGTCGAAGGTCAACAATATCCTGGGCTGCATTGGGAAGAGTGTTGTCAGCAGGTTGAGGGAGATGATTTTTTCTACTCAAGTGAGAGCCCATCTGGAGCACTGTGTCCAGTTCCTAGAACAAGAAAAAGACAAGTTAATGGAACACGTACCTACATGGTACCTCCAGGGCATTAGGGGGGAGTGTTATGTGATAATTAATTGGGTGTGATGTTGGCAGAACTTTTTGATGCAAAGAGCAAACACAGGCACACTTTGTTAATGTTACTGACAGAGGACAGAAGCAGTTCTGGTTGGAATTAACATACAGCCTATGTGATCTTGTTTGGACAATGCTCACTCTAGCTTTCATATTGTATGATTAAAATTAATGGAGAAGCAAACTATGCTTTCTGTGTTCTCGTAAGGACAGCTACAGTCAATCTTTCTCAAGTACATTACAGCCTTTTCAAAATGGTTTGCTGTTCCTTGTGCAAGAGGAAGTAAAACCATAACTGTCAAGCCCTACTAAGTATGTAAATGGAGGGAAAACCTTGAAAAGAGAAGTATTTTGAATCTGTGACAATGCATGCAAATACCATCTTATTCAGTGACTGCATGACCATTTTAAACTGTAACCTGGAGGCATGTGTTTAAAGCATTCCAAAGAAAACAGAAAGATAACAGTCCTCTAGAACATATGAAAGCTCTCCCTCTTTGTAGTTTGTATATTGCATGTATATTGCATGTATATTGCCCACTTCAATGTGTAATCATTATAAAAGCCTGCAAAACCAAAATTGTTTTGTCAAATCAAGTGAAGTAGCTGAAACAATGTGTCTTTGCAGGGCAAGTGAAGATGTTTCTGCTTTGATTTCAGTATTACTGTTACCTTTCCATATCCAGCCTTTGTGAATTTTCTACAGCCAGCCATCGTTACTTAGATTTGAAGACATGCCCATCACAGATGTCTTGTACATTCCTATCATGATTTACAGTAGATTTCCCAGAAACTGAAGTGATTGCTCACACTTTGCTATAGACACAAAGCTTCAGAATACGACTCTCATCTGATCTTTTTACTCCTTACCTGGGCAGTTTTCCTTTTGGTGACTCCATACCACTGTTCGAATGCATTCAGTGCCAGAAACACAAGCCTCTTCAGCCAAAGGAACAAGAAAAACCCCACTGCTCAGCCTACTACTCCAAATCTGGTTTCATGAAATGACTTCACGATATTCATGAAATATCTAAAGTCCCAGCCAACATTTCTTGACCATGCAATTGGTTCACAAACATATGCTGCAGTTTTAAAGCTGTGTCTAAGCTTCTGCTTCTGCTCATTCTCAGTTGCTGGGTCAGTCTGAGACTTCTGAAATTATATGTCAGTCATTCAATTTTAAAGAAGAGGACTGTGGTTAAATGGTATAGAGCAGTGAGTTTCAAAGCATGCCGTATGTGGATTGGGCAGAAGAGTTCAGCATCAGTAGGAGGTTAGATGAGAGAGGGGAATGGGATGGAGCAGCAGGAAAATGTCGGTGGAAAGGGAGTAAAATATCCTTGTTGGATATTCCCTGACCATGTGGTTTGTGTTCTTCTGTCTGTTTTCTTTCCTTGTTAAACTTCAGCATTTCCCTTTGCCTCCCTTAGCCAATTTAGTGAGTTGTGGTCTGAAGAAATTGTGTTCCTCTGATGCCTTTATGCTAAATATTGTGTGGCTGTGCTCAGGAAGCCCTCCATGAGGAAATACTGTACCAGAGGTGTATTCCTGGAAAAATGAGTCCCCCTGGGAAAGACATTCCTCAGCAGCCCATTCTCTTCATCTCCAGGTAAGCTATGGCGCATGTGTATTCCAAGGTAGAATGGATGTAAATGCTTGTAGAGCAACTTTACCAGTAGTAAAGCAGTGTTTCCCAATCAGAGAACAGAAACAGAAGCAGCAACATGAGATGTATGTATAACTATAGCTATACAAAAGTATATCTAAGCCAAATTTACAGAACTCATAGAAGTATGTATCTCAAGGCTGAATGCAATTAAGTGCAGGGAAGATGATTAATTTTACCCTCCAATCTTCTGAACTTTGAGCAAATATATATTTCTTCATGTAGACATGCAACATTTAAATCTTTAGTAATTAAGTATTTTTTTGTTTTCTAAACCCTTAAAATTAGTTCAGAATTAATCAACTTATGGTCAAGGCTTTCCTTTTCCGTTTGTAAAGTGCTGTAATTGCGAGCATTACAGATCACTTGGCTTCAGTTGCAGACAGAAACTGTAGCATCTCTTTCAGCTCAGACTGACCATCAGAACTCAGTTCTTCTAATTTGTCTCACTTCCTCATGCTGCATTCACTGTTGTGCTGCTCAGTGCTGTTGGACAGGACGTGCAGAAACTCAGAAGTAAATTCTGCCTGCAGTCTCTGTGTCCCTCTCCATCTTCTGTGCATTTTGGTGGTGGTGGTGTTACATGGAGAATGTGGTTCTCCTAAGGGTAGAAAAGTACTGCAGAACATCAGTCCAGCATTTTTCCTGTGGTGCTTTTTTTTTTCTTTCTTTTTTTTCTATTTTTTTTTTCCCCCCCAGATAGATCCTAAAAGCTCAGAGTTGTCTGAATTGGAAAAGACCTTTAAAGGCCATCCAGTCCAACTCCCCTGCAATGAACAGGGACACCTACAGCCCCATCAGATGTTTGGAGCACTGCCAGCTTGACCTTGGGTGTCTCCAAGGATGGGGCACCCACCACCTCTCTGGGCAAATGTGCCAGTGCCTTGCTACCCCTATTGTAACAACTCTTTTCCTTATATCTAGTTGTTTCAGGGTACGTTTGGATCTGAGAGAGAGGATGTCTCAGGAGCAGAGGCAAGCAAACCACATGCTCAGAGAAGCATAGAGGGTTATGGGTGTAATTCAGCATACACTCACTCGTATACACGCAGGCATCCATTTTAGATAACCCCCATAAGCAGAAACTCCCTAAGCAAGTGCACTATAACTTACTGACCCTTGAGAAAGAGCAAACTCTCAAAAAGGGGAGAGAAGGAACGTGCCGGTGGTGGATTTGGTAGGCAGTGCCAGCAGGGCCTCCCCTGCTTTAAAGTGTGCTTTTCCTCTCTCCTGCACCACAGCCTTTCTCCTGCTTTTATTCCACTCATGGTCTACAGGGTTTTTTCCACTTGCGCAGTGTACCCGCACTGCCAGTGTGTGACACAGAGCCCAAGTGGAACACCTGCTTGCAAAATATGTCTCTGCAAAAACAAGATAAACTACCAAGGTCAGCAACAGCCACAAATATCAGTTCCCTTTAAACTGTCAGAATACTTTGTTCCATCCCAGGATCATTCTTCAGCTGGGGCTTTAGGTCCCTGACACCCCAGTCTAAATCTTCCTTCTTTTAGTTTGAAACCACTGTCCTATCACAACAGACCCTTCAGAAGAGTCTGTCCCCTTCTTTCTTACAGCCCTTCTTCAGACACTGAAAGGTTGCTCTCAGGTCTCCCCATGGCCTTCTATTCTCCAAGCTGAACAGCCCCAGCTCTCAGCCTATCCTCATAGTGTGGGTGTTCAATCCCTTGCACCATTTTTGTGGCCCTCCTGTGGATGAGCTCCAACAAGTCCATATCTCTCCTGTACTGAGGATTCCACGTCTGGATGCAGCATTCCAGGTAAGGATTCAGCAGCTCAGAGCAGAGGGGCAGGTTCACCTCCTTGCCTGCTGGTCATGCCACATTTGATTTAGCCTAGGACACACTTTGCTTTCTGGGCTGCAAGGGCACATTGCTGGCTCATGTCCAGCTTGCCATCCGCTAGTATTTCCAAGTCCTTTCAGCAGGGCTATGCTCTATCCTTTCGTCCCCCAGCTTGTACTGATAGTGGAGGTTGCCACAACCCAGATGCAAGATCTTGCAATTGGCTTTGTTGAACTTCATGAGTGTCTCTCGGGCCCACAACTCAAACCTGTCTAGGTCTCTCTGGATGGCACCCAGTCTCTCAGACATATCAAATGCACCACTCAGCTTGCTGTCATCCACCAGCTTGCTGAGGGTGCACTTGATCCCATTGTTGATGTTGTTGATGAAGATATTAAACCGCACTGATTCCAGTATAGACTTGAAGGACACCACTTGTCCCTGATCTCCATTTAGACCTAGAGCCATTGACCTTAACTCTCTGGGAATAATTTCACAAACAGTTCCTTGTCCATTGAAAAGTCCACCCATCAAATCTATAACTTTCCAAGTCAGAGAAGAGTGTTCACATCTAAGGCCTTAGTGCAGTCTAGATAGATGAAATCAGTGGCTCTTCCCTTGTCCATTGATGCAGTTACACCATCATAAAAGGCCACTAGGTTGTCCAAGCAGGATTTGACCTTTGTGAAGCCATATTAGTTCTTTCAAGTCAACCCCTGTATGGGAACTTGATCACAGCCTGATCCTCTGATTGACCACCTGAGGCAAGCAACGAGTCAGCTGCAGGAGCACAGGTGAAGGCAATTCTCCTGTGCTACCAGGAAGGACTGGAGCCTGGCTTCACCTCTCCTAGACCCCATTTAAGAGCTGACTGCCACTGAGGAAGGATCTCTCTCTGGAGATTGCTTCTTGTGGAGTTTGCTGTGAGCCTACAACACCAGTGAGTATTTTTGTTTATTTTGATTATCTTTCTGCTGTGATAATCTTACTAAGCCTAATCTGTATAGTTAGTGATCTTACATCATACCAAGCCTAATCTCTGTATAATTATTGACTATACACCCCTCTTTTTTTCCATGTGCCTTAGAATAGCTTCAAGGAGGATCTGTTCCATCATCTTTCCCTGTGCAGAGGAGAGACTGACAGGTTTTAGTACTAGGTAAGATAAGTTGGTATGTATTGGTGTTTTACAAAAATGTACAGAGAAAGAAGTTACTGAGGAGCTGGTGCCTGGTAAGTACACATTTTGTTATTTCATGAATGCTTGTGCTTATGGTAAGGCAGAATTTTCCAATCGGAGGTAAGGAACAGGGGCACGTAGCACTAGAATGTGTGCCCATGCTTAGCTGTATGAGTCATGCATAAACTGCATGTACTGAAATCATGGAAAACTGAGGTCACTTTTTTCAAATAGATTTCCCCAAAAATTACTTTTTACAGAAGCAGCAACTACAGTTCTCAAAGTGACCTTCTCACAGATCCATGGACAATGATCTTTAGTAAAGGATTATCTTGAAATTTTCTGGTTTATTAAATATTAACAAAGTCATGGAAGTCTTGCAGTCTTCCATGTTTTGCTTTGTAATTATCTGTGTTATGGACCAATCAAACGTACAACAAAATGCTGTGTACCGTTAGTGGAAGTTGTTCAACAGTGTAGCAGCTTCCCTCAGGGAGGTATGGCTTAAATTTGCTCATCAGGTGAAAGGATAGCCTAACTTTCCCAGTTCTATGGGCAACCTTGGTAACTGTAATTAAATCTCTCACTAATAATGGGAAGAGGAGAGAATTAATGCAATTGAAATGTAAAGAGAAATGTAAAGATGGATTCCCCGGTGCTGCTATTTGAGTATAGTTTACCAATCATGCTGGGATGAGTTTAGATTGTTCTTGAAGAAATAGAGAAAGAAGAGGGGAGGAACATTACAAAGGGCCAAGGCTCATGGACAGTGTGAAGGAACAGTGAGGAGTAGTCCTAGGTCACTTGGTTTGAGGATGGAGAACTTGAGAATAGATCAGCAACTACTGAAAATGCGCACTTCTTCACCCAGGATCAGTGAATAAATAATTTAGGCCAACACCCTGCTTGAGTAGGGTCAGTTATGAACCTCATACACTGCAGTGACCACTGAGGAACAGAGAATCACAAAGCTTGAAGACAGATGTGTTGGATGATGGGATGGCATTGGGTCCTGTGTGCAGGGAACTGGAAGTATGGTTAACTGGCCTGCACTTAATTCAGATATCTTGTGTGATCCTCAGACTTCTTCCTTGTTTCCAGGTGACTGATGGAAGTATATTGGCTTTTCCTCTTTGTGTGGGAATAGAATTCTTCATCAATGCTTGTGAACTTCCACACACAAATGTACGAGTTACCAACAGCACTGTCATTCATCTTCCAACAGGAAGGTGATTAAGCCTCTGGGGCTGCAAAGGCACTCAGGGCAAGAGCTGTGCTCTGCTGCTGTAGACAATGAAGCAGCTTCTGTTATTTCCCAACACTTTGTTTAAGAGGTTGCATACTCAGCACACAGCTGTTTTTTTTTTCTCTTTTGAGAATGCATGTGTGCTTAGTGAGGACATAAGAACCCGTTTATAAGGTTATTCAGCTGTAGTGATTTACACAAGTATCAGTGTGTCTACGAGAGTAAACCAGATTGATTGGATGTGTTCTGATCCATATGGTATCTCTTCTGTGATCAGTGGTTTCCTGTTTATTGGTAGTAGTGAGGAAATGATTAAATACAGCAGGATACTCCTTTGCATCTTCTTCACTCTGAAGGCACATCAGATAGACTTGTGGTAGTGTAACTGTGCCTGATGAGCTGACATCATCTTCTTCACTCTGAAGGCACATCAGATAGACTTGTGGTAGTGTAACTGTGCCTGATGAGCTGACATCATCTGAGAAAAACCAACATCACCCATCTTTCTTCAGCATCAGTTTATGCTGTGCACCCTTGTTTTGGTAAGCCTTGTTTGTATGCTGTCTTTTGTTTTGGTTTCTCAGTAATGTTCTATATGTGGGATGGAGAGTTAGTCCACTCAAATTGTATCTGAGAGTATATTTTTTCCAGCATAACTGTGTGGTGTACTGTATTGGGTTCTAGGTGCATGTGATCAGCTCTTGGGGAAATAGGAGAAGTGAAGCAAGAACAACAACCAGTTTAATTCACTGCATCACAACTTGTGTTTGAGGGAGCCTGATTTTGTAGGGGGGCTGCTCTTGGAAAGAGCAGATGACCTCCTGTGCAATTGGTTACAACACCTGAAGGGTGTAAGCATGGTATGATGGGAAAGAGGAAAAATGGATCAGAGCTCTTACGTGAAGTGAACATTGTCCTCAGTTACATCTGTGCTATGGTAGAACACAATAGTTGGACTACAATGTGACCTGCCTCTGGTGACCCCATTTTTGCCTAAATTGCAGAGACTTGTGACTTGGCTCACTTAAAGTGTACCAGTTTGTTAGGTTGTTCCTTGTGTTGGGTGGATAGCCTTGAAGACTTTGGAAGAGGAGCTTCTGACTGCAGTAGGCAACTGAGGCAAAGAGGATCTGAGATGAGCAGAGAGGAAATCTTTAAAGGTCTTTATCTCTGGATAGGAATGTTCCAAAATCTATCCAGAACTTATGGTATTTGAAAATCTTGCATGGTTGTCCTATGATATGATGGCTGTTGTGTATCTCTCATCTTCCTGAATGTCTAGAGGAATCAGCCTTCTTCAGTCAGCAGTAGATTTCATGCCTTACCTAACAGGACCTTAATTCTCAAGAGTGCACTTCAAGAGGATTGAAGGAAGTATGCTGTCAAGAGATATGATGTATCTGGTTATCTCCTTACAAAAGAGGCTTTCAACTACACATGTAAGGTAGATTTAGAAGCCTTAAGAATAATGTTTTGTTGTGCTGTGCAAAGTGTCTCAGAGTTACTTTTATCCCTACATTGCATTCCTTGTAGCACGCAAAAGAATTTTCAACAACCTATAAATGATGCCTCTACCATACAGTTAGGAACTGAGAGTCTTTTAACTGAAATATGAAAATGCACACCATCTCTGTCCACGATTTTTTTTTCCCATTGTTTTTTGAATCAGTAAGTAATGAAATATATTTTTGCAAGTAAGCCTTATTGTGGATTTAGGCAAAAAAAAAAAAAATCTAAGTGGTGAATTTCTCAAGTTGTCATTTCAGAATTGGCAAATGACAAACTGCTGCTTTTTTTTTTTCCTCCCTGATTTTTTTTTTTTAATTCTGGAAGGATCCCCAGCTCCAAGACAGGCAAAAATACAGAGTTTCAGTCTCCAGTGAGATAAAAATGTATAGAAAGAAGTGCTCCAAAGAAAAGAATCAGGGATGAGTATCAGTTTGATCTGTATACCTCTCAGTTTTCAGGGAGTGCTTTAAGGTTCAGTGTCATCAGAAATTCACTTTAGAGTGTGAGCCTCTATAAGAATAACTGTCATATGTGCAAGTGATCAGAAGTGCTGTTGTAGAGGACTGGAAAGTATAAGGTAGAAATCCCTGCAGTCAATATTCTTAATCTTTCAAGGTGTGGAAGTCAGTCCCATGGTGACCTTCTTGAGCTTCAGAAGGCTTAGGTCTGGCTGTGCATTTGTTGCAAAGCAAACTCTGTTGTGGTGCAGTTTGGACCTATTCAGGGACTACTCCATTAGAGGAGAGCTGGGCACTAAGGTGGTCTGCTCTCCTCCATATTAAGAGTTGATCCAGTTTGCTCTGCCATATGATAAGAAATAAGCTCTGAAGGCCATATTGCACTTTCTGAAAAAGCTACTCACTTCAGATTTTCAGGATATGCAGGAATTATCTAATCTTAAATGGCCATATTTATTTTGGTCTTAGCCTCAACCAGGTGCTATCTTGTTGAAGAGTCACAAACAAAGACTTTTCTTCTTGCTTTTCTGTTTCTTTGCATGCTGAAGTTCTGACCCCGCAAAAAACCCTTTTCAATCTCATTCAGTTTGTAGACTCCTAAGTTGTTTCCAGTGGAGATCTTGTCCTTGTACAATGAATTTCAGTCTTTGGACGCCTTTTTTTAATGTGTGTGCGTGTATATGTATATAAATATATATATAGTTTGACAAGAGCCAGCAGTGTGTTCTTGCAGCCCAGAAGGCCAGAAGTATCCTGAGCTGCATCAAAAGAGGGGTGGCCAGCAGGGAGAGAGAGGGGGTTGTCCCCCTCTGCCCTGCCCTTGTGAGGCCCCTTTTGACCTAAGCCATTTGGTGATATCGATTTGCTAAGCACTTGGAGTCACAGTAGGAAGCTAGATGGGCTGGATTTTTTTTTTTTGGTCTAAGAAAATATACATGCTATTCAAGAGAAACTTCTTAAAGTTTTTAGGTGCTCTAATTTGCTCCTGAAAAGCTGTTTTGTTGGCTTTTTGTCCCTGTACTGTGTCCAATATTTTTCTATCCTTGTACTAACTTCTTTGTAACCGCAGTAGATCTAAGGCTTAGACGTTGCTAAGTGAATTCTTCAGGGAAATTTTAGCTTATGAGATCTTTCTCTTTTGTAAGTAATGTATATCTAAGCAAATTGAAGATGGCAGTATGAACAAAATTACCCAGTTCATTTTCCAACATGGAGGATTTTTGCTATCTTGGTTTTTAGCACACAAAAGTGAATTGAGACAAAATTAGAACAATTGGGAAAAGATGACAAGGATTGCCTGGTACTTGAGGAGGGAGTGTGTGACTGTCTCTTCCAACTCCCACAATTCTGTGACTGGACCCGTGTGTTTCAACAGGTTGGCAATAAGAATTTTTTTAAAGCAAACACACAATATTTCACCATGCATTCAATGGCGCTAAATATAAATTGTGACTCATGCGGTGTCTATCAATTATTCCATAGTTAAACTCTTGTCTTCCTGTGATTGCTGTGGGTCAAAGTAGGAGAGCTATGTCAGAAACTATATGTGATCACTACAGTTGACCTGGATAACTGGGAAGTAGGGTGATGAGTGAGCATGGAGATGGGATGACAGGCAATAGCTGATGCTGGGACCTATGGCAGCAGAACTGGTGCCTTCACCAGTGGTATCTTGAACCTGTGCCCTGAGCAGTGTGTATGAGAAGGCTGAGAGGATGTGGCAGCAGTGTTCTGACAGAGTGATGCACTACCCTGCTGTTGGACTGTTCACCTGGAACGCAGCACTGGATGTACTCCAGTGCCCTGAGAGCCACATAGCGCAGTGCCTCCTCTGTGTGCCTGCTGCTCAGTTCTCAGATTTGCCTGGGTCTCCTCATATGACTGCTCAGCAGTTTTGGAGCTGGGGGTTGCAGGTGGGTGGGCATGAATTTAAGGTGCTAATCCTGGGGCTGGATGATGGCTGGAGAAAAGTGGGAGGTACTCGCTGATACAGCAAGAGGGAGAAGGCATATAAATGACAGCAGCTGTTAATGAGCAGAAGTCTGACTTCCTCCTGTAAGCCTGAAGAGCTGAGGGAAAAGCTGTATGTGACAAATGCAGGGAGATGTCAGAAATTAGAGCTGAAAATCTCTCTCCACTTTGCCATTTCCGTAGTTTGAAGACATGGGACTTCTCTGCTGTGCATTACAGTGCACGTCTTCTCTCCGAGAATGTACAACAATATGCATGATAAAAATACTACTGTATGTTTTCTACTTGGTTTATTTTGGACAGAGGCTTTCTGCAGATTAAATCTCCAGCTTGGTTACTGTGAAGGATCTTGTCTCATTTGCCCTTTCAGCATCCTCCATGCAATGTGTTTGAATGTTACTTGAATAGTTTATTTTAGACAGGACAGCAGCATCTGGTTCAGTGGGTCTCAGACTGTCTCAGCATTGCATAGCAGAAGTGAATGCTGTAGCAGGAAGCGTGAGACAAGGGCCAGTGGTGTGTGTCTCACGGAGATGAATCTGAGGTACGGCAGACTTTCTGCTGGAGATCCCCTTGCTCTCTCTTGGTGCCTCAGCATGCTTGTCTGTACCGGTTTATTTCATTTTGTCAGCATTGTCCCTAAGCCCTTAACAAAGTCCACGTCTGTGTTTGGAGGATGAAGATGTTCCTTTCATTATCTTGGCAAGATGAAGGTGAAAGTATCCATGTATGCTGTGAACAAGAGATGGTTCCCTTGGGCCCTCTTCACCAGAGATTTGACAGTGACCAGGATAATCCTGGGACTTCTGGAAATCCTAACCCTGACACTTGCAAACATTGGATCATTTAGGATGAGGGATAATGGCCTTAAGTTGGGTTATGGAGGTTCAGGTTGGATATTAGGAAAAATTTCCCCTCAGAAGGAGCAGTGAGGTTTTGGAACAGGCAGCCTAGGGGAGTTACAGAGTCACTGTGCCTGCAGGTGTTCAAGAACCACATAGATGTGGCACTGAGGGATATGGTTAGTGGGCATGGTGGGAATGAGTTGGTGGTCAAACTGGGTGATCTTAGCTTAGTGGTCTTTTCCAACCTGAATCATTCTGAGGGGATAATCACCTGAAGACTCCATTTGACAGCTCTGTGGAGTCTCTGACCTGAAAGGACCTTCATCTATGCCTATGGTTCTGGTTACTCTTGCTCTGCTGGTGCATCAGAGCTCCTTGGTTAGTTTCACTTAAACCAAGAGCTTGTGTGGTTTTTTGTTTTTTTTTTTTTTTTTCCCCTCCCCCTGCATTAGAATCAATCATAAAATTGCTCAGGTTGGAAAAGACTTAAATATCATCAAATCCAACCACAACCTAACAGTATACCCTAACAACCCTCTGCTAAGTCGTGCCCCTGAGCACCACATCCAAAGGGTTTTTAAACACATCCAGGGATGGTGACTCTCCCACCTCCCTGGGGAGCCTATTCCAGTGCTTAATAACACTTTCTGTAAAGAAGTTTCTTCTGTTATCCAAATTAAACTTACCCTCGTGCAACTTGAGGCCATTTCCCCTCACTCTGTCACCAGTGAGAAGGGGCCAACTCCTCTCTCTCACTGTAAGCACCTTTCAGATATTGGAAGAGAGCAATAAGATATTGGAAGAGAGCAATAAGGTCCCCCATCAGCCTCGTCTTCCCCAGACTAAACAGCCCTAGCTCCTTCAGTCTCTCCTCATAGGGAACATTCTCCAAGCCCTTCACAAACCTTCCTGCCTTTCTTTGAACCTGCTCCAGAACCTCAATGTCCTTTCTGTACTGAGGTGCCCAAAACTGGACACAATTCTTGAGATGAGGCCTCACCATGCTGAGGGCAGGGGCAGGATGACTTCCCCAGTCCTGCTCACCACTCCATTCCTGATATAAGCCAGGATGCCATTGGCCTTCTTGGCCATCTGGGCCCACTGTTGGCTGGCTCATAGTCAGCCGACTGTCCATCAGTATGCCAAGGTCCATCAGGCAGCTTTCCAGCCACTTCTCCCCAAACCTGTAGGGTTGCCTGGGGTTGTTGTGACCAAAATGCAGGACCAGACACTTGACTCTATTGAGACTCATGCAGTTAACCTTGACCCATTGATCCATCTCATCGTGGACTGTGCAGGGCCTATTCTGCTCTCCATCCGTATCTACCAGTGCAAGGGGCTGTGTGCCCAGGGAGTAACAAGTCTTACTATTAAAGACTGAAGCAAAGAAAGCATTAAGCACCTCAGCCTTAGCCTGATCCTTGGTCACTGACAAGAGATGGAGATTCTCCCTAGCCCTCCTCTTGCTGTTCATATATTTGTAGAAATATATATTATATTGTTGTCCTTTACTTTAGCAGCCAAGTCCAGTTCTAGCTGGGCTTTGGCTTTTCTAATTTTCTCCCTGCATTCAAGTCCTTTGATTTGTTCAGCCCAGAGCAGAGGAGCTGAAAGGAGGCCTGATGGCAGCAGCAGCTCCCCACAGGGAGCGGAGGGGCAGTGCTGAGCTCTGCTCTGTGTGACAGCAACTGGGCCTGAGGGAACGGCATGGAGCTGCGTCAGGGGAGGGCAGCTGGGGGTCAGGGACAGGCTCTGCACCAGAGGGAGGTGAGCATGGCCCTCAGAATCAGAGTTCAGGAAGTGTTTGGTCGTTGCTGTCAGATGTAGGGTTTGAATTTTGGGTGGTCCTGTGTGGTGCTGAGAGTTGGACTTGACCCTTACAGGTCCCTTCCAACCCAGGGTACTCTGTGATTCTGTTATGTTCTCCCTATGGTTTCAAGGGCCCTGCTGGCCCCCAGAAGTAGCTCAAGCCTGAAGAGCCAGCCATGAGCACCACTGCAGCTGCTGCACCTATTTGGTGTTTTTGTGCAGCGAGGCTCCGGCGCTCAGCTCTGCTGCTTTGCTCCGTGTGAAGGCAGGCTGCGTGCATTTGTAACAGTAAAAATAGGTGCACTGCAGGCAGTCACTGACCTATTTAAAGGCAGGTGTGGGAGTTAAGATGAACAAGTTTTCTTCGTAGTGCTTCACAGCATATTTCCTGCTTTACTTACTTAGGCTTCTCAGTGTCCGGTGCTCGGCCAGGGCCTCGTGCCATGTAGGGAACCAGTTTCCTTCCTCAGTTGAAGTGATTAGCAGTGCTGTCAGTGGCTGAAAGGACAAAATGGCCCTCTGAGCTTGCTGCTCACCCAGTGAGAAAAGATTTTAGTTTGCCTGCCAACTGTGAGTTACTTCATTTTTCCCTCTACTTGTGGTTTCTGTTAAGCCGCACAAGGTGCTTTTTGTCAGAGAATTTTGCATCTTATGTGAATAAGAAAGGGAAGTAATTTCCCCTGAAGTTCTGTGGTGTTGTGAGCATTCATTAGTTGATGTTAGACAAGATTAAACACTAACTTCGAAAAATACCTTATGTATAGAATTTAGGAGAGTTGATGCTAAGAAGCGACTGCTGATGGATGGCAGCAAGGACAGGGCATGTGCTGTCGTCTTCATGCTGGCTATGAGCTCTTCTGGCTGGCAAGGGTGTTGGGGGACAGAAGGAGCCTATTGGGACTTCACATCCCATGTGATGTATGGAGCACAAGCACTCAGAAATATTGAACTCATAAATGTACTCATTTGCCCTGGAGTCACTGCGAGGGAGACTAAATGCTGGACACTGCAATGTCACCGTCATGCAGAGTGTCTTCTGTAATAACGGAGCTACAGCAGAAAGGCCATATTTTTCTTTCATTTTACTGCAAATCTGTAAGTGAGCTCTGGAAGGCTGCTATCACTGACTAGAAGAGAAGTTGAACACTTGCTGGATTGTGCATTAGGTGGACATCTTGTTTTTTTGAGGTTCTGAGCTTTTTTGGGGCATGGGTCTGAAGTGATCCTCATGTGAGCTGTCCTTTTTGCCTCCTGTCTCTACCACAGCATTGCACCCAGCAAGTTCAACCAGCTCACCCTTCCAATGTGAAGGTGAAGTGAAGCTGGACACAAACATCCAAGGCAGGTGGCTGGTTCCCATCTTGCAGCAATATTTGGAAAGACAATTTCTTTAAGTAATTGCAGCTGCAGAGAAGGAAACGAAAGTGTTTCTTTAAATACTTTTCTTTCTCCCCTGCCCCCTGCATGGCTGCAAGTGTCTAAAGACTCACTTCACTGCTTTTCTCAGAGAAGGCTATTTCTGTCGCATCGTAGATCAATTTAGGACTGTTCTATGTACGGTAAAGATAGGACGGTTCTGTGGTAGCTGAGTGAACTTACAGATCTCAGACACTAAAAGTGTGAGGGAGATTTCATTGTCATTGCCAAGGAGTCTGAGGGACGGCTGGCTGAAATTAGGAATTATCAAGCAAAGATAAATTGTTTGAATAATAGTATAGATCGCAATGCAAGGGCTTTAACCATTTCTTAGAAGCATGCTGGACTTTGGGGAGCTTCCTTAACTTAATGGGCTGTTTAAGTCCAAAGAAACAGCACAACAGCATTAGAGCCGCAGCTGCATCCTGAACTCCTGTCACCGTTGTTCCCAAGCGCATCTGCTAAGTGTGTCTGAAAAAAATCCAGATCTTTGGCTCTCATGCTGTGGCAGTTTCTGCTGCCTTGCTTGTGTAATCCTCCTCTGCACTCTGTGGAAAACATGAGTGAACTTCAAGTCATCTCGATGAGGGTGAACCAGGTGAGTGACACAGTTGCACTCAGGTACTGTGAACAATCAGCTCCCAGTGGTTCTTCAGAACTGGCTTTTCAGTCTCATCTCCAAATAGACCCAGACTGGCTTTCAAGTCATATTCAGTCTAGATCTGGAATGCAAGTTTGCCTCCCATAGCCTGTATTCTGCAACTGGGACAGCTGAGCAGAGCCCTTCCTTGCCTCACAGGTGCCATCGTATCTCTGGAAGAGCCTTGCGAAGTTCAGGTTAGTAGAATGGCTTTTCTATGCAGAGGGGCAGCCTCCTCTCACACCTTCCTGCTGGTGTGGCACTTGGTGAGTGGCAGGCATTGGCACTGCAGAAAACCAGCTCATCTGCATGCTCGGTGCTTTATGTGGCTGGCTGGATTTCTCTTCCCTTTGTGGGTGATAGAAAGAAATGGGTGTTTCCCCTTTGCCTGGTCTCTGCATTTAGGTCTTCTGAAATGGGGTATGATGACCAGGGGAGCCTTCTCCTCCCGTCACCTCTAGTCCTGTTCTCATGCCTGCAACTAGCTCCAAGGTACAGGGCTTTGCAAAGCACATCGTAGCTCTTGTTGGTTCAGTCTGAGTTCAGTCACCCGCAACCTTGCAGGTCTATTTTGAACCATTATTCAGTCTGTCCAGTATGGGGTTTTGTATGGAGTTTCTTTTCTTTCTTTTTTTTTTCTTTTTTTTTTTTTTTCACCCTTGCTTCTGACATCATTTCCTGAACGCTATATTCACTGAGCTCTGTAGCCAGATCGTCTTCTCTGCATATGATGCACGGAGCTCTTTAAAATGGATTTCAACTCTCCTTTTATTTTACAGTGTTTGCTGGTGATAACAACTGTTACTGCTGGTAAGTGGGATTTTTCTTTATGAGGCTGTGGTACGGATTTGCCTAGATGAGCTGACACCTTAATTTTAGCCTAAGATCTTTCAGGGTTCTACCAGATTTCTACAGATCAAGTAGTCTAACTACTAATGCATGTAAGGGGCAGCTAGACCAGAGTAAGTATTTATTATTAATCTTGTTATTACTTTAGTATTCCAGTGATAACTAACAATATAGTATTTTCTCAGTGCACTGTGTCTGCAAAAGCATTTCAATGGGGAACATAAGGTCCTGGTGTGCAGAATGCTGTTTGAAGGGACTGGAGAGCAATGTGGTTCTGTTCCTGCTATTTACTCATCTGGGATTTTAGTGCAGGAACTTAATCATGCACAGGGATACTATGAGACTTGGTCAGACTAACACTGTGACAGCTTTCCTTTGGGTAACAAAGGAAGCTGTGCAAACAGCAATTGTTTCTGATACCATCTGCACCAGACCCATAGCATTGATACCCTGAGGATCTTTGTACAGACTGTCAGTGATCAGGGAGGATGATAGAGGATCATGTAAAATCTGGGGACAGACCTGCTATTGAGACGTCTGTAGGGGTGTGAATGGTGTGTGCATGACCCTAATGGTAGCTGGAGAAAAAGCCAGCCTTTATGGAAAGCATAATGTCACCCTTTTCTACTCCTCTGATTTTCAATTCCTGGTGTCCCCAGCCCATCACTAGTGGTAGGTCCCTCTTGTCTGGGCTTTCATCTTTCTGGGAGGCTTCTGAGGATGGATTGATGGATGTGCCCAGCTCCCTGCCCACATTCTGTGTTCTCCTTCCAGACCCTGCTACCATGATTGGTGTGTTCAGCGGCAGCTCAGCAAAGTTTCCTGTAGGAGTTGAAAGCTTTCGGAATGTCCAAAAAATGACCTGGAATAATAATAACTGTTCCACGACTGTGAAAAATGATGCTTTGTTGGCCAAGTGTCTCCCTTCTTTTGAGAGGTGGCTGAAACTGGAGAATGGCTCTCTAGTGCTGAGGAGTGTGGAGAAAGAGGATGAAGGAACGTATGAGTTTTTTTTCAATGATACCAAAGCACTCTTTACACTAAAAGTATTTGGTAAGTGGCCTTGTTAGCAACAAATAACTTTGTGAACATGTGATTCTGGCTGGAAGCTGCTGATTTGAACTTCTTTCTAAAAGACTTCTTGAGCTTTTAGGAGTTAGAAGTACCTCTGGAGCAGCAGGCACAGCTTCGTTAAGTCTCAGGGAGCAGTAATGATGAATGTAAGCTCAAGGTTGCTTTCACACCTATAATGTCAGTCTGTTGAGCCTTCCTTCAAGGAACCAGTAAGTTGAGCTACAGGCTGTTTCCCCCAGTGTAAGTGACAGTAGCATGAGGGGTTTATAAAGCTGAGTCTACAGTACATAGCCATGCAGCTTAAGATTTCAGTCCATTTCCAGAACAGTATTACTGGTGACTGTCATGAATAGACTGCTTCATGTAGTCAAGAAATGGTAGTGAGAGTCCAGATGTCATTTTCTGGTTCTGTCATGTGAAATCCGTGAAGAAAATTGTCTAACTCCAATGCAGTGTCAGAAAGCAGCATTCCTTTATTCCTCACAATACGCACTGGGCGACTTGACAAGTAAGCGCGCCCTCTCAGAGGTCAGGTTCTACATTTCAACTGCTAAGACGTACATGTGCAGTACATTGGCACAAATATTTATTCTTTTTCAAGGACACATTAATATATGCCAGTGTCCCTTTGGGCATGCTCAGTGGTATCTCAGGTGCTCAAGTGCCCACCTACTTCTCCCCCATTTTCCAGCATTCTCTTCATCACTGAGACCTTTTGGCTGCCTTTCCCCGGTTTGGAAAATTTCCATTGCTTATTAGGCCATAGTGAGCAAACCTGAAACAATGTATGTGGAATCCGAGGAAGATCTCCTTACACTTATTAGGTGCAAAAGATGAAAGTGTTCTATTATGACTCCAGTCCTTCTTGTGAGGCAAAATTATTGAGACAAAAGATAAAAGTATTCTATTATATCCTCAGTACAAAATTATTGAGGTAAACAAGACTGTTCACCCACTAAAGTTGAAATGGAAAGTTTTAGAACTATCACTTATTGATTCCTTTTGCTAAACTAATATGTTGGTTCTTAAACTAATGTACTACTCCCTGTTGCTAAATAAACCTAACTATAGAAGTTCTCAGGTAGCCACTGGTAGCTTGGAGATCAGCACTGTCTGTGTAAAGACCATCAGAGGGTACCTTACCTTGCCAGTCTTCTGATATCATCCCTTTGGCCTCAGAATTTCTGCTTTCCTTCATTTGCCTGGTCATCTGTCTGTGAAGTGAGAAGACAGAATGTGGTCATTTTGATTCAGAATCCAGCTTGTTGCTTCATTTCATACAGAGAAGGCTTGAAAAGGTTCAGCTCCTTGCTGAATTGTGCTCTAGACAGCCAGTGACCATGGCAAAAAAGACTGGGGACTGAAAGTATGCAAATACTGCCAAGTGTCCTGGTTTTAACCTCTATTTCAATGAATTTGCTTGGAGAACTTTTGTCTCCTCCTTGTGTTCTGTAGCTGTGAAATTTTTTCCTTAACTTCCAAGGTATTTCTGGAGGTAGTGAATTTAAGCTGAAGATGATATCATAGTTGAGAAAAAAGATCTCTGAACTCGCTTACGTGGATGTTTGCATAGATATTCACAGAAATCACAGAATGGCCCGGGTTGGAAGGGACCTCAAGGATCATGAATCTCCAACCCCCCCACAACAGGCAGGGCCACCAACTTCCCCATTTAATACCAGACCAGGCTGCTCAGAGCCCCATCCAACCTGGCCTTGAACACCTCCAAGGACAGGGCATCCACAACCTCTCTGAGCTACTGTCATAAACCATACAACCTGCCTGTAAGTATTTGCAGTGTGACAGATGTAGGAAGCAGGCTGGTTCCTTGCAGTAGACTAAAGAGAAATTCAGCGGTACGTTCTTTCAGTTTAAATTGTCCTGGTCTGGGTTGTTCTATCTAAATGCAAGCGTCCAGTGTTTGTACCTACCTTGAGCATGGTTTGTGCTAATTCCTCTCTAAAACAGAAGCATATTCAGTAACAGCAGAAGTACAGACCTCTGGCCAATGAGAAGGCTGACTCTCCTCTGAACCTATAATGGGTATAATCAATTACCCATTGATCATAGAAGAAGCCTTTGGCCAGCAGAAGCTTAGTGTGTCCTCAGATCATGGTTTTCTGTTGCTATCTTTTTCACTTTCATCAAGGAAATTAAAGAGGTGCCTTATTTTTAAAGTGTCCCCAAAATGTTGATCAAGTGTCACCAGTACGGTCAGGTGGGTGCTGTCAAGGGCTGGGATCTGGCAATTGAAGAATCTGGTTACTTATGCTCCCTGGCTAACAGTGAATGTGATGGGAGCCCTCCTGGTAGCGGGGAGCTCTCAGTCACTGCTGAGTCTGCTCATCATCTCTCTTCCCTCTCCATTCCCCACTGCCCTGTGCTGTGTGAGCAGAGCCAATCATTGGTGCACGATGCTTCCCCAATGGAACTGCAGACTTGACTTGCGACGTGGACAGCAACGAGAGCATGACATTTGAGTGGCTGCTGAACAATTCTCAGCTGAATGCCCATGAGGCTTGTATTAAGGATGGTGGGAAGAGAGTTCGCCTGGAGAAAACTGTGCCTGGGGAATTTGTATGTAAGGTTAAACACGATCATGGCTTCCTGAGGACCAGGCCCATTGTGCTCTCCTGCAGCTACGGTGAGTAATGGCAGTGCCAGAAAATGTCTTTTTTGGTCTCTTGCAATGGGAATCAAAGGTGTTGTTGTCATTGGTATGAAAACGAAGTCTCCTGTCCTTGGGCAGCTGCCTTGCAGCCTTACCACATCCTCCCAAAGAAAGCATCCCCTTGACTTCCTTCTCCTATTCTGTCTCTGACTGAACCTCCAGTTACAGACAGGAGGAAAGCTACTTCAGCAGGTCCTCCGACCTAAATCTACTGCGAGGAAGGGTCTCTGTATCTCTGTTTTTCTGCTTACAATTACAGGGCTCTTACATTCTCAGCCATGTCAGTTTTAAAACATGAGCTGCTTCCTGCTCTGACATTCACCCATAACCCTGACTGCCTTCCAGATTCTCCAGCATCCCTTGAAAAGAACGTCTGCTAATTTGGCTCTGTTGCTGCTGAGTTGTTTTGCCTCATCTTTTTTCTGCTTGTCTAGAACAGCTAGACAAATACAAAGATTGATCAGACTGTACAAACACCTCCATCAGCCCCTTGTTATCAGAGATGCAGTGATGGTGTAAGTCACTTACTTAAAAATAAAATTAAAAAAGTAAATATTTCTTTTCCTCTCTGTATCTCCTACTTGGGTATGTTTCTCTGTGAGGATACTGTGCCTTCACCCATCTGCAAGCTCTTCATAAATGCCCAGTGATCAGATTGAACGAGACTATAGTTAAATGAGACAGTAAGTCTGGATGCTAGGACTACTAGAACCTCATGGTGCAAAACACTGGTCAGTGTTGTAACCTGACTTTTAATAAAAACAAAACCAACCTGATTAGATATCACTGATGGAGATGCAAGTGAATGCCTTTTGCAGTGAAGGTGCTCAGAACGTTTTTGATTAATTTAGCCGTAAGTAATTTAACCAAGCTTGGTTGGTAGAGAAATTGTATCGTGCAGCAGTACCTGGTGTTTTAGAAAACCATCTGAAAAGCTGTAACTGCAGCAGAATTGAAAAGTAGAGGTTGAAAAGTACTGCCTTTTCTTATATAGCTGGCGTAGAGTTGGTACAAAAATACTGACTTTAGCCCTGCATCATGTGTTCTGGTGCTCTGCAGAACTGCTGTGGGCTTTTTGTGCCTGATCATGTTGGTGGCACAGGCCTGCCTGTACAAGTATGGCATTAGCGACTGTGCAGCAGCTGTCCTAACTCTGTCCAGCTGAAATGACCTAAGGTTGTTCAGCACAGACAAATACAAGTTAACTAAGATGTTGAGGAAAGAGAAGGCAAACAGCCACGAGCTCCGAACTGAGCCTTGTGATGAACCACACGAGTGCTGACACCTACTGTTGTTTGTTCTGGGCGGCTGCCCAGTCCCCTGTGTCGGATATCTCTTCCTCTTTTCCTCTTCAAAAGCCCATGGGGGAATCTGGTGATAGCTCTGTTGGGACAAACATGTGTTGGGAAGGGTATGAGAGGAAGGAAGTAGCAGCAATTCTACCTTTTTTTTTTTTTTTTTCTTTTTCCCCACCAAATGCAGCCATATTGATAAGAAGGGATCTAGAGCTATTCTATTTACTAGAAAAATTAAGATAAATGAGTTCAATTTTGAGAGCTGCTCTGGAAGTAATGCCTTTATTTTACTATGTTGGCCTCCAACATCATAAGCAGACGTTGCTAGAGCAGTAGAGGTTGAACCTTCCCACGAGCACCCCATTACATGTTGTTGCCCAGATGGCAAAGTTGTGTCACTGAGTTCTTCCATGTGGAAAAAGGGGCACTCCTTGATCTTCAGCACTTGGTGAATGTTTCTGGAAACCAAACAGTGGATGTGAGCACAGTGAAGCAGTGGATGGTGCTTTTCAGTAGTGGCAACAGCAACAGTGGGTCACCTCTGCTGGTGCAGATATTTATGAGTGTGGTGTGCAGGCTCTTGTTAACTGGTAAAAATGCACAGCTAATGGTGGTGATTATACTGAAAAACAGTGTTTTGTAGCTCTATCAAATGATGTCATACTCTTTGGATTTGTTACAGTTTCTATGGAAATAAATAGGAGGCATTATTTTCGGAGCAACCTACATAAATGAATTAAGGACTAACTCATTTTGTGGATTATTATTTGCTCCAGGCAAAAGGCTAAACACAGTTTACTCACTTTAGATACAGGATCTATGTAAAAGCACTCATTTGGGCAACCTGTTGGCTGATGAAATTCACTCTGAGTTCTTGTCAGTAAAAAACAATTTGGCAGAAATCCCATACGTTTCCCAGCAGCAGAAAGGCTGTGATCATAGAGGATCTAAAACAAGTGGATCAGAAGTTATCGAATCAACATACACCGAGTGATTTTATTATTCATGTTTTATTACTATTTCTGACAGTATTTCTGATTTTTAACATAACGCTTTGTCTCAGAAAGACCTTTTGAACAAATGGCACATTTGTAGGAAAAAATATACAGGACTATTTTCAATACACACCTATGCTTTCTGACACTATTCTCTTGAGTTTTCATCAAAATGGAAATAAAATGATCAGGGCAGTTATTTCACATTTGCTTTAGTTTTAGAATAGACTTTTAAAAAATGTGATAACTGTTCCTAAAGAGACTGGAGTGGACAGTCCAAAGCCAACTACTTTCAGACTGCGTGACCTCACGCACAAATGCTTACAATTGCTTTTACCATTCTGCCGAATAATGTGGATGTAGTGCATCCTAGAACATCTGCAGCACTTCCTGGTCTCCAGGGATGCTGGTGATCCACGTGTCTGGGGTCTCACATGCAAGTTGCAGGAGCAGCATAGACTGTGTGGCCCTTCTTTCAACAGGAGATGTTAGCTAAGGCCCAACTCTTCTTCTGGGCTGCCTGTTTTCATAGAACTTCTTAAAATGTAGTATCTCTCAAACCTCCACCTTCTCTGTTAAATCCGATTGAAGCTTGTGGATGATCTGCTATTTTTTGGAGTAGGCAGAAATAGTCCTTGTAGTTGACTGCACAAGCTTCTTAGTGGAAAAAACTCCATACCATAACTAAATGATGTGACATGTATGATGGCGTGCCGCAGTTCAGAATTTCTCTCGCATCCCTGATCCAAATCAAAGCAACAGTGAAGCCCAAATGTCCTCTTCTGGCTGTGGAGATTCACCACTGGGGATAAAGAGACTTGCCTACCCTGGTAACCCCCGGTAATTATAATGCTGTCCTCTTGCAGGAGACCTTCTGCAGTACCCGTGGTTCATCTACATCTTAGCAGGATGTGCAGCGGCTGCGGCCATCCTGGTGGCTGTTGTGTCCTCACTCATCTGTTGCTGCATGAGGAGGAAGCACAAGTTCCTCCCCGTTCCCTCAGGTGAGTGGGGATCCGTAATTGCCAGAAGAGTCTTCCAGAGAACTGTGTGTGCAGGTTGGGGCTGAAAATGCCTCAGTATGAAATGGCCTCGCCTTGGTGGATGCTGCTTTTCCACCAGTTCTCCCTGGCCCAGTGGAGCAGAAACCTACTCACTGATAGGCAACTCTTACGCCCAGCATGGTCCTGGAGAAAGCCTTGCTTTTCACTGTTTTAACTCACACGTGCTGGCCAGAAACAAGCACAGCAAAACCTTTCCTGTGGGCAAGAAAGCTGAACCTTGCTTGGGTCTGATGTAAATGGACCTGAAGGCTTCTGCTGGCTGTATTTTGCCAGCACCTGTCCTCAGGTGCTCTCTGCCCATGCCCAGTGAGGCCACCCCAAGCTTTGATCCTGCCAGCATGACCAAGCTTGTCTCTGGCAGGCTGGCAGCGGGCCTCCATCCTTGGCATCTGCTTGCTCTGGGAGTGGAGCCAGGGCTTCGTGAGGAGGAGGCACGAGTGTGTTGGTGGCCTGGCCTCTTGCTGGGATGGTGCAGGACCTCTTTCCTTCAAGCCTCTGGTTTTGGCTTTACAGAGGAAGAAAAGGATGATGGAATAACAATGTCGGTGGTGTCCAGTGAAGGCGTGAAAAGTCCCCCCAGTGGAGACCATGTGGAGGCTCAAGCTGCCCAGATTGACTGCCCTCCAATGCCAGGTGGGCCCAGTGACTTATTTTACGTCAGATAGCCTGTTGGAGAGGGTGAAGGACAAAATGGGTGTGTGTGGCTGCTGGGGAGGAGCTGTCTGAAGGGGAGGCCCAGGTGCCACATCCTGTCTGCACTATAGATGGTGCAGTAGGGCACCTGTTGGTACGACATCCATGCTCTGCTCCTACACGGGGTAGCTCCTCCTTCACCCAGCAGTGAGATGAAGCAGCAGCCATCTCATCAGCATCCCACAGAGGGTACAGGTTGCAGACTCTGTGCCAGTGTCTGCAGAGCTCAAATACCTCTCTGAAAAACCATCAGCCCACTCCAACGGAGCAGCTTTCCTGCAGTTTTTATCACCCCTCCCTGTTCTCAACAGTTGCTTTTTTATAAAAATCAGCACTGTCTTAATAGGCCTTGTCCTTGGGACATGATCTACCAATAGGACATGGAGTGACTGTCCCTGGAGGTGCTCAAGAATCATGTAAATATAGCACTGAGGGTTAGTGGGCATGATGGGGCTGGGTTGGAGGTTGAACTAAGGGATATAGTGACCTTTTCCAGCCTTAATGATTCTATGCTGTAAACAGAGCTAAACCCCTTCAGTCAGAGGGTTACGTATCTCCTTAAACTGGGGAAGAAAAAAAAAAAAAAAAGGAAAAGAATGAAACCCCAGAGCTTTAGCACAGCATGGTCAAGACAACACAGTGATTTTAGCACAGCATGGTCAGGAGAACACAGTGATAAAACTCTTTCAGAAATTTCCAGTGAGCATTTGATATCAATACTCTGCTTTCTTCACTGGGATTCCTTCAAATTTGTGTAACAAATATGAATGCTGGCAACACCCTCTGCAGTAATGCATCAGCTGCTGAATTATGGCCAGAAGAGATATCACAAATCTGAGCAGCATTGCATAGGTCATAACATGGCCTGAGCTCTGCTGCTGTTGTTCTTCACTGCACTGCACACAACATACCACCTGTTCAGCTGTACTTTCTATCCTTAAATGCTTTTTTGCCCTGCCTTCAATTTATTAAAAACATTTATTAAAGAAGCATCATCCTTAAATGATTACTAACAAAACATTTGTTAAATGTAGTGCGAGAAAAAAAAATGCAAGTGATTCAGATAATTGCTTAATATTAATATCTTCAATAAGTAGAATTTATTTTGTCTAAAAAAATCCTCAGTCTTAGCATCCCACATTTAATTTCTCTACAAATTAATAACAGCAGAATTGCATGTGAAAAGTATTAAGGTGAGAATGTATTAAGTATGTGTACTTTTAGGCACTTTTATGGTTCAAATGTAACTGAATAGGTTTGGCTTCTGTATTTTGGGCTGCTGGGCTCAAGAGCTTTCAGCACCAACGTATCTTACAGAGAAACCATGATGAACAGCTCAATGAATGAGTGGTTATGAAGCATATTGAAATTAGGCTTGTAGAAGCCTGGGGAGCAGCAATGGGGGTTGAGGGAAAACCTCTTCTGCAGGTATGACTGTAGTGCATGCATGTGTGAGCCACTTCTCCTTTCTTTTCCAGATGCTGCCCGGATTGATTCAGGCACTGAGCCCCAGCCCATGGTGGAAGAGAATTTCCCAGTGGCAGCTGAGCCTGGGGAAATGCCAGATCAGGAGATGATAGCTGATGTGGAAAGCCAAGAAAATGCTTCGAACTGTTTCCCTGACCCAATTGATAACTGATCTGATATGCTCACTGTTCCACCCTGTCCTCAGTCCCGTGACACCCATCCTTTGCATCCCATAGTCTTGCTGTAAGAATTGGTCTGAAAAATTTTAGCAGGGGGAAGAAGCGATGTGTCAGGCCTGCTAAGCTCATATACAGGAAAAAAAAAAAAAGAAAAAGATTACATGTGTGACTTCAGAACCTTGGGCTGGCAGGTTCAGCAGAAAAATTGGGCAGCTCTCTGGTGCTTAGCTTGTTAGCAGACACGCAGTTACTCTGTAGAGCCCTAAGGACACCTGGCATCAAATGAGTGATGCCTCCTGCTTTCTGCTCGCTCCATGCCTCCCATCTCTGTCAGCCAGATGCCCCTGCATGGGGCGGGTGGGACAGGTAGATGTGGCAGCATGCCAACCCCAGGAGGAATCAGGGAACCACCGGAGATCTCCTGAGAAAGTCTCTGATCAGGAGGCACTAGCACAGGATGCCCAGAGAAGTTGTGGAGGCCTTCAAGGCTGGGCTGGATGGGGCCCTGGGCAGCCTGAGCTGGTGTGGGCAACCCTAACCCCCCAGCAGGGCTTTAAGGTCCCTTCTAACCCAAGCCATTTTGTGATTCTATGATTTTAAAGCATTTTCTCATGGGCCCTGCAAGAAGTCTGAGCAAGGCTTCAGCAAAGTGTTGTTACGCTAGGTGTTAATCTGAACTGCTGCTCCAGACCCCACCGGTATCTTCAACCAGAGAGTAACTGCTCAGGGTGCCAGAGCTCCAGAATCTCTGTTGCCACCTGTCTTGCCTTCAGCAGGAGAACGCCTGGGGCTTGGCCACATTCATTTTGGCAAAAACATTGATTATAACGCCGAGACCGTTCATCAGCGCAAGCATTATTGCCTTTAGTGTAACGGCGTAGCTACTCACCGCAAGCTGAGCCGGCCATCTGCCGTGCGTGCAGGCTTCCTCAGCGCTGCGCTGTCTGCACACAGCCGCAACCCGCAGCCCCTCCGGCAGCCCTTGCTGCAGTGTGCATCTCGGCGCCGGGCGGGGGAGCCGGCGGGTCCCTGCGTGCCCTGCTGGGTCCCTCCGTGCCTGCACACGGCAAGGCTGCGCGTTGATGCTGCCCTGCTGTGCTGCGCGTTGTTCGCTTGTTCTGCGACCGCTTCAAAGACTTCTGGATCTCGTTTGCCGTGCTGGCAGTGATTCAGCCCAGCTCTGCTTTTTAAGGATGCTGTAGGAATCCGATTTTCCGTGGTAAGAGGGAGGTGATGATTTCTCTTATGGTGCTGCGCTGTCTCCTTTCAGTGCCAACATTCCCCGAAGGCCATGAGCTGAGCGAGAGCTGGCTGGCAAAGCGTGTGACTCAGGCCGTCTCCGCGATGACACCTGCTGCTGGTTTCCTTTGCAGCCCTGCTCGAGGGGCCGTCCAACAGCAGCAGGTCAAAGTTGTGTGCTGCGATGAGGTCGGGAGAAAAGTGCAGAGACTTCCTGTAACTCTGTGTGCTCGTGCCCAGCTATTGTTCTTTTATGGTTGGTTTTGTTGGTTTTGGTGTCTGGTCTTTTTATTTTATTTTTTTCCTTTTTCCCTGCAATGATTTTGGTTTTTGTTCCTAATAAAAAAGATGTGTTTTCTAACTTGTTTTGGGAATGTGTAATAATTGTTTCTTTACGATTTTCATGGAAAATGCAGGCTGAAGTCCAAACTTCAGTGTAGTCATACTAAGAAAGATGACTGCAACTTACTGTTGGCTACAGCTGGCTTGGATGGTCTGGGGAACAGAGATCACAAAGGTGCTGGCTTGCGAGTTGGACCAGGAGAGGCTGTAGGACAGTGCTCTTGCAACCCAGAAGGCCAATGGTATCATGGGCTGCATCAGAAGAGGGGTGGCCAGCGGGGAGAGGGAGAGGATTGTGCCTCTGCTCTGCCCTCATGAGGCCCCATATGGAGTTGTGTGTCCACGTCTGGGGCACCCAGCACAAGAAGATTGTGGAGCTGTTGGATTGGGTCCAGAGAAGGGCCACAAAGATGATCAGAGAGCTGGAGCATCTCTGCAGTGAAGACAGACTGAGGCAGCTGGGCTTGTTCAGCTTGGAGAAGGCTGCAGGGAGACCTCACTGTGGCCTTCCAGTACACGAGGGGAGCTTATAAACAGGAGGGAGACTGACTTTTTAACTGGGCAATGATAGGACAAGGAAGAATGGCTGCTTACCATGCTTTTATCAAACGCAAACAATAAAGGAAATATCGCTGCCTGTAGAGGTTGCAAATATAAATGGCCAATGAGAGCTTACTTTAAACTAGCTTTTTTTTCTGGTTAGCATGTAACTCTTAGCTGATACGATAGATAAATAAAAATAACAGGACTGCACTTATAAAGTGTGTATTTTATAGTTAAAGCTGGAAATCGGTTGAAAAAGCAAAACATCAAATTTGAATTCTGTGCAATTAAAAAAAAAATCACTTGAACTGATTGCAGCTACTCTTGGTTTTAGTGTGTCTAAAACTATAGGAAATAGTTATATTACACATGAAGAATTAGGAGGCAATTTTCAGCAAATCTTTTAGAACTGCAAATACAGGATATTGAAAAGAATTGTCATCTGCTCCCTCATCACATGCAAATGGAATAAAGAAATAGTTCAGTTATCTGTGCTCCTTTGCATTGCTGTCTCAGCTGTCATCTTATACATTTCCCATGAGGGCAAAATGGGTTTTCATAAAACTAAAGAGTGTCAAAGAATTTTTGATACTAGAAGTTGTATAATAAGACGTTCTCAAAGAAGCAAAAAAAATGGAAGAAAAAGATGGTATGACCAAGTTTTGGTCTGTTGGAAAAGAATGCCAGCAGTGACTTTAGACATAAGTCTCGAAGCAATGAGCAATACCAGCATGCATTCTCGTGGAAGCTTTTTTTGTTGCTGTGCTTGCCCTCAGATTTCTCCTCTGAAAGAAGACCTGAACCTGTACTAATGGGACGTGGAATAGCAGGATGGGGTTCAGCACTGTGGGTAAAGGGGAAACCAGCTGTCCAGCAGTCAGTCTGTTTTCACGCATTGCGGGTTTGGGGTTCTTTAATTCAGATGATTTAGTTTCTGATAAGGGGTTTTGCTTGCTTACCTTTTATTGGAAATACTTCATTATTTGACAAATACCAACAAGGATTTGTATCTTCTATAGGTAGAGGGAATCTTCAGGGAATCTTCTTTGCTGGAAGCAAGATGAATAGGATTCAACGCTGCTGCCAGTTAGATAGCAAATATTTTAAAAAAAAACAAACCACCCTCAAAGAGAGGAAAGTATCTGTTAGTGATTATACTGAATTACTGATGATTACTGCAGATCTTAAGGGGACTTCCATGATACTGTAAATAATAGCTGCAGCTGTAGTTCCAACCAGCGCGCCTTACCTATGTGGGCGCAAAACATTCACAGTGACTTTCCATTGAAGTTGCACCTGTAAAATCTGTGGTTCTGCAAAGAGGTTTCTAAGGCTCAGCGTGTTTTTGGTGAGTAGCTGAAAATTGTGTGCGTAAGGGACAGGACAGGAACGTAATCATAAAAGCTCACTCTTTGTAATAAAAGCAAAAAGGGATGGCTGAAAAGAATGATGATGTTATCCAGAACCGCGCCACTGAGACCTTGGTTGTGGCAATTGATGCTCTGGAGTGGAGGTGCTCTTACATGGTGCTCTGTAGGCGGGCAGTGGGAGCACCTGGTTTGATTCCCTGTTGTTCCTTGTACTTTCTGGCTGACCTGAAGACTTCGTGTCATCATCCCCTGCCTCTCCTTCCCCATCTGTAATAGAGGAGCTCCTGATACTTGCCTGTGATGTTGCTAGAGGTAGGAGACACGTGAGGTGCTGTGTGTGGTCTGCTTGGGCTGTGGTGCATGTGGTGGTCTGACTGCCTGGAATGTGAGGGAAGCTTCTTGCTGAGGCGGTCAGGTGGACAACACTTGTCTCTTAACCATGCTAATATGTGAGGTGCTTGTTTCCTTTTGACTCACACAAGTGAAAGAGGGGGCTGGCCCTGATGTATTGCATTGATAAAAATGTTGTGAAAAACCTCAGCTTGCCTCCGGTTCCCCAGCATTAAACCAAGAACTTCCTCTGCCTGCCTCACTAAGATCATAAAACCCAGAAATTCTCAGAAACGCAGTGACACAGCACCTTAGCCTTTGCCCTTGCCTGCTGACAACAGGAACAGTGGGCTATAAGCAATCAGAAACACAGCCAGCTTGGTGCCCGTGCTTTCCCATGTTGTGGTAAAGGCCATGCTGCCACTCAAGTAATTTTGTGCTGCATCTGCTTGGTGCTTGGAGCGTAATGGAACAAAGTAACCTGTCCTGCTGCCCTGCCATTCCTGCACCACCAGGAGTTGCCCCCCTTCTTTCTCCTCCCCCAAGAGCAGTTGTGTAAGGGAACTCACTCAGAGAGGCCCATCTGACAGGTCACTCAGATGTTTCTAAGGTTTCTTTCTTAATTCCCTGGTGGCAAAGGCCGGGTCTCCTTGTGTGTAAGTATAGGGCTGTATAAGGGCTTTTGCTTGCCATCATCACTCCATTATTTAAGAAACAGTCAAATTTGACAGCAATTTTGGGACGTGTGTTACCAGTTCCGAAGGTACTTATCCAAGGTCTGCTGGGAAGATGATCATCTCATGCCTGCATACCTGCCTCCCACTCACTGCACTGATTGAACAAATCCCTATAGTGACTGCAGCTTAACAAGTTGTGCTGATGACTTGTGTTCGAAGTTCAGGCCTTTCTTTGTGTGTGGACCTGTGTGAAGGCTGTTCAGAGCCCATCTTAGAAATAAATGCCTTTGGTGTTGAATTACATTACCCAGTTGTTAGTGCTCAGTCTCCTGGCTCACCTCTCATCCTCCCAGTTACCTGTTCTGAACTGTCTCTCACTCTTTCCAGAGTTACAATAGCAGTATAAAATAAAACATTGTACAAAGCATCAAATGCATATTTATGCATTTGTTAAGCTGATGGCTTCTTGAGTGTCACATCTTGTCTGAAACATTACTTACTCAGATGATCATAAGATGTCTTTCCTGAATGTATTTCTAAGAACAGCTTCTCTTCTGCCCTCCTCGGCGTACATTACCATGCCTATATCATAGTAAACCTGCTAGCAACTGTAGCATCATTTTCACATTGAACTGAAAGCCTGTCAGCAGTGAAATGTCATCTCTGTATCTGTCACAAAGCAAGATCAGCAAAGCCAGGCAGTGGATGCATCCGTGCAGCTGGACAAATGGATGCTTAGCCATACCTTGTTAGTCATCTCTCTGGTGACTAAGGAACGTATTGTAGTTAAGACATAGCAATCCTCCTCCTCTACTCTGCCCTAGGGAGGCCACATCTGGGCTACAGTGTCCAGTTCTGAGCTTCCCAGTTCTAGACAAGGAACTGCTGGAGAGAGTCCAGTGGGGGGCCACAAAGATGGCTGGGGGCCTGGAGCACCTCTTGTACAAGGACAGGCTGAGAGACCTGGGACTGTTCTGCTTGGAGGAGAGAAGGCTTTTCGCTGTTTGTAAACATCTAAATTGCAGGAGTCATTGGATGGGGCCAGGCTCTTTTCAGTGGTGCCCAGTGGCAGGAAAAGGGGCTACTGAAGCACAGAAAATTCCATACAATCACGAGGAAGAACTTCTTCACTGTGAGAGTGACAGAGCCCTGGTACAGGCTGTGCAGAGAGGTGGTGCAGTCTCCTCCTCTGGAGATATTCAAGACCCACCTGGATGCCTTCCTGTGCAACCTGCTGTAGGGAGCTGCTTCAGCAGGGGGTTGGACTGGATGATCTCCAGAGGACTTTCAACACCTACAGTTCTGTGATTCTGTGATTCTTGGCCAAGGTCATTATTGTGAACTGCAGGTTGTCAGACTGCACTTTCTGAAGCGGTTGTGTCTCTTCAGACCAGACTTAAACTGGGTCTGTTTTCTGAGGTTTAGCTGTCAACACATTTTTATAGGTAGAAAGGAAGAAAATGAATGTGAGAAACAGAGGACCTGGGACTGATCATGTAGTG